ACTCTGATACATTCTTTAACTTGAAGATATACAACGAACTAGAATTCAACCTAATGATTGGAGCAAGGACACGATATTTTTGAACACTTAAGCAAAAACTAATGGCGTCGTGTCTGCCTCTCGTTGCCAGTCCATGAAGTAACTTACTATATCTAACAAATTTAGGGTCGTCTGCAAAATCATCAACAATGATTAAAATTGAATGTAGTTTCTTCATCTTCTGTTCTTTCATATAATGAATTATCTTTCTTTGTGTGTTAATTATTTCTTCCAGTTCTTCAGGTTGGTAGGTGTCATAATATAACTTTTCTTTTTCATCATCAACCTTCATATTATCTTTTTGATATTTCTTGACTTCAACGAAGGTAGGGTCATTATGAACCGACGGGCTAAAAATGAATATACGGGCGAAGCAGTCCCTATAAACATTTAGGATAAGGTTTTGAATTAAAACTGTTTTGCCACCCGTTGATGAAGCAACAACAATTGAGCGAAAAGGTAGTTTTGGTACATGTTCATATTTAGATTGTTTGAAATCGTAATCAGTTATATTTATTGGTTTTATTATTGGAACATCAGACATAATAAAATAATATTAAAGTTATTTAGAAAATATTTTATATTTATTATTTTATATGAATAGAAGTTATTCGGATTATATTGATATAATAGATAAAGTAGAAAATATAGAACAAGTAATACTAACTGATAATAGATTTAAAAAAGTATGCTATTTTGTTTTAGAATTAATTAAGTTTGTGATACAATATATTAAAAATATAAATATTAATATAGATGGGGAGAAAGAAAAAGAATAAGACAGAATCAGTTGTTTCTTCAACTGATGAAGAAAAAGAAGAAATTGTTAAAGAAACATCAGTTATTGAGTTTGCTTGTCCAATGTGTAAAAAGATGTTAGAATTAAAAAATGAATTAGAAATAAAAAATAATAAAAATTGTAAATGTTCATGTATTCCAACAAGTTTCAAAATAAGTAAAAATGATAAGAAAATGAATATTGATAAAACTAAAGACAGTATCAACTTAGAAACAGATGTTCATAATATTACATTTAAATGGGGTCGGAACGCTACTCCATCCGATAATGGTGATAAGGAAACTCAGGAAACTGTTAAACAAATAATGAAAAAATAGTATTTAAAGAGTAGATTTAACATAATTGCAACATTTAGTTTTAAAAGTTTAGTTTTATAATTTAGTATATATGGAGGAACATTTAGCGAACATTGACAGTAGTTTAGAGTTGTTGTTTCCAAGATTAGAAAAAGTGTTGGAGCAAAATGAAAACATACTGAAAATCTTAAAGAGCTTGAATATTAAACCTACATATGATAACAATAACAATTATCAAGCAAAAGAAGTAGATAGAGACAGTAGCGAATACAAAAATAAACGAAACATTTATGTTAAAAAACTGAATGAAAAAATCATAAAAGAACCTAAACAATCAAGTCTGGATTACTATCAAGTCAAGTATAAAGAAGACACCAAGAAATACGTTTAATCATTAACTAACAAAATTTCGTGTCTCAAAAGCGGTTTGTTTATTCCTGCTACTTTGTAAGTTTTATTACCCATAATATCATATTCAATTTTATCAATATTGAATATTTTATTAGACCATTTAGAGTTATACTCCTTTCTGTCGGTGTAATTACCCCTTTTCTTTTGGAACACTTTTACCTTGTCGTTCTCCTCTATTTTGGGATACTTTCTTTTGTTTTTTTCTCGTAGTTTAAGATTGACCTTTACATTTATTTCATTGTCGTCCTTGTGTGCATCGGTCGGTGTCATCCTTGTTGATGAGTGTGATGTGCTGTTATACTGTTTCAATGCCGGCGTTAGGGCGTCGGTCCATTTCATGTTGTTAAACCTAACTCTATCGTGAATTTTGTTTTTCATCGTTCTAATAAAACGCTCGGCCACATTTGCGTGGGTCTTCGTGACGATGTGGTTTATTCCTTCACTGTTGAAGAAATCCTGAACTTGATTTTTAGTTGCAAACGCTCCGTCGTCATCAGAATACACGGACATCGGATAACCCATCTTTTTAAAGCTTGTTCTCAACGCCTTCAAAACGTGCTCTCCGTCTCTTTCCTCCATCGGTATTACATCTGCTAATTTACTGAAGATGTCAATCACGACTAAAGCATACTGTGGAACGTTCTTGTCTTTTGCTAAAGGTGACATATGCATTATGTCTATTTGATATTCATATCGTGCGAATGGAGCGGTATAGGAATTAGTACCTCTATAATTTTTGATTTGTTTATTTGGTTGTTTCTTTAAGAAAGACTTTACATCGTCTAATGTTATTGTTGGGTCTTCTTCCTTTGCCTTCTTGTGTGTCGCTTGTGTGCTTCCGAAACCCTCGTCTAAGTCGTAATAGATGTTGCTGATTATTTGGTCTTTTGTTAATCTCGCCATTATATTAAATTGTTAGAAAATATTTTTTCAATATAAAGCCCCACCCCTTAACATAAAATACAAACTACTTAAAGAAAAATGGATATAATATAGTAAGAAACAAATGACACTGTTTAATTATGATAAATGTCCTTGTAAAAATAAAAAATGTAAGTCTGTCGTGGCACTAGCTAATATTTTACCTGTTAATGTTTGTAATCTTATAGGTGGTTATATTAAACCAAGATGTTTTGATTGTTGGTATTTGAGAGATGAAGAAGAGCATTTTATGAGTGATAAACACATTCCTGAAGAAGGTCTGGAAAAAGCAGAGCTTCAGTTAAAGATTATTGAACAAATGCTAAATAACGATATTACTTGTCTAACAGTAATCCCTTTTGTTAACAAACAATACAGAAAAAGAATTGACAGAATATTTAATAAACAAGAGGTTAAAGAAAGATTTAAAACAAGAAAAATGTATTATCAAGGATTAAAATCATATTGTAAGAATAATCAAGAAGAAGTTACTGTACTTTTAAAAAATTGTCTTAAAATTGAAGAATTAAAGTTTATCAAAAATAGTGATTTGTTCTTTCCTAACCTAAACAATTGGTGGTCATATAGAAATAACAATTATTATATGAGAAACATATTAAGCGACTTAATTGAAATTTACACAGACCAATTAATAAAAGGATACGAGCATTATTGTTGTGAGTATAGTATGAGTTGTTATAGTGGTTGTATCGCTGGTGAGATTGAATACGGGTCAAGTTAACTTTTGTTTATTAATATTGTTATCTTATAATATGATTAAACATTGATTTATAATCTAAAAAGAAGGTTAAGACATTTAAATTAAACCTGAAACCCAGACCAACCGACCAGCAACCCCCTAGCCAAAACTACTTAAAGAGAAAAAGCCTTATATATTAAGAGAAAAATGAGTAAGGGTAAAATGTCAGAGAATAATTTTATGGTTAAGAATTGTGCTAGCTTACCTATGGAAACATTGTTAAACATCGCTTCTTATATGATTGGCAATGAAGGGTGGCAAGGACTAAAACAGTGTAAAGCATTAAGGGTCTTACAAAGGAAATGGAAACCGTCTATTTACACTGAACGAGTAGGAGAAAGTAGATATTATGTTGAGATTCGCAATAAATGCTTAAAAGGTGATAAAGCGCTTTCATATGCGTTGAAACCACCAAAAGAATTATTAAGAATGATGAAGTATGATGAAGAAATACAGGTTGGAATAGAAGTTAGTTCGAAAATTATGTATCATAATAATATTAGCAACTGTCGTTCTTATTCATCATCTAAACAGAATAAGATTTCAAGTAGAGCGTCATTACAATACCATATTGAACAAGCAGTTGAAGAAACCAAACAGACTATGAAACGACACGAAATCATTACTATCGAACATGTTATAATTGAAATTTATAGAAAACAGAAACAATGATTTCATGGTTTAATCATAATATTTAATTATAATATGATTAAACATTGATTTATAATCTAAAAAGAAGGTTAAGACATTTAAATTAAACCTGAAACCCAGACCAACCGACCAGCAACCCCCTAGCCAAAACTACTTAAAGAAATATTACCTTATATATTAAGAGAAAAATGAACGGTGATGGAATCAATAATTATATCGATAAAAAATGCTATGATTGTTGTCACTTCAAAAAAGAAAATATGGAATTGTATAAATTGAGTTTACCTAATGAAATTGTGAATAATATTATTAATTATTCAATGGATGGTGAAGAAGACATATGTAAAAATTGTAAAACTTGGAGAGATAATCAATTTTTAATCAAATGTCTGTTGGGAATAAAAAGAATACATAATAGAAATGTAGAAGATGATATTTTAATATTTCTAACTGTAAATAAAATACCACCTTACGATTATGTTAAACAGTTTCTTAAAATCAGTAAGAAAAAATATGACACGATTTACGATATATTATGGATGTTGGGTTATAGTCAAGAGAAAGGAGAAGATGTTAAAGAAAATATCAAATTATTTATTGAAAGTAAAAAGTTTAATGTTCAGAATACAGTGAGAGATGTTAATATTATTTTTAAAATGATGTATGAAAGAAGTAAGACAAACCAATTAGATTATTATCCTGAACTGAAATTATAATCATAATATAATAATAACATGTAAAATCTTATATGTTATAATTATACTGAACTTTTAACCTATAAATGAAAATTAGTGAGAAAAACACTAACAAAACAAATACACCACCAACACCCCAGAACTTGATAACTACTAAAAGGGTTAACTCTTTCAAATGAAAAAAATGTCGGCCCCCAGCCCAACAATGAACAAGGGGGGCAATTACCAAAATGATTACCTTAACGAAAACGATAAATAAGCTCCCTAAAAACCCTCTTTTAAAAACGAATAAGGGGGAACACAGATTTGAGATGAACATAAAAACCATAACAGGGGACCATCAACAGACCACCCCCCAGGCCCCCTACTTTTACCATTTTTTTGGGGGGGGGCATTCCCACACAAACGCAAAGCACTTGCCGAGGAACTCCCGGATCTGATTCTGTGCAAAGTCGATGAGGTTCGGGCCTGGCGCAACGCGCAATTGAGGCCTTGAAGCAGCGAATTTCCTACGACACCATGGAGTTTTCGGAGATTCGAACCTCGAGATCCTCAAACCAGCTGGGAGGTGCGCCCTGCGCAAGTGACCCTACCAATTGTGAACCCTCTTTCCATGATACTATGCGTCTCTGCAAAAAGCACATGTTGGTGTTGTGTGTTTGCGTGTTTTGTTATATATATATATATATATATTCTCTGAGATTCATACCTGTCGCATCATTTTGCCTGCATGTCGTGCGTCTGATTTTGCCGTGCGTCTCATTTTGCCGAGCTTTACAAATCGGTTGCCCATGCAGCGGCAGAGATCGAACCGAGCAATTCCACGCCTTGGTAGGTCAACGGCCCAAAGGCATTTCTGAAGACGTCAGCTGTCCTCTGCGCTCTGGCCCTCGGTATGTGAGCAGGGCAGTGCAGCAACCTTGGCAACTCCGCTGAAATCTTGCAACCCAGGCTCCATGCCACAATCGGCCTCAGATATGCAGCAGGCGGAAGGCTGGATCTGCTATGCGGCCCTATGCATGCTGGCCAAGTGAAAATCCGCCGCTTCAGCAGCCAGAAGCCAGTACGAATGGCACTTGCTGACAAGACCTGAAGGCAACGAAGAAGGGCTAAGGCTTGTGACAGGGCACTGCTCTTCAGGGTGTGGCATCGTATCTGCCTGCTTTGGGCAGTGTCCGGCGTGAAAGCAGGGCTTGAGCCGAAAGCAGCAGCTGTGGGATTGTCAACGAAAAGTTGACGCGGCTTCGGCACCGGCCTTCTTTGAGCCGTCCCTGAAATGGAACCTCGGAACCAAGACAGGTTGCGAGCGAGGAGACAGGCGCCAGTGGCAGCCGGCAAACCCCGCACCTCCCACAAGCCCATCTTTGAGGTCCTGGCTCCACAGTCTCCACTTTGAGTTGACTGACCACAGCTGTCAGCCTGGCAGGACCCTAATTCGTTCCACTGGCAGGCAGCTGTCATCAAGTTATCTACTAAATGGCTGACTCAGGTCCGTGAGAAGAGAACCGCAGTTTAGAGTAGCAACGTTGCACCAAGCTGTTATGACGCACCAAAAAAGAGCCTGGACAGCAAACAGAAACATGACCGTGCTCTGCAATGGAGTAGTTTTATTAGCAGATTAGCCTCTCGTTTTATGAAAGCCATCTCCCTTCAGTTGCCGCTATAAAACTGGTATGCCTCCCATGCTGTCCCATCCTTCCCCCTTTTGGTTAGTCAGTCGGCCTGATCAGCACGGGACGTCTCGGCTGCTGCGGCTCCTGAAGTGCAGCAAAAACCCTGCGGAGTCTCAAACTCGAAGTCTCTACGCCTGATTCTCGACTTTCTCCAGGCTGCTGAGTATCTCTGGCACCTTGACCCAGCATACACCTTCACACACCCACGCACGCACACACCCACGCACGCAAACACGCACGCACACGCAAACACGCACGCACGCACGCACACGGACACGCACACGCACACGCACGCTTGTTGTTCCCCGTGCCACTTTGAAATGGCTGGTCAGCCTCAGCTACTCGCCTTCGGACTGAGCCTGGCCACGTGCGCGGCGATGCTGGAGGCGGCCTGGGTCAAAGCCATGGACTTCAAGCCGCAAGCGGCCACTTTGTTCTTGCATGGAATCTCGAACAAAGAAACATAACTGGAGGCTCACAGCCGCTTGCCCGCAGCAACAGGTCTGTCATTCTGCTAATGGGGGTCGCCAATGAAGAGGTCTTCTTACTCGGCCTGGCCAAATGCCCCCAACTCTCTGAATCTCAAAGGGAAAGTGGCTGTCGGGCTGCCCACTATCTCTGAATTCCCCACCCGTGGGCAAAGTGAGGAGCTGGCACAACCTGAAGCCACAGCCTGAGCAATCGCCTGCGCAGCTCAAGCGGCGGCACGGACACGCCAGACTGCTGGTTGCGCTTGCAGCCCATGCTTCCCGGCTGCCTCCTCCAGAAGGACTTTCGCTGGGCCTTTCTCCTGAGCACTTCATGCGGCCAAACTCCGTTTCAGGCAGACCCTTGGCTTGTAGAAAGGGCAAACAGGTGAAGCCAAAAACCTGCATGGAGGTTCCAAGAAAATATGTTCATGCTCCGTGCAGTAGCAAACAATGGACATCATCAAAATTGAGAAACGCTGGAGAATTCAATAGAAACCGGAGTTTGCCTGCTCCCAGGAAGACGTGGGCGCTGCAAGTGGTCGACACTTTCCCGAGAAGCTTGCATACGAGTTGAACAAGTCGCGTTTTGAATCGAAGCAGCGCCATCGGTGGGTCCTCCTCGCCGATCTGCGGCGCGTACCTGGCAAAGCCCAAGCTTTTCTCAACTGACCACTGGTGCCTTCTCGTTGCCCAGTCGCGCAAATAGCATGAACAAAAACGGCAAAACTTCCATGGGGGCCACGGGCGATGGAACGCCTGATGGAGCACCTCTCCAAAAAGGCGAGGACTCTCTCCACCTCCTGCACTGCGCTTCCTTGGAGACTTCCACATCTCAGGAAGGCAGCCAGGACAAAGAAATACCCTGACAAATGGAGTGCCCCCCCAAATGAATGCGTTAGCTCCGTTTCTCGGAGAAAAAAAAGAAGAAGAAAAAGAAGAAGAAGAAAAAACAACTACAATCGCATGGAAACCCTTTCCGAGTTCCAACTGCCTTCCTGAGGCTGCAGCTGCGTATCTGGATGGCCGTGCAGTCCTTGGCCACCGGAAATTCCGAATTCCCTGAAAAACCCGTCACTTCCCGAGTCGATTGGTCAGGAAAAGACCAAACCTTTTGTTCACCACTTCATGATCTTCCAAAGAACAGAGCATAAATTGGCATCGAACCAACACATGGGCAAGCAACTGTCGTCAAGTCTTGTCACAGCTTTATTGTCCATGTCGTGGAATACCAATTCGCAAATGTCTGTCATGGAAACCAACATGCGCACGCACCACGCACCTGGTAAGTGTCCGAGCCAAGCAAGCGTCGGGAGAAGGGAGGAGACAAGTAGGGAGATAAATCGGGAGACAAGCCGTGAAAGCCATGACAAGGTCCGGTTAGCAACTACAAGCTGGCAGGCAAGCGGGGAGACAAGTGGGAGACAAGCCGTGACAAGGTCCAAGTCCGCAGCTACAAGCAAGGAAATGAGGAGATAAGTGGGCCACGAGTGGTGAGACAATTTGGGAGACAAGTGGGGAGACAAGCGCTACATACCAGGTCCGAACCACCAAGCACAAGCAGGGAGATCAGTGGGGAGACAAGTGGTGAAACAGTAAAGATACAAGGGACAAACCATTTTGTGCCTGGGAGCAAGTCTTTGTGAATAGAGAACCCTAACGGCTAAGCCGTTCATACCCTAAGGAAGTGAGATCATCTCAACACAATACTTCCGACATTCATTGAACTAGCCCGACAACTCAGGTTCGGAAAATGGTTCTTCATCTCCCTTGTTGCATTCCCAGGGCAATAAGATGCAGAAATTGCATGGAGGACTACTGGACATGTGAACATGACTCCTTAATCAAAGGCCAATGCATGGACCCATGAACACATGGCAATTGTGAGACCCTTTGGGGCTGGCTTCTCTCAACTAGGAGGGTCACAATTGACGGTGCAAGCAGCTGAACAAGCGTTCTCAAATCTGTGAGGGGATGTCCCCCGGAGCTCAGTCGGTCTGATCCGTCGGTCTGAGCGCAGCTCCAAGGCATCGGCAACCACCGCCTATTGGAGCTCAAGTTTCAAGGGCTCTCGCCATAAGTTGCTGGCACATCCATGTCCGAGTCGCTGCGTGGCATTGCCAATGGTCATGTTGGAGTCAGTATAATATAAATATATATACAAAAACATATACACAACCAGATATATACAGATATATATATATATATATATCAATTACATGGACCCGCTGATGTCTGCACCTTGCCCAGGCTTTCTTCCACCGCTTCCGCCTCTGCCAGGTCGAAGGTGGTGGCGTTCACGCCGCAGGCGGCCAGGGCCACCTGCAGCTCCTCCTGCAGCTCGAAGGCCCCGGCGCTCTCCTTGGCCTGCGGAACTTGCAGGCGACTCGCTGGGCCGGGCCCGGAGGTGTGGTGCTTGGGTGGTTTGGTGGTTTGGAGCCGAATCGGTTTCGGGCGGTGCCAGGAAAAAAAGGTTCCAAATGTCTACAGCCAGCGGTTAAAAAACAGTTCCACCCTACACAAATTGGTGGGTTGAAGCCCAGGTTTGGACATGAGCGGTCACCTTCCTTTGGTTTCAAAAGGAACTGGGGTTCAAATTCCAAACCACCAATCCAAACCACCAATCCAAACCACCAATCCAAACCACCAATTAAGGGTTACCAGAAACTTGGCAAGGGAGATCGTGTGGAAACATGTCGCAGATTCTTGCTGCGTAAACTTGGCAAGTTTCACGTTCTTAACTAACGCCACAAATAGAGACAAAACAAATGTAAGACCAAGAAATGCTTGCATGGCGTAATTCCCAAAAGAGGGCACTTGCTGACTGCAACAGCATGCCAGCATGGGAGCCTCGACGAAAGCCGTGCAGTGCAGAGTGATCTCGCTAATGAAGCGCACAGTGCACTCCTCAAGCATGCCATCTTCAAGGTCGGTCCAACTTTGAACACGCGCAGAAGCGACACAACCTGCCCTTTGCCCGCAAGGGAGACACTCTGCCTTGACCTTATCAGTTACTTATGGCTTCTTTGGCACGAATCGAAGCTTGACAGCAGGAGTCGCGGTCCCTGATCTTGTGCCGCGGGTCTTGGACATATTGACAAACGCCAATCCTCAGATCTCTCAGAGCCCACACGCCGAACACGCCAACTTCATGCGACTGAGACCAGAAGCCGTTCTCTTCAAGCCCAGCTTCCGCACACAAGGGTAGCCAAAGCTGTCTGGCTCCCGAAACCTGGCAGGATTTGCATCACCGCACAATCGGGCATCCAATACCCCACGACTGGCCCTAGTATAGTGGCCAAAGTCTTTTTTCTCCAAGCAACACAAATGCAGCGTCTGCATCATGGCAAGCATGAGCTCATATCAGCTACGGCAGTTTTTGTTGCTACACGATTGAATGGTCGGGTGTTCCCATCTCATGCGCCAACCACTCATTGACAATCGCTTTCCATCGCCGCATGTGTGTGTGTGTGATCTCCACCACATGTCGCGGCCCTACCTCGTTTTCGGGGGTGTTCCTAACTCGGTTTGCACATAATTCAGTATGCTACCAAAATATCTTTCCTCCGGGCCTTTATCGTAGTCTTCTGTAGCTAAAGGGTCGCTCATATTATGACATTCAACCACATCTGCCTGTACTTGTCCAACACATGAATGCAAGTTATGTGGTCTCCCCGACGGCTTTTAGATTTTGAGGTGCTTCCGTGAGCTGCAGCCAAAATCCCGTCTGCTTCACCGGCCATGTCTGGAATATGCAGTCCGCCGGCCTGTTCCGCACCCAGACCACCTCCAAGGAGCTTTCCAAGGTGTCCCAGGCTGCCACAAGATCCCGCAAGCGCTCGAAGTGCAGCTCCAGCTTAGAGGCCTGGCCATGCGAATGCTCGAAACATCCTAAAATCCTAACATCCTTGGGGGTTCCTTGGAAGGCCGGTTCAAGAAAAGAAACATAGACAGTAGCTCAAGGGGAATCCAATGTTGATGGTTGATGGAATCACTTGGCCCCCTGGTCATGCCTTAGAACTCAGAATAGTCACCCGCCCTCCTCTAAGAAGTGTTAGTATTGCTTGGTACTGGTTTGTCCTGGTTTGGAATTGGTTTGATTGCTTTAGTGGTATTGGTTCAGTATTGGTTGAGTAATTATTGGTATTGGTATATGTTTGGCTAAGAACTGATTTGATATTGGTTCAGCAATGGTCTCGTATAGGCGTTGCATTGATGGTATAGCTTTGCCCCGTATTGCCAATTCTGCAGCAGTGGAGCTTCTTGCAATTGGGAAGCCCCGACTTTGACGGACAGTTGTATTGGAACGCCCCCAGTGATCAAGCAGTGGGTGCTGAAAATCCATGCTTCGCAGTGCCCAGCTGGTCTTGGGCCCCGGCCACCAAATCGTGAGCTGCAGTGTCCTGCGAGCGCGACGAACGAAGGCCGTCCGGCATTCTTCGCAGTGGACATGTTAGACATGGGAAAATCGGGGTGATCCCAAGATGTTCCGGTAGATTCACGCAACTAAAATCTGCGGCCCTGGCTTACTATTGACCCATGCCCACCCACATTTCATTTGCAACAGGCTCAAAGCGCACTTCCTTCAATGCGACAAACACGAAACTGGGAACATGACCACTCTCGACTCTGCGCATCGCACTCTCCCACATCCACGCCTGCTCATAGATGCGCTGCGCCAGCATAACTTCCTCGCAAAGGCGCTCCCTCTTCTGCACACCTGGCAGGAGACCAGGAAATGTAAACCCCTCTGGTTTCCTTTAGGTTCATTCCCAACTCCCTGGGTCATTCCCTACTGAGCTCCCCAGCCTGGGTCAAAGGCAGCGGCTTCGGGGATCAACCCCGCGCCAGAGTGCCAGCGGCATTGATGCCTCTGAGGGACCTAGCCAAAAAAAATGCCACAGCACCATATTTGACGAATGATAAGCATGTTTTGAAAAAACAATCCTAAGCATGTCTGCATCCAAACAGCTGCACCTATGTCTGGTCATCGCCGATTCGATCAAGGCAACCAAGTCCAGGGCGCTTTCGCCGAAGACACCCTTGGCCCAAGCAGTGTTGGGCGCCAGAGTCGCCTGCACATCTCCAATCAGAAGCAGCATTGGCAATGCTAAGCTCACTGTCGCTCCTTACCTTCGGAAGGGGCAATGTCACTGGTTGCGTGCAATTCGGGCCCCAAATGGTTTCCTTAGCCCCTAATGTTGACCCCGGATGTTTTCATATCCCAAAGGGACACCCCAAGGGGGTGATTCATGGGTCAACATGTTGCAAGACCTGACTCTCGCCTTGAGCCGCTGCTGCGCCGCCCCGGCCAGTGCCAGGAGCCCCGAGAGCAGTCGGACCTCGAGCAGTCGGACCGCAAGCATCCGAAGCTTTTCGCGAAGCGAAGCCGCGAAGCGACGAAGTTCCTGGACACGTGGGAAGTCTACTTATTGCCTTCAGCCTGGTGTCAGGGACCAACTCCAGAGATTTTGGTCAAGGTGTCTTCAAGTGCCGCGTTCGAAGTGGCGGAAAAGCGCGCACTCCGTCTTCCAACAAGCACCAAGCGTTATGAAGGCAACCCTGCAAGCTGAGGCAGGCTGGAAGGTCCCAGAGTATGCTAATTACTTATCCTGTTTGAGTCGCTGAAGCGAATATCGCTTACCTTGCCTGAGAAGTGCAAGTGTGTGGTACAAACAAAAGCCCTATGAATGGGCACCTTGAGGCGCATCAAGGCGGAAGCTGTGTTTTCGCTGGCCGAAGTGTCCTCCCTCTCCCCGCGCTCGGGAGCCCGCGGCAATGACTGTGCCAGCATTTGCTTTGGCAAGGTGGCCTCCCCATTGTGGCCGCCGAAATTGCGCGGCACTGCCCCGCCGTGAACAGAAGCAGCAGCAACCATAGATCTGGCCGCACCAGCCAGAACACTAGCTGGCAAGGACCAAAGTCCCATGTCCCACTCACCAGTGCAGCGACCAATCACGGATCTAGCCACACCAGCCGGAACACTAGCTGGCAGCTCTAGCGGGGACACGGCAAGACCATGGTTTAAGTGAGCCGCGAAAGCCACGCTTCATCGGCCATACGGCCATACGAACCCCCAGCGGGCGCGGTAGCCCATTTGCCCCGCTGTCATGTGCCTGCACCAAAGGCATGTTGGCCCCAAGGCTTAGATGAGCGACTGCACCCCACGCCCGGCCAACGGTGTGTGGAAGTCATCAACTATCCCTGGTGCGATGACTTCCTGGGTAAGGCGTAGTGAAAACAAAGAAGCGAAGCAGCTAAGGCAAAGAGACGTCGCAAATTCGATCAGCACCCTGCCCCATTGGCTCTGTCCGTCAGCCCCCCGCTCCATGCCATGCAGGATCTGGTAGCTCCGCTGTCCCCAGAGCACCACCTCAGGCACATGCCATGCTGGAAACGCTGGAGTTGTTTTTTGAAAACACCGCAAGCCCGGAGAAAAAGAAGAAAACGCGCATGCGAAGTGCTCGACTTTGGGGAGGCAGCTGGAATCCGGTCACATCAAGGACATGCACGTTGTCGTTTGTCTTAGATCACTTGCTTGTTGCGTTTATGTCATTTTCATTGCACCAAGCTCCTTCAATCGCCGCGTCGAATCAGCAATGAGGCCCTCGCAGTGGGTGGACTTGCTCGGCCTACACAACTCGGACATCCAACAGCATCATGAGCGGCGTGCTCCCTCCAAAGCAGTACTTTAGCTCCTGATAATCAAGCTGATTGCTGAAACACTGCAGCCCAGAAATCCCACAGCTGTAGGCCATCACCCATTGACCAGACACATGTTATGTCCCGCGATTATAGCCTAGAGAGCTTAAAAGCAGAGAGCGGGCGGTAGGCATCAGCGACATCTTTATGAAAGCTGGCGTTGGCTATTCAAAGCTTAGTCCAAACGTCCTCGTGCGGAATGCCATCCACCCTCCCACTCGCCTGCTCATCAGCTCCTGCACTTGGTCTTTCTGGGACTCCATGACAGGCCTGATGCTGAAGTCGGCCAACCGATGGCAAAATGGTTCTTCTTGTTCCAGCGTCAAACAGTTGGATCTTTCATCGTGAGGTGCCGCCCAAGGCCCGCGCATGTAAATGGAGCTGCACTTGAGTGCCGCCTGCCAAGTCGGCCGACAGCATCATCCACATGGCGGTTGACCCGAAAGCATTTAGCCGCGACAGGCTGCTTGTTGATCCGACGCATAAGCGCACCAAGCTGAAGATAAGTGACGCAAAGAAACGACACAGCATGATCGTGGCGAGGTTGTCTCTGTGCCAGGTTCTCTGCTCAGCTTCTCTGCGCAATGCTCTCTCTGCAAGCTTTTTCCGCTGCGCAAGTTGCTCTATGCAAGTTCTCTGCGCAAGGTTTTCGCCGCAGACTGCTTGGCGCAAGCTTCTCTGCGCGAGCCTCTCTGCGCAAGTTTGTCCTCGCAAACTTTCTCAGCTCGCAATCTTTGTGTAAAGGTTTCTCCGCGCAAGTTTCTCTGCGCAAGTTTTCTCTGCGCAAGCTTTTGGCGCAGTTCATCAGTGCAAACTCTTCTCTGCACAACTTGCAACATTGGCACAACACAAATGCATGCAACATTCTCGTCGCAAATGGTTCTGTGCAAGTTTCTCTGCTCAAGTTATCTGCGCAAGCTTCTCTGTGCAAGTTGAACTTTCTCGGCAAAGGTTTCTCCGCGCAAGTATCTCTGCAAGTTTCTCTGCGCGGGTTTTCTCTGTGCAAGCTTTCTCTGAGTAACTTTTGGGCGCATTTATCTGCGCAAGCTTTCTCTGCACAACATGCGAGATCGGCAAGGACATTTCTCTGCGCATGTATTCCAGCTGTATCTGCGCAGGTTCGTGCAAGTTCTTCGCGCAAGCTTGTCTGCGCAAGTTCTCGATGCAAGCTTTTCTGCGCAAGTTCTCCTTGTGCTTTTTTCCACACAAGTTATCTGCTCGAATTTCTCATAAACAACCGACAAATTCCAAAACTTGATCTGCGATGAGCACCACAAGGAAGCAAAACACTTGGGCTTTTGCCCACTCCCATGCGGAGGGTCGCGATCGCACGACGTTCGTGGTGCAATCATGAAGTAAAATCTGCGTGTAGCTCGCAGCTCTCTGCCATCTCTCAACACGATATCTGATGTGTATTGTCTGCAACATCTCATGATGTCTCACGTGTAGGCGCAGAGTAACATCTCTGCGCAGCTCTCTGTGCAACTCTGCGCAATCTTTGCGCGTTAGAGCTCTGTGAGCCGTCGCTCCGTGCACTGAGCAGATCAAGGCTCTGTACGCTATCTCTCTGTGCAAGAAGTAGGCGATCTTGTCTATGTGCATCGCTCTGCGTGCTCTCTGACTCTGTCTGTGCAAGAAGGGTGCGCTCTTACAAGAAGAACCCTTCGGGGGGGAACAATCCAAAGTCTTGCAACAACGACAAAGGTTTTGTTTCATGCCGCAAGTTTCCAAGGAAGCCCGCCTCCGAGATTTGAGTGACCTTCTTCTGAGACATGGTGACTGAAGGGATTGCCGCACGCAAATTGTGCATCAATCTTTCTTTCGAAGGCCTGCGCCAGTGCACGACGCTCTTCACTCTTTGCTCCGCCCACCGAGCAAGAGGCAAGGCGTCAAGTTGGAGCACATGGCAACTGCCTCACTTCGATCTGGAGTGTACCTGTGGGAATACGCCACAATCGCAGCCATTTCTGCAGGCCGCCAGTGGAAAAGGGTGCAGGGCACCAACCGCCATCCTTCTGCCACCTTTTTCAGCAACTCCTTTTGCTGTTCAAAGAACATCAAACCTCACCATACAGTTCATCATGGGAGGGCCAGCCACCTCTTGCCTTGAAACACGCCACATGAAATTATGGTCAACTCTCTGTGAGTCCAGGGAGCCAATAAGAAATATACCTTCTGTCATGCTGCGAAAGAAACACAATAAACATGTCATCAAATTTAATTTAATTGGTAGAAATCTAAAGTGCAACCAAGCGCAACGCTGCTTTGTTCTAGCCTCTGCTGCGACGGACATGCTTCGGAGATTTCCGTGCAGGATGTTCCAGGACCTAACTTTCGGATAGAGACTTGTGAGGAAGGTTCGAGCGCTGGCTGATCGCAGTGTGGCTACTGGCAGGTCAAACGATGAGCTCGAAGGACTGATTGCAGCATGCGAGCATGACCCCGTCCGCATGCGGACAGCAATCTCCCTGCAAAAATGCGCAAGCGGGATGTGCAGCACATTCAGCATCTCTAACCCTCGGACAGCCACCTTTGGCGTCATCTTCCGAGTCTAGAGCACGCAGCAAGGCCATGGTTGCGGCCTCAAAGGGAGCCACAGCACCGTGGCAAATGTCCTTCAAGCCATGCCTGTCATACAGGCAGGACAATTCGATCGTAGCAACGCGCTTCCTGATGCGCCATGCGCAATCCTTGCCAAGATGCCCGCCTGGAGAGCATTGTCCATCAGGAGAAAGGGAGAACCACTGACCAATGCGGTTTTGCCAGTGCTTGTCATCTTCACACTGGCCCGAATGCCGGCCAATGGCTAGAGGCACCTGCCTTCCAACATGGAAGTCATCGCCCCCAAAGCCCTTCCCGCTGGGCGGGTAGTTGGTGTACTGGGAGAAGTTCCGCAGGATCTGGAGGTCATAGGAGGACACAAGACTGTAGTTGCCAGCCGAAGCCATTGACATATCAAAACACATGAAGACGGCATCTCCTCTTGCATCAGCCACATCCTGGCCGGAGATGTTGTATCGGCTCCGCGGGTGGGCCAAATAGATCCGCTGCTCCAGAACAGCACCATCTCCGCAAGGCTTCGGCAAGTGCCTGCATGCGTCTGGAACCTGCAGCTGCTCTTTGTCCACAGAGCCTTTGAAGTCATGAAAGGTCATGTGGGGGTGGCGCTGATCGCTCCCAACGAGTTGCAGTGGCAAACCGCCAGCTGTTGAGTTACCGTCCTGGATGCACAAGCTCATGTTGCGACTGTAAGCGAAAACTGATGGGACCTGCATGTGGTACAGGTCGCACTCAGTTCCATTCACCTGACTTCGTCCTAAATGCAGGCCATGGAGAGCAAACATCTGGAATAAACCGGAGAAACCTGCACCTCGCGTGCTGAAGTTTGTGCACGCATCCTGGATTCGTTCCATCATGGTGTCCTTCGTGGCAAACCTGGTATAATTCATTTGGAAGTTGTCAAAGCTGTGAAGCACCGAGTTCAATCTCAAGTTGTATCGCTCAAGTGTGGCATCGTATATGAGGATGCCATCAATCCAGCCGGAATTAATCCCAACAAAGCTTTCGGTGAAAACCTTGGCGGTGAACTGATCGCGAATTCTGAACTTTGGCACGTGATGAGAAGGTGCAGGTGGGAATGCATGTAGAACACCTGCCTCTAGCGCCAATGCCGAAGAGCTGACAACCAGCACCATGAGCTTGACACATCTGGGCCACATGTCTCCAAAATGCGGACTGCGGCTTGCCAGGGCTGCTCGAACCAAACACTGCTGCTCCGGCCTGAGATTTACATAGTGATGAACACGCGCAAGCGCACAAGGAGCGCACTCACTTGCGCAGAGGTGACGCGCAGCACATGAAGTAGACTGACAGCCTCAGGCTGTGTGGCCTGCAAGCGGCAAGGAAGCGAAAGTCGACAGCATCTCCCTGACGGGCCAAAGACCTGTACGTTGTTTTTTTGGGCCAAAGACCTTCCCTCCCCGACCAACAGGTTGCTGCCGCTTGCGGATTGGTCCAAAGGACTCAGACATTCATCCAAGCCCTTCATGCACAAGTGCCTAGTGGCAGCTGGGATGTGCAAGCTTACTCTGTCGCCTTGCCTCCCCAAGCGCCATCTTCAGGGTCCTCGCCACGCCACAGGGAGACCTGAGGAAGCAAATGAGCCTGCGAATCATGAGTTTGACCCGAAACCCTGCATGATGCGAGGCAACTCACTTTAAAGTTGGGCCAGTGTTCACTTTTCAGAAACCTGGCATTCCAAATTGCCATCCGTGCAAGAAATCGGCAAAGATCCCTGCACACTCTGCGGGATGGCAACGTCGCAAACCAACTCGCGCAGGCCTTCCTGCAAACCAAGACACCGTCACACCAAACACAACAAGCAATGGTCTCCTTATACAGGTTGACCTTCATCACGGTTATCTGACCTGCAGGTCTGGCTGTTGCCAATCACAAATCAAAGGCAGAGTTTTGAGAACAAGATGCGCAGACTGTGTCGGTCTGTGAAGCAAAGCTTGAAAGCAATCTGGGATCACGGCTGCCCTTCACTCCATTAGCCACAATGAACCGCTCAACTGCCGTCGCCACCTCGACTCGAGGCGGCTTGCCAAAGTCTTCGTTCTGTTCGTCTCGGCCGCGGGCCCTCACTCCGACTGCGGAGTTCACTTTGGGCAGGGCATGCTTCAGATTCGCCAACGTCGCCTGCAATCCAAACATCCAAACCCAAGCTCCAATCTCTCCCTTGGCCGTCCTCGTCCAGCATCGGCTGAGTTCGGGTGGGCAAGCGTCCTAGGCGCTGACAACTTGCTGGTGCGATAGGGCAACGTGGGAATGAACCCGTCTCAACAGGGAACCACCACTTCGATGGTTAAGGGTCCTTCCCTCATGCTCTGAGCACCTCTCCCAACAGCGGGCCGTGGCCTGTGCCCGCGGTGCCAGCTCCAGCCCGCGCCCGCTGCAGCCGTGCCCGCAGCCGGATCCGCGTGCAGGGAAAGTCCTGAACGTTCGCTTGTGGCAATGTGCAACGCGTTGAAACCTGGCAAGACCTCATGCAAAGCTCAGCCAACAACAAATGCAAGCATCGGCAGTGCGGAACAAAAGCGAATGCTTCCTAGTTTGCATTGGGACTTGTTTTAAGCATCATAGTGAACCAGTACAAGTGCCAAAACTATCTCGCTCTGTCGCGGGTCCCGCATTATTGCCCCGTTGGCCCTGAGTGTCTCGTAGCCCTTCTCCATCGCCTGCGCAGCTGTGCCCTACCCAGCTGACTAAGGGGCGGAGAATTTTGGTTCAAAGCCAAAACCTGAAATGGCTGTGGCTCAAAAAGTGGTACCAAAATGGCACCCTGGTAAATGAACCAAAGACTAAAACCCGCGCCGGAGCTCGCTGTTGCAGAATGCTGTTTCAGCAGCTCCAGCCACATGCACCTTTTCGAACTCGCGGCACGGGTGCGAGCATTCCTCCAGTCGACGATGCCCGTGATTCGACGTGGATCTGCTAGCATCGGGCGGCGCATCCAACCGGCGCTCGCGGCTTCGAATCTTGCGGAGATCTTCTTCCGCCCGTCTGCTCCGTGAGCAGATTGCCACATGGAAATCTGGCTTAGGCCTCCTGCAGCTGCTGGCTCACCCCGGAAACGTGCCAGCTACCCAAGACAGCCAAGACCACAGTCCTTGGCTTTTCGTCGTTCTGGAGCGTAAGCTACTCTGGCAGAAAAACAAAAGTGCATGCACTGAGCTTCTATTTGCACCTGACCCTTTGCGGCAAGTCAATAAGAAAGTAGCAACTCCCTCACGCACCATTCAAGCACAAATCAAAGCCCTTCTATGCCATCCATCACACTTGCCAAACCAACCGTTGGGACTTTCCCGAACTAGACTTCTGACCCCCCGTTGCCCAAATGTGCTCCCAACTACCCCATGGCCCTTCCAGGTCTCTCTCTCTCTCTCTCTCAATCCGCAAATCTCAAAATGTTGTAAACGGTTGGTTTCCGTTTGAAGTCCGCTATCCCCAACAGGGTCTCCCACCAAAATCCTCCCCAAACAGCCCAGACACCCCAGACACCCCAGACACGCCCAAGCAAGCGGCCGGCCGCCGCAGCTTCTGCAGGCCGCCCGCAGCTCTGAGGCCAGGCGGGCGTTCCGCTCCGTCAGAAGGGCTCGCAGCTGCACACGCCACAGCGCCAGCAGGGGAAGCCTACGTTTCGGGCGCGCCTCGAACTCATCACAGGAAACCGCTCGCTGCCCTAACGCCCTGCGGGTGTTTTTTTATGTTGGGTGGCAGCCTCCTCAAACTGTTGCGGCCCTTCAAAGGGTCCCCGAAGCCAACCACAAGCGCTGTTCAAACCCAGGTTTCTTGCCGCACCAAAAGTGCCTTAGCGTCAAGCCTTGAGCCCTGGCTCAAGTCAAGCTTGGCAGTTGTCTCCCGTTGCTCTCTCAAAAACTGGGCGGCCCCAGGTGGTTTCCTTTGGGCTTCACTTCAAACACCAACCCGCTTTTTTTAGGAACACCCGCACAGCGAAAAGACTTTCTGTATCTCAACGGGCTCAGCTCTCTCTCTCTCTCTCTGGGGGTAGGAGCCTTTAGGTGGGACTGGAGAATATAGCTGAGAGCCGCGGCTGTGTGCAGACTTTAGACGCGCTCGAAACAAAAATGGGGGATGCAGCTTGCTTCCAAATCGAGATGCTGAAATCAGGTGCAGGGGGTGGGGGGTGCTTTGCTGGCCATCATGGTCTTTACACGACCAGCGGCCATGTCACCCCGACAGCTGTGCCTCCAATTCCAGTTGTTTCAGCCAGTGGCTCCGAATTTGGGGTATGGTGGCCGACAGTGATGCAAGCAAGGAGCACCAGCACCGCTGATGCCAGCTGCCAGAACAGGCCATCTGCAGAGTCCGTCTTGCTCGATTGCCAGAGTTCTGGCGTGCTTAGCAGCCAAGCTGAGACGGACAGCGACGCGAGCAAGATGAAGGCTGTGTTCGAAAATGGAGCTTCCATGGCCAGGACCAGAAAGTTCCTGAGCAGCGCGACTGGGGTTGCAAGAAGCAACAGAACCACAGCCAGCAGCTTGTAACCAGGATTTGGTCCATCGACTTCTCCGGCTGGCCGGGTATCAGACATTAGGGGAGAGAAGCTGTCCACCAGGTCTCTCCAAATTCTCATCCAGCCACTGGGCGTGCGCGAGTCGTCCAGAGTTCTGTCGGTGAGTTCAGTGAAGACAGCATCCAAATCCTCATCTGACATATCGCCAAAGGTCGTTGGTATCTGCAATGTAGAAGCCGTCCTTACAGACTTGCAAGGGCTGCGTTTAGCCTTAGCACGTGGGTAGGCTTACCTGCACAACCTTGTAAACATGGCACATAAGCCATTCTGACCTACTGGCTCCATTGCCGAGCCAAGCCTCTCACTTACAGCTTGCATCTCGTTGTCCAGGAGCGAGCGCATGGCAGAGCCCTCCGGATGAAGCGCTTGCCTGGCAAGCGCTGAACGCCTCTGGCCGATAGGCGCCAAAGGCCAGCATCTCCCCTTCGCGCTGGAGACGCTATGTAAGGCTCTGGCATTCTTTCCCAACGATCATCGAACATCTCCAGCACCACAGCGCCCAGGCTCTCGTTGCTCGCCAGCTCCCATGCGATGCGCCTCGCGCAGAACGTCGAGAAGGGGTTGAAGTGCATGCCTCATGTTCATCCCAAGACGAGGCATGTCTCACCGTGTCACCACCAGTCTTCTGTGGCAACATGAACCATGGTCACCCATCATGGCAAGTGCCAAGGTGCATCCAACCAAGCACACAAGCGTGCCGGTGCTGCGCTCCCGCACCACCTTAGCCTGCGTCCTCGCCAATTCGAAGGCTCCGAACGCGAGCTGCGGCCGCGGGCACAGCAGAACCAGCAGAAACAGGGCCGCGCGCTTCTCCCGGAGCCCCATATCGCTAAGACATGGCTGCGGGTCAAAAATAGGTACCCAAAATGGAACCCTGGTAAGTGGAAACATTGACTAAAACCTGTGGTCCCCTGGTGGTTCAATTTTGACCCAAACCCACATGATGCAGATCGCGTTCAGTGTGGACAGCCCATGCTTCATGTAAGGCCTCTCTCCTTTGGGCCAACGCGGCTCTGGACACAGGGTCAAGCTACAGCCCCACAGCGCCACAGCGCGTCAGCCCCAATGCAGGGCAGCGGCGCACGCCTTCACCTCTGGCTTCGAGGGCTTGCAGAATTTCTTGAGCTCCTAGGAGACAGATCAAAGCTGGGAGGCACTTTCCACGAGTGCCGCTGGAAATTCATGTCCGGAAATGCGTAGCAAAAAAACACACAATGCGCGCAATTGCCAACTCAAAGACAAATGTTTCTTGGCACACTCAAAGAGTGTTGCTAGACTCAGAAAGGAATTGGAACCACCACCGGGTTGCACTTTCATCCACAACCCTTTCTTGTTTGCGATGCTTTGTGCAAAACTCACAGCAAACTCAAGCAAGTGCCCGTGCAAAAAAGCAAACAAACAATCAACCAACAAGCCAACCAATCAAACAAACAAACCAACCAACAAACAAACAACCCCTCGAAAAGAAAAAATAGGGGAAAAAAAAAACAAAAACAAAAACACCCCCTCCCCCCCCCCCCAAAAAAAAAAAAAAAGGCAAGCAAGCAACCAAATAAACAAGAAAGCAAGCAGGCAAGCAGGCAAGCAGGCAGGCAAGGCCAGCAAGCAAACAAACAAGCAGAGAGGCAAGCAGCCAAGCAGGCAGTCAAACAGGCAGTCAAACAGGCAGGCAAGCAGTCAAGCAAACAGACAAGCAAGCACTGAAGCAGGCAGTAAAGCAGGCAGGCAGGCAACCAGGCAGGCAAGCAGGCAGGCAAACAGGCAGGCAAACAGGCAGACAGCAAGCAAGCAGGCGAGCGAGCAAGCAGGCGAGCGGGCAGGCGAGCAAGCAAGCAAGCAAGCAAGCAAGCAAGCAAGCAAGCCAGGAGACCTGCAAAATTCCCCTGCAGCTGTTTGTATTCATCAATGATTTCACCCTGCTATGATAATTGCATGCAGAGCAACTCGAAGATTCACATCTCACGTCCAAAGCTGTTGTACATACAAACTGTTGATTCCTTGCTTGGAAGGCTTCTGTCGCTTGTTTTACACCGTCAAGGCAGGCCTGCCTCAAACTCCTCGAAGGAGATCGTCCCCTGCCATACCCTAGCCCCCATCCTTGAGCTCTCCCCGTGCTCATGCATCTTGCAATCCGATCACGATGCGCCGCCAAAGAGTGTTGCGAAAATATTCTTGGCTCCCCAGCCTCATCGTCCTTGTCCAAGAAGCGAAAGATGGGAAGGGTGGGGCCGAAGTAAGAGAATGATCGGGCCACAGACACCCACTCAGCTTCCTGACAAAAAGGAGACGCGGTCCCGCCCACCCGTTTTGACCAGCTCGCAAAACCTCCTTTACAAGTGTAACCCTCAAAGGGGTCACCTCACAGGATTCAGCCTAATGGTCTTAGCCCCTTAGAAAGCGAGCGCCCATACCAAGAGTACGTTCACAATCGGCTCATTGCAATCAAGGCAATGCCGCAGCACCAGGTGGCCCGGCCGAGATGTAGTTGTCTCCGTTCAAGTCGAAGACAGCCCAAGCGGCCTCCGGCGCGTCAAAGACAAAGTTCAGAGGTGGCATCTTGAATATAGATATGTTCAACCGCTGGAATCGGCATGCCTCCCTCAAACCCACGGCAAGATAACGAGGCATCTCACTCCTCCGTTTGCTTTCTGCCCAAGTCGCCCTTTCTCCACTGTATCACAACCCTTGAGACCAGAAATGGCAAGTTACAGAGCCTGGTGGAAAGTCGTGCGCACACACGCTGAGCCCCATTCATTCAGGTCATTGCCAAAGGAGCGCTGGCAGAACTGGACAAACTCCTTGAGTGGCCAACATTCAGAATCCCAAATGATTGCCGCTGCAAACGATAACTCAAACTTCAAGTTGCGAATGTGTGCCTGGATGATTGAATATTGCCCCCATAATGATTATGTCACTAGCAAGTAGCTGCGATCTGACCCGCCTCGCAAGCAACATGCCTTGCAGAATAGGTGCTCCTGTCCTGAATGGAATAGACCATCTCCTTGTGGCAAAGCTCCAGCATGCCTCAGTGCTATTGCATCTCGCCACATGTGCCATGGTCAAAACGAGTCTCATGTCCAGACGTGCTTTGGTATCAACGAAGATGCCCAACGGAGTCAAAAGCAATGGAGTCAAAAGCCCAGAACGACAATCATCAAATAGAAGAAAGAAATCAAGCAAACATACAATCCAAAAAGTTCTGCAACCTCAAGATAATATCAAAATTTGAAGCAGCTTTATCGAGCCCTAACGAGTGGCTGTCCAACTTCCTTCTTAAAAGGGCTCACCATCCCTACAAACCTCAAGTGGACGCTTCGACTCCACCCATGCGCACTGGGTCCCCGTGGCCCCACTCGTTGCGGGACACCTGGCCCTCGCCGCTGGGGTCCAGGTAGCCTGAGTCTCTCTGTCTGTCACCAGCTTGGCACGCACAGAACTGCGGATAGGGGGCGGAACACACCTCAGGCGCGAGATGCAAAGATGCTTTGGCTCCAAGGCTGCGCAAGCTCCGGCGCGTCTTAGGCAAACAAGGCAAACAAGGCAAACAAGGCGCCTGTGATCTTCTCCATCTCCCGTTTGCCCCGAAACTTTCTGCACTTCACACGCCTGCAGAACGGCGAAGGTCGCTTGCAGAGCGACGCACCATTCGACGATCGCCTCAAGCCTTCCTCAAATTGACGAAGAGTAAGGACAGGTGTAGTCCTCACAAGACCAAGAAGTCTCCGCGTGAAAAGCTTCAGTCTGTCAAGCATGTCGCTGAGCAAGAAACGAGGGCTTGATATCGTCGAAGGCCTGTCAAGCTGCCATGTCTCAAACTGTCCTGGCCTCTTTCGCAGCTTCGGGCTGCTGGCCTCATAGACATTGTCGTAGCGCTCAGCTAGGAACCTCAGTTGATTGGGCTGCTTCTGGTGTGAATTGTTTTGAGAACAGAACCGGCCGAACAGCTTGTGTGTTGTTCAGGTCTGGATCTGAGCCATACTCGAAACCTAGCACAAAAGTGGTCTACCCAAAACCAAGGCGGCCGCACCAACTTGTGGTTGGGACGGTCCCCCCACTAACTCACTTGCCCAGATGTTGAAGGCTCATCTGAGCTGGCGCACTCAAGGAACTCCATCACATCCACCGGCACTTCATTCGTAGAGGCCCACCACAGCACCTTCGCTAAGGCCAAATTGAGTGGCTCTTCGCAGCCTCCGACTCGCCTCCGACTCGCCCACTTTGCAAGGCCAATTGCTGTAGGTCTCCAAGAATCCCTTCCGGACCTCTCAGGACCCAAAGCTCCGAAACCAAAAGGCGTAGCTTCGGGCCTTGAAATTCCGATCTTCAGGGGCGCATCTGTAGCTGATGTACACCGTCCCCTGTAACGGAATGTTGGAGAGGGTCTCCCAACCTCAGCCATCGGCCATCAGATTGAATCAGGTTGTGGCAACCATGTCTTGAGGTGCCAGCTGCGCGGCAAGCCGAAAGCGAGCCTAAGCCGAAGGCCGAAGGCCTCTTGTGAGGGCTCTGTTTCTCTTACATCAACCACTGGTCATGCCAGTCTCTGGTGTCAAGCCAGTCTCACCTCCTGAGATGGCCCAAAACCAGTCTCAACTTTTCATTTGCCGCCAACATGGTCTTCTGAAAAAGTGTCCAGTCCAGGAACTCAGGGAGTAAGGCTACGGTCCCGCATGACACACGAATCTGGGACCGCGGCGGGTCCTCGGATCCGTCGCCCTTCATCCATCTGGGCTTCACGAGGTTGGACATGCGCTCCTGGCGTCGGAAGCTTTAGATGTTGGATCAAAGACCGCAGAGAGCGAAGACCACAGATCTCATCAATAGCTGCCCCTCAGAATCTTGGAGCTATCAATATGCAAGAAATTAGAGGCCAGTGAACAGAACTTGGCATGCCCAGAGGCAAGGCTCCCAAATGCCTTCTTGGCCAGGTTGATGATGGAGCAAAGAGCCATGCGCTCGTCAACGTTCTCCAGGAACAGCGAAAAGGTTGCCTGATGTGAGAACCCAACATGCCCGATGCTACGTATGCACATATATGCTACCAACCGTTCACTCGCTAACTCACTCACTCAATCCCCACACCTCTCTATCCGGTGTGGGTTAGTGAAAGGAAGGGATAAAGAAAGGCTTGTAATCCAAAAGTGCTTCTGGAGCTATTATTAATCAACCAAAGAAGCTCCAGAAATCCATTATCTTTCCCTTAACCTTTCCATCTCCCACCGGTCGCTGTCAATGATAGGAAAGTTCTGAAGATATCCTTCCCACTCTCTTCGTTCGTCCATCTTGAATCACATTATACCTCTATCTCTTCACTAACCCATCTACTCCCTAAGCCAGAGGCTGGGGAAGGGTTAGTAAGAAGAGATCCACCCGCTGGCCAGTTCTTTCCAGCGGTTACAAATGATTTCCTCTTCCTTCATCTCCCTTCCGTCGCATATAGACGGAGGAGGTAGGAAGGAAGAAATCATCCAAGAAGCATTCTATCTCTCATGGACACTCCCGAACGAAGAGAGGAAGAGAGTGGACATGTGGATGAGGATGGGATCTCTTTCACCCATCCACTCACTCATATCGGTTCCCATCATATGTACTATGTATAAAAGTAATCATCATCATAAAAAAATACAAATACAAATACAAATAATAATAATAATAATCATAATAATAATAATGATGATAATAATAATAATAACAATAATAATAATAATAATAATAATAATAATAATAATAATAATAATAATAATTAAATAATAATAATAATAATAATAATAATAATAATAATAATAATAATAATAATAATAATAATAATAATAATAACAATGCTAATACTAATACCAGTGATAATAATACTAATACTGATGCTGATACTAATACTGATACTAATAGTGATACTAATTCTAATAACAAATAAGGAATTAAGAAGAAGAACAACAACTAGGATATGTCCTAATAATACAGAAGAGGAAAAAGACACCATACCAAACTGGTTTGCTTCCTTTAGCCACGTTCTGAACTTGTCCCTCGGCCCATTTTCCAGAACTCCGGCCTGCTCCGGCTGGATCCACGGGAAAAAGACCAGCGTCCCAAGCCTCCGCCGGAGGCGGTTCACCTGCAACACAAGGCCCAGCACACACGAGAGCCCTGCGTTGCCGATCAAAATGTCCTTTACCACTAAGATGATTTCCAACTAGATGGGAAAAGCTACCCATGCTCATTTGGGGACCAGAAATATTGGTCAACCCCCATATGGGTAAAACACCGACCTCCAACAAGATGCAAACAGCTCTCACTTTCTTTCATGTTGAGCAAACAACTGGATGGACTTTCCCTGGCAAACTTCGCTTGCATCTGCCCTGATGCCCTGGTGGCAATCGCCTGCTCGCTGTCCCCCTCGAAGCGCACCGAAAAGAGCTTCTCATTGTGCATATCGGCGATTCCTCAGCTCCGAAGCCGTGGTGACAGTGCGCTGTGCTGTGGAAATGGTCCAAACTGGGGAAAGAAACGCAGGTCTGCAAATGGCTGTGGATTCGTCCGGATTCGCTTGCTGGTGCCAAAAGCCTCTAGAAAGGTCGCCTTTCCCGTGGCAGCAAACCCCTCCTCCCGCATTTTGGTTTGAGCCAGCATTGACCGATTGCTTCTCCCCATCGAACCTGCTAGCACGTAGTAATTTTACTACCCTGTGATACGTTGCAAACAGTCATGACCGCCCTCCCTGAAAATGGCGCTGCGAAGAAAACACGAGAACGGCCGCCAAGATGCGGTTGAACAGAGTCACCAGGCAGTCTTCTCTGTCACTCGCATCCTGCAAGAATAACGCCGTCCACACATTTGCAGCTGTCTTTGCCTTGCCAACAGTCTCCACGGCATGTGAAACATAGATACGCCGTGCCAAGAACATCACGGTCCAAGAAGCACTCCAAAAGAGCACGAGTCTGGTACGCGTTGAGGTAAATCAGGTGGGACACCATTCTCAAAGCCTCACCCAAAGAGCTACACTGTTGTCAGGAATGCAGCTCTGGCCTGCATGTCATTGCGCGGCAGTTTGGCCTGGTCACAAAGCGAGCGGCAAACAGAGCGAGACCTGTTTGATCTTAAAGATGAAGTTCCCTCCAAATTTCATTTCGCAATTCTGGCCTGGCTTGCCACATCTCCCTTCTTGTAGAAGTTCTGGTCCTGATCCACAAGCCAAAAGCCTTTTGCAGGTAGTGTGCTCTGTGGACAAACTACTTGCGGCGCTTGCCAAGAAACCAGAAGATTGAAAAACAAGCTACGTTCCTGCTCTGGCTGTCGAGGTGCCATTCCGTCTTGGGCTGGATTTTTGAATTGCTGTCTGGAATGATCGATATTTCACACAAAAGGTGTATGTTCGGCGTCCACATGTACGCATTTGTTCTGGAACCAGTGACAAAGACAGTTCCGCTAGCTCGTATGTTGGTCTGCTTGGAGAGTCAAGCTAAGGTGCTCCTGAACCCCGTTGAAACTGCAAAAGCATGGGGGCAACCAGTGGAAGCAGCAAGCGCATCTCACCAATACTTCTTCGGCCATAGACGCCTACGTTCAAAGGCCGCATTCCGTGAAGCCAATCCCTTGCTTCCAACTCGCTCCTGTAGAGCAATGAGCATGCGCTGGAAGGAATCCGCATCCAGCACCGGCGCCCCTGCCGCGAGGCAATTTCCGGCGACACTCGACCCCAGGCCATTTTGCGCTCCTGAAGGCGGACGCTTTGAGCTGGAGTAGTCGAGCTCCAGTTTGCCCACCTCGAAAAAGCAGTCCCAACGTGTCAAGATGCAGGTGCAAGGCCCTGACCTCCGGCAGCAGCCACTCAGAGATAATGGGAGCCTCTCTGCCAACCACGGAAGTCTACGAAAGTAGAGGGGATCCGAGGGCGGGCCTCAAGCCGCCGATCGCAGAACATGGAGTTCCGCACCTGGCCCCCGTGCCACGCTGTGTAGCTTTGCCACCAGTGACAGGGCGCCTGTGACCAGTTGCCGGTCTGAGATGTGTCCACTTTGCCGCAGCTGCGCCTAGCGGAAAGAACCGTGCACCAGTGGCTCTCCCCAGCTTTGCAACCAGCCTCATGGCTGTCTCCCAGCTGTCCAAGAACACCTTCGCTTGAGAAGCCAAGCGCTCCAGGACTTGCAACGTTGCCGAGGCCATGGCAATACTCTCGGCGGTGCTGTAGTCCACGGGGCTTGCCAAGTCCAGCCTCACCGGGCACTCGGATAGAACAAAGCAGGCATCAAGGCTGTGGCCAGCCTGTAGTGCCCGGTGGGATTCTCCACGTTGAAGAACAGGAGAGACCCTACGAATTTGCAGATCTTCGTCACCTCCGAGATGGAGCGCGCCGTCCTTCGCTCCCGATTTTAGCGTGAGAGGTCCCATGGCATACCAAGGCTGAGATCTGCACATCAAGGTCAAGTACCTCTCTGGAGCCTGAGCGTTCACAGCGGTCCCAAACCCCACCCCCCCCCCCCCTGTCAGGCATGAGGGACTGCCAGCTCCTAGCTGCCACTGAGAGATTGACCACAGATGCGAAGGAAGGGAAGAGCTTACTCACCTTGCCCAAACTTTCCGCAAGTCTCCCGCATTGGCTGCCATTGAGAATGTGTCCAAGGCTCTGACCACCTCTGCTGGATTGGTGCAGGACTTGCACATCCTGGCAGCGCGAGTGCCATGACATGAAACGATCAAAGTGGGAAGACTGGGGACTAAGTCAGCAGCTGCTGGATGAGGGCAAATGGCCTCAGCTGAGCACTTCAACTTCCTCTCATGCCTCGTTTTCGGCCAGCGGCAGGCGGATGTCCCGCGCCAAGGCCGAGAGGAAAACGGCCTGCCACATGTGGGTGCTTGCCGGAAAATGCCAACTTGTTGGTCATGTACTGCGTCGGGCCAGTCCCTTCTTGGGTTCTAAGCCAAAATGATTGAATCACCCTAGTGGCCCCAAATCTCCACTTACCTTCGTGACTTTTCGGACCCCATCGTTTTGTTGCCCACTCTGGCCTGATCTGGGTCCACATTTGAGACAGTCCTGGGGCGCAAGAATCAAAGGTGGGCACGTCTCACATCCCCGTCCTCCAGGCATGGAACAGCAGGATCTGCTTTCGCTCAGAGGGGCAAAGCCTGCAGCGCCACGCGCCGACAGATGGCTGAAGACACGAATGCGCCACTTCGGCTCCGGAGGCCGTTTTTGGCAAGGTGCTCCAGTTCCCCAATGCTCCTACTATTGCGGGCTTTGCGGGAAACTGTTGCTTGTACAGCGCTCACAACCATTCGAGAAGGCCTCATCATCTCATTCCTCTTCTGGATGAAGCCTGAGAAATCCGCGCCATCCACCTCAGGCATGGCGAGCATGGGAAACTTGGGGTGCTGTGGACGCCCAGCCTGCAAAGCTTGGTGGACAGCCTTCTCGATCTTGAAGGTGGCTTGAAGCCTGTGTACATCTTGAACCCGAGAGTCCACTAGAGAAACATGGGACGTTGCCGGAACGTGGCGGGCCTTCCATCTCTGCAAACTTCATAGACGCCGTCAGGCCCAACCTCGGATATTTTCTTGAGGCTCGTGAATGATACGTCAGCTCAGCGCCAGGCTGGCGGATGGTTGTATGTGCCCCGTGAGAAGCTCAGGTTTGAGAAAGCCTTGCACAAGAGAAACGCGGCTCAGCGAACACGTGCGCGGCAGTGCCACGTGGGAGTGGTCTTTTTGTTGAGGGTACTCTTTTTGGCTTTAAAGGGGAAACCAAAAGGCACCCAACCATTTTTGGGAGACCCCTAAGAAAAGACCAACCTATGTTAGGCTGTTGGATATGGCAAGCTCAACCTCTTCTCAAGGCCTCGCTGGCTGGTATGCCCAGTCTATCGCAGGTCTTGTAGAGCATCCTGCGGCATCTGCATTCAAAACATACCTAAATCAATTCAACGTGGTCCTAAGCACGGAGCGGTGATCCGGCCCTCAGCAACGGAGCCGCAGCGCAATTGCATGCAAACGACTCTGTGGCAATTGTAACCAAGGAGTGTTGTCTCCGCTGTTTGTTCCTCACAGTCGATCGCGGAAAGAGATCGACAAGTTACGGGCGCGAAAACCTAGGTGGGATTCTTTGTATCATTCTCTCGGCCAAATATATCTCAACCGATTCCGTGGCTCGGACGATCCAGCTGCAAGGTGTAGCGCCCCCCGGGGTTGTTGATGTTGATGAACTGCCTTCGCGTCAGGAGAACTCTTCCGTCATGGCTCGGAGCTGCACTTGGCTTCGTGGTTATTTGAGCACCGGAAATTGCACACTATACTGTCTGATAGATTCGAGGCTGCGGGGTCTCAAGCAGGATAGGATATATATATATACACACACATGTTACATGTCTATGATCGACAATCGTGATTCGTTACTGCTTGTCCATCAAGTCAAACTAACCCAAAGCTTCGGGATGAGCAACGAAGCACGACTCCTCCCTCCGCAGTTCTAGGTGGGCGGACAAGTCCGCGGCAAGCATCGAGCCACTGGCACAGCCTTGGCAGGCCAGCTGCATTTCTTGCCCTCACTCATTGCCGGACAGAGCAACACATCTTGGAAGCCAACTGGCCAGCAAAAAAAAAAGGAATTCGCACCCACCGAGTTTTCAGACGCGGAAGCTCCCAAAATCGCCACGGACTCCCAGCCCATATCTATCCGTGATCCACTCCCGGGGGCCGAAGAAAGGGCCGGTTTGTCTCCCCGCTGTGCTCGCGGCCGTCGAACCGCACTTTGCTCAAGCCCGACCTTGGTCACTCCCACTTCAGCCTTGACGGTGCGTCAAAAGCACAAGGTCGTGTGCTGCTAGGTCACGGGGCGCACTCGGCATCCAATGATAAAAATGGGCTCCGAGGAGGCCACTCTTCCCTCACCAGCAGTCGGGCAAAGCAGCGCATGCCCACCTTAGTGTCTCGAGGCTCCCTCTCTCACTCTCTCCTGTAGCCCTTGGAGTACTTGTCTGGGCAAAGAACCGTCGTGTGTTTGAGCTTGATCAAAGCCTAAACCCTTCCAATGTCTGGCTTGACCAAGATGATGTTCAAGGAAATCCTTTGAACCAGAGAAAGAACTGCCTTCTGGACTGGCCAACAAGAGTTCCAGATTCTTCGCACTTGACAATCAATCCTTTCAAAAAAAAAGGAATGTAGTGGCGGTGGCTCAAAAAACTGCCTTGGATTGGTGTGTTGGAAAGCTAGCTTTGTGGTGGGAACAAGTGACGGGGACAACGGGTTTGAATCATCAGTGCTTTGGAGGGTAAACCTTGCCAAGTATCGGTCACAGGCAGACAACAAAATCACAAAAGCCCGGCCAATACTGAATTGAAATCCACCTGCGGAGAAGGTGTCCGAATATTATTCACATATTGGTAGACAGCAGCAGTAGCAGAACAGTTCTTCATTCGGCACCGACCAAATCACATCAAAGAGCAGTCCCGCCGCCGTCAACGCAGAATGCCATCAAGTTCTATCGATACTCTTGAGGTTGCCTCTTGTACTAGGCCTTTGAAGAGCCCAGGTCCAGCCGGGGCCAGGTCCCCCAAATGAGTCTTTTTACGGGGATTATCAGCAGCGAACCTCAAACAGCCCAACTCGAAGCCAGTCTCATGCTGACTTGCGCCAAGGCATGCACGTTTCAAGAAAACGAGTAGCGTGTCACCTGGTCATTTCGCCAAGCAGCTGCTCCAATGGGGTTGTTCGAGAGGTCCAATGCCTTTGCCGGAATCAAGCCAGCTGCATGCCAACACAAGATCTGCAGCCTATCAAGTGGAATGGAAACATCCATACTCAAAGTGGGATGCGGAGTTGTCCATTGTGACAAAAGCAACTGTACATTGCATGCATACACAAATAGCAGTATACCGTGTCCCCTCAACTTTAATTTGATTTGAACAGAAGTGTTGATACATATCTATCAACGTCTACAACCGGGCAGTCACACAGAATCACACCTCCCAGGAATTGGCTGGACCTGTCCTGATTCCTTCCGAGTGGTTCACACCCCGGCCAGTGCGCCCAAGGTGCCGTCAGCCGGGAGTTCTGGGAGAGCAAGTCCTGGCGCTCGGAGCCACATGGCCAAAACAGGTCCAGGTGGATTCCACGTCAATTTGTAGGGGAGTAAATGTTCCCTCTGTCCCTATTGTGGTCTCGTTGACCATTTCTGTATCCAGGTTTGCGCAGACAGGGGCGCTCCCCATCGAAGATCGGCCTCCCGCGGGCCCGAATCCGAATCCGAATCCGAATCGGCGCCTCCAGCACCAAGGCGGCCCGGTAGTCGATGTGGTTCAGCGAGATGTCCAGCTCGCGAAGAGGGCACCTCGCGATATTTGGCGGGGGGGCAAAACCAATGGGATCCCATTTTGGTTGGGATTGGTGAATTCACCACCCATTTTAGAACCTATTTTAGTGGGGATTGGGATGTTCACTGGGGGTACGCAGTTTTGACCCATGGCCATTTCGAAACTTGCTTCCAGGGGCTGAGGACTGGATGAGCTCGTCTTTCGAAAGAGGTCAGCACTGTTTTGAGCCGTACTTTCTGCTCTGCGCTCATCCAAGAAGCCGTCCAGCTACCCTTACATTGCTAACGCTTTTTCGTCAACCTGGGATTGCGAGCTGTGACTCACTGAAGAGCCGGCGAGGGCGGTCGTCTCCTGCTGAGTGCTTGGCAGGCTCGAGAGGTGCTCCAAGAAGGAAGCAGCCTCACAAGCATCGGAATACACCGATGAAAAGAATCGCTGCTTACCCAATGCTGGGCCCCGCCGTGTTGAAACCGGGGGCTCCGAGGCTCGAACCGGCCCCTCCGTGTTCTCATTCATCGCCTGAGCTTCGAACTGAAGATGCTTCAATCGGGTCCTGTGCGAAGCCGTGCGGACTGGCGGCGCGCCCGCCCATGAGACCCTCTTCCAAGCGCCAGGCTCGCGAAGCGCAGCAGGAGATGCGCAGACAAGAGAGCTGGCTCTGTGTCACCTTGACGCGCGACGTGGATGCCAAGCTGGACCCATGGCACGAACGTGCGACTGACCAAGGTAGGCGGTTCACACCTTCACGGAAGAGACCATACTGTGGCCACTCAGAATAAAAAAACACGAGGGTTTGGCATCCTGTCTTTCGACCACATATTTGCTTATAGTCCCTGAGGTCAGTCTGTTACCTTCTCATTGATACTGCGAACTCAGCGTCATGCAAGTCCTGAAGCGCTGGGCTTCCCGCACAGCGACCCAGGTTAAAGAAGACCTGGCACATTAAGCGTGCTGGGCGCGGGCATCGACAAAACTGAATCCAAGAGCCTCTGAATCCAGCAGGTTCCAGCTGAGGTCGAGCCTGGAGAGAGCCATCTGCCCGAGTCAATGTCAACTTCCTGTGCTGGAAAATGGCTGGGGCGAATCCCTTCACATATGGACGCTTTGGTACTCGAACCCCTCGAACCCCTCTTCCAGCTTGGACCGGCTTAGCCCCAGACTCGCGGAGGCTCTGGTTTCTCAGCATTGAATGCATCCAGGGTGAGATCAGCTCACCTGCAAGCGGATATCACCCTTCCACACCTACGCACGCCTCATTTCATCCACTTCGGGGTGGTTTCAGGTTGGTCTTGGGTTGGTTTGCTGCGAGCGCGGGCGGGGGCAACATGAAACGCGGGACCATTTGTACAAATATGTGGAACTGTCCGCTTTCTGAACCTCCCCAGCTGCTTGCACCTGAGCCAGAGCTACCGATGCCAACGTCTGCCAGGAAGAGCGACTCGACGCAGGGGTGCCTGTCAACAAATCACTTGGGTGGGTGTGCAGTGGTGTCAAAACCATGTTTTGCGGTAAGACAATGAGAAACCAATGATTGACACTCACTGTTTGCAGGGGACCTAAGTGTTCAATGCCCGTTGTGGGTCGGCACCCAGTTCTCGGAGAGGCGAGACCCAGCTTTCAGACGAGCTGCTGCCCGATCAGATTGCACAAGGTCGAGAGACTTTGCGCAGTGAACTTGATGCCGCTCAAATCCTCGGCATGCCGAGCTGAACCCTGCATTCGCGCATTCCAGACATGCCTTGCGCACTCAAGGGGCCCATCGGATCTCTGCTTCACAGTCAGTTTGCAGCGCAAGCCCATTCTCTCTGCCGAGCTGCCAGGTACTTCAGCGAGGCAAGGGCTGGCGGCACATGCAGCAGCTCCAGCCTCAGAGGCTGGCTGGTTCTTGCTAGAGATCTCATGGCCTCGTTCAACATATGGCCGTGGGTCAACACCAATGGGATCCCATTTTGGGGTAGGTGCACCACCCATTTTAGAACGCATTTTAGTGGGGATTGGGATGTTCACAGGGGGTACGGGGTTTTGAGCCACAGCCATATATGGGTATGAATCTTAATTCGGGACCCTTTTGGGGACATCATCTAGGTGGGGACCCGGTGGGGATGTATGTCCACCAACCGCTTTTGAGGGGTTCCCCCATTCAAATTCATGGCCATATCAACTAGTGTCGTCCATCCTTGGCAATGCAAGTGACTCCAACTGAGAAGCGAGCAATGCCGCTGCCGTGTTGAAAGCAGCCCCCACACATCCTTTCCTCGGTCGCCATTGGTACTCTCTCACGCTGGGTCGGCGATCCAGCGCATATGAAAGATCGAAACAATCCTGCGGCAGTGCAAAGGGTTGACGGGTTTTCGGTTCTCCGTGTAACTGCATAATTGCTCAGCCTGGTGCTTCAGCACTAGCAAACTGCGTTGAATTTGCGCACAAAGTACAGGCGGCTCTGCTGTGCCCACATCAAAAGGGCAAACAAACAATAAAACAAAACAAACCAAACCAACGTAAACCCAACCAACCAAGCAAAGAAGCAAGCAAGCAAGCAAGCAAGCAAGCAAGCAAGCAAGCAAGCAAGCAAACACTCCCTGGGGCGGCAGCAAGCTGAGAAAGCTCAGCTTGTTTCCCGGGCCGTTGCCCAAAGCAACCTCAGCCATGCGAGCCATGCGAGGAGATATTCTCCCCGTGGCCATGTGAAAGGAACTGGTAAGCCCGTCGCCAAAAACTCTGCGATGGCCTGGTCGGACAGCTTCACGTTTGCCTCGCCACATGCCAGTGCACCAATGAAACAGGTGCTTAACCAGCAACGGGCTGTGCAAAATCTGATGAGGCTCCATGCAACCAACAACGGTAAACCGGGCCGCATGTTGCTGTTCCACGTGCGAAACAAGGCCTGAGTAAGACGTCCGGGTCACGGCTGCTTGAAATTACATCGTTGCGTGTCTCCCGATGCATCGCCTCCAAATCCACGGAGTCCACGCGCTGAAGATCCGCGATGGGCACGCGGCACGCTGCTAGCTCGCTGTCTGTGAGGCCCTGTCCGCTGAGCTCAAAACATTGAAGGGAAAAAACACCCGCCAGCCAAGTGCATCCGAACAGAACCAAACAAAATAGCTCAAACAGAAGGGACTGTTTGCAAAGTGTCACACCAGGCGGTAGCTGTTGCTGGACTGTGGTCAAGGAGAATATGCATTACTCGTAATAAGTAATATGCAATGTGTGAATGAAGCATGAAGATCGGTGCGGTCGAAGCATCGAGGTCATGGGTGGTCAGCCATGCAAGCTGCGCGAGTCCCTCCATGCCCCCAGGAAGGAAACGAAGCAGAACCGCATTCAGCTTTGCGCGCAATAGGGCCAACAGGCTGCTGACACCCCCAGCCACGCCGAAGGGAGCTCTGCGAGCTTCCAACCGAGAAACCGAGGAACCGAGGAACCGAGGAACCGAGGAACCGATTGCGCCTGGTTCCGGGCATCCAGCTTGAAGGAGTGGCCGGTCACAATGGGCGCCGGCCTGGCGCGAAGCGACACCCCCGCGACGAAGCGACTCGGCCACACGATGGCTCACAAAAAGGAATCCCGAAATGGCAGCTTGGCAAATGGAAACAAAGACCAAACCTGCGTAACCCTGGCTCTTTCATTTTGAGCCACTCCCGGGTGCCACATGGCCTGGGCAGCAGCTTCTGAGACTCGCAAACCTCGCGGGGGTTGCAAGCCCGTGGTGCCAAGGATCTCCAAAAATGAATAAACCACCTCTGGATTTGGGCCAGGGGATGGCTGACTTGGAACGCACCATCGCACATGCCAGGAGAGGTAAGTGTGCGCACTCCAAGTCGCCTGGAGGTAAACGTTTGCTGTCGAGTCCTCTCAGTCATGCAGCTACCCCATGCAACCATGGCTGTTCTTGCAACACAAGCCCGCTTGAGGAAAATGCAAACAGGTGATAACGGGACTGCTGGAAACCAAGCGCAGGGAGCGCATCGCAGGCATAAATGCCCCTGCGATTACGATTCTGTCCTTGCACGTACGCAAAGAGGCAGCCGAGGCAGGCCTGGCTGCGGTTGGGAAGGATTTCAACTGCCAGCCCGCATCTGTTTTACATTTTGGAAGTCTTGCCCGAATTCGAAAGTAAGAACTCAGAAGGACAGGACGTTCCGTGAAGCGATGGCATCCCTCACCTGTCAAAGCAAATGGACGTCCAGCACACTGCCACGCCTCCGCAGCTGTGGCGTTGCGGCAGGCTCCGCCAGCTTCATGGTCTGCGACCTGAACTGAGAAAGGAAGCAACGATTCGCCCCACACACATAGATTGCCGTCACTAGAAAACCCTTTCCGAAACACACAAAGAAAAGCCGAGTGGCACGGGAGGCGCACCCAAGGCCGGAAAAGAGTCCCGCAAGGCATTTATCTACAGCACTTGACTCTTGCCGGAAGCCCACCTTCGTCCCGGAAAGAATATCGAGTCCAGCATGGACGGCAGAACCTCACTGCAGGCAGGACACATCACTGGTCTTTTCAGAGCCACCTGGTTGACAAACTGAAAGGTATGGTTGTGCATGTGTGCGTCTTTTTGACTCCAACCAAATCGGTATGGGTCAAAATTTAACCAACAGAAAACCGCAGGTTTTAGTCCTTGGTTCCATTTACCAGGGATCCATTTTGGGGCTACCCTATTTTGGACCCACAACCAAATGATGGATGCAGAGCAGCGCAAATGAGGCCATGCCAGGAGGATGTGAGCTTCGCACGCGCCCGGCAGCCAGCCCTCTGGGCGAGGTACCGGAACCTGAACTAGCCACATGCCAGGCTCATGCAGGGCTCTACTCGAACAAATCATGTCTCGAATGGGTTTCGAGGCCCGCCTTCTGCACTTTCAGAGCCACGGCCTCCAAAATACGTCTTACTAGCAGGTGTGCCATGGGCTGCCATGGTCAACATTTCCTCTGCACTCTGTGGACATGAGCAAAACTTGAGTTCCCTGGTTGTTGGGAAATTAGAGGGACTCCCCCATGTTCTTCCCTATTGGACCATGGACTGACCCATGAGATCAAAAATGTGTCAAGTTCACATTGGCAAGGCCCTCACATTGCGAAATGTTCCAGGCTGCGGCTTTTGCAATGATACCAAGGTTGTGGAGAGCGTGTTAGTTCGGCCTGCATTCCTCTTAAACAGTCAGGTTCTATTGGGCTTTGTTGGCAGAGCCTTTGTAACTAGTGGCACGAAGTGGCAACCTCAAGGCATCCAACAACAAACCTCCATGAGAGATCTCCTCCAATGACCTCAAAGAAAGAAGGACACCCCAACTGGGACCGTCGATAATGCCTGAGTCAATCGTCTCCGTCTCCACGACTTTGGCCTTCCTTCAAATGGCTGCCGAGCGTTTGCGAAGGTATCTGTCAAACATCCGGCACGAGACTTTTCCTGCCTGTGTGCAAGCAACTGTACCTCCATGCTTGGCCCTTTCAATGGCCCATTCCGGGTCACAGTTCTGTTTCTGAATACATGTCCTCACTGTAGCCATTCCCTACACTCCCCGACTTGTGCTTCGCTTTCATGAGCCGATCGAACGCGGGAGTCCTTTCGTCATAGCGAACACTGCCCAGGCCAAGGTCGGCCCAGCCTCAGCGTCCCAAACAGGAAGACAACGCCACGCAACATCTCAACGAAACATGAACCACACAATACCATGCAACGCACGACTTGAAATGCTGTGCAGCGCAACAACAAACTCGCGAGACCATTTTGCAAGCAGGCAGCCGGTAATGTATCCGTCTGACAACAGTGTAGACGGAGTAAAAGCCTTGCGCGAGGCGCATACTTGTGCAAGCTCACCTCATGATCAATGATTGTTCTACCTGCACCAGACCCACCCATGCGTCAAATTCGGACACTGCTGGCCTGCTGGACCTTCTTCTTCTTTTTCTTTCGCGACTCCTGACACAAACAACGCCTGCCAGTCCGGTGCCTCCCTGACACTTCCCCATGGGGCGCCCTTGCCTTCGCCGGTGACAAAGCTGCCAGCGTGGCGGGTGTGCCCGGCGTGGCCGGCGTGAGAGGCGTGGCCGGCGTAGCTGGCGTCGCCGTCTTCGGCGAAGTCGCAAGGCTGGGAGCTCGGCTCACCACGCCCAGAGGCCTCAAAGCTGCTTTGCACCCGATGCCCACTATCCGATTTTCCGCTTCCGGCTTTTCAATGGCAAAACGACGCCAAGCTCATTCTTGGAATGGCCTGCGAATCATCATGTGCCGCAGCAGCTTCTTCCCTTTGGCCGGAGTTGGCGCAGGGCTTTGCAGCCTCTCCTGGCAACTGTGGCAAAGGCAAGCGCCAGCCTTGGGCCTTGCGCGCCTGGAGCCACCAGCTCAGGGCTCTGGATTTTGGAGTCAAAGGCTCTCCCTCGTCTTTGGCCTCAGCACGCAAAGGGCCAAAGCTCAGCTCCCGATTCTTGGGCCCGACGTCAGAACTTTGGGATGCTGAGCGAGGCACCGAGATCTTCGGCATATTTCGACTCCTGCAAGGCAATCAGCTGAAGCGAACCACGCTGTTAAGCAACACTTCTGGCTGCCATGTGATGAGATTCACGGCAACCCAAGTTTCTGACTTCAAGGGGCAATATGGTTTTGGGTGAGGCTATCTTTGAGGAGTGTCGAAGTTGTGCCTTGCACCTGATCCTTTTGTTCAAGGGCTGGTGACGTCAGCAGGCCGGCAAGTGGGAAAGTGGAAGGCCCGCCGCTGGCCAATCTCAGCGGCGCTCCAGCCAAAGTTGGAGTGCGACAGCAACACAGCGTCAGTTTCAAAGGCCAACACCCACCACACGGCCCAGGACTGGAAGATCCCCAGCGCATCCGGCGTGGATCGGTCGATGTGCGTGGGCCGATCCTCCAGGAACAGGACCTTGCCCAGCTCGTGGAGCCGCGCCACCTGCGGCGCCTGTCGCACCTTCATCGTGTCCGCCGCCAGCAGCCAGGCGCTGTTCTGCAGCCCCAGCTGCGCCTCCACGCTGGCAGCGCAGCTCAGCGCCGCGTCCAACTCCCACAGCCCGTGCCGCGCGGGGTCGCTCCACGTGCTCTCGTTGCCCCCCCGGAAGTGGATCCCCAGCAGCTTCCGTCCGGCCACCCGCCGCCGGAAGGCCTCCACCCAGAAACCCAATCCGCCGCCCAGCCCGAACAAATGCCGGAAGAGGCCGGAGACCAGACCCGTCCGCGTGAAGCGCCGCTGGGCGTCGTAGCCCAGCAGTGCTTTGAAGAGGCGCAGATTGGAGGCTACGCAAAGCACCTCTGAGGTGTCCGACATGAAAAGTCGGATGTCGGCCTCCAGACTTGCTGCGTCCTCGGCAGAGGTCCACCTGTACGTCACACAAGAACTGGTGCTTGCCGGCCACGGCTCCTTTGGAAGCAGGATGCTCGACAAGGGCAAAGGTGTGCGCATGTCTATAAAGAAGGCTCTACCAGTAAGCAATGCTGCCAGGAAAGCGGACAGCATGCCAAAAAGCCTGTCCCCATGTCCACCACAGAAGGTACTGTGCAGACAAAGAAATATCAAAGCCTTGCTTTTCGGGCGCGGCTGATTCAGCGAGGAAGCATCAAATGGGGGTAGCACAGGGCTTAAAGCACAAGTCTCTGGCAGTGAACCCTCCTCTGGCCTCAGAAGCAAGGTCGCTATGCCAGCCAATTGCGCTCGGGTTGGAACCACGTCGCAAGATATGCGCAAGGCCGCATCTGGAAGCATGACGGATGTTGCTGGATCGGCATAGGGGAACTTTCGCCACAAGGAGGTGCACTCTTGCCTGCCCACCGTGATAATGTCGATCTTTGGGTAGGAAAGCTCTGCACACTCATGGAGGAACAAAGCAACCCTTCCGGGCTGCTGTCTTGGAACTGGGACCTCATGCACTGCACCTTCCTGGGTGTGCTGTGAGAGTGGGAACTCCTTGGGCCCTGTGTGTAACAAGAACGCAAGGGTCTGAAATTCCCCTGCCACGGCGGTCATCGACACCGCCAGCGACTCCATCCACTGGCGGACCGCCCTCAAACCGCCGGCCCGCACGGAGACGTTGATGCCAGCAGCAGGCGCTGCCACCTGAACCCACCAAAAGGGCAGAGACGGGCACGCCGCAGGCGCCGCAGTTGCCGCAAGCGCCGCAGCCTGCGCCGGTGGCCCCAAGAGTTCTGCGAGGCCCTGGCGCAGCTGGGCCAGGCGCCGCATCACCGCCTCCAAGTCCCGGTGTGCCACGCGGGCGATCTGGGCGCTACGGTCGAAGTCGTTGGCCCAGCACAGCTGGCAGGAGAGGTCCTCCAGGTCATGAATTCTGAGATCGGTATGCAAGAAACGTTGGGCCCTTTCAGCAAAACAGGGCTGCCCCCACCTGCATGGCAAAGCGCAGAACCTCCAGGCCTCCCACCGCCACGACTCGGGCCTCGGCAAAGCCCAGCCAGAGATACTCCTGCAGCCTGCAGGCACCGAACCCACCCCCGAAGGAGTCCATCTGGTCCGCAGCGTCGTTCAGGGCCCTCTTCCGATAGATCAGCACCTGCTCCGCATGCTCCCGAAGCTCCAGCAGCTCATCCCCGCAGCAGAAGAGGCTCTGGTTCACGTGGGGCAGGCACCCAAAGTGCCAGTCCCCTGCCACAAACTGGGCCGAGCTTTGTGAACACCAGCGCAAATCCGAGGAAAGGCCGGACCAAAAATCCATGGCATATTCGCGCGTGTATAGGCTCTTTTCGAGCCTTGGTTATTTGACACACACCGTTGGAATCAGCACAGCGCCAAGCCCTGCTCTATGGAAGCTGATGCTGGCTACGTGCAATGCCAAACAAGTACTGCAATAGCAGCTTTTCTTACATCTAGCCATTAGGGTCTTCTGCGATCTGGCATAATTTGGCAGAACCAAGCGCACAACTCCAGCAAAAAGGGTGGGTGAGTGCCCACATGGCACGCTTGCCTGTGCGTGCGAGTCGATAGCTGCGGGTCAAAGCAAGATAAGCCCCACTTGCAATGCGAAGCCTCGTATGTGGATTGCGTCTTTGATCCAAACCCCTTTTGCAGCGTCGGACATGCACATCTCCACCAGGATATGCATGCTTGAGAGGCATAGAATCCTGCTGCCCTTTGGAGATTTCAATTGTTAAGTTTAAAGGTGACATTGGGACCACAATCCTAACAACAAAGGTGGTGAGCGACCACAATCTGCCTCCTCTCCGCATAAGCCGAATCTGTTCATGCAGCCACATTCTGTTCAAGGTTGGATCATGGCGGGAAGGTATCATCAGCATTCTGTGGTACTTGAAATCAGCATCATCCAGGTTCTGAGTGGTCCCATTGCACAAAAAGAGGGCTTTGTCCAGCAACTATTCTCCTCAGTCTCGGCAAGCTTGTTCAATGATTGAGGTTGCCTCTTGCGTTTGGATCCTTCTTGCAAAAGAGCATGGTTGGGCAAAGCAGTAGTTGGGTACTCCAGGGGTTGGGTACTCCAGTGGTTGGGGATGCCAGACAACATTCTGTGAAAATTAGTGTCGCTGATGGGCCGCAGAAATTGTGTCCGTCACAAAATCAACCGACGTCAGCCCATCCTGCTTGGCCGCGTTTTCCAATCTGCCTCCCTAGCCTTGGCCAATGTGCACTTTGTCAAAAACACTTTGAGACCTCATGGTTGCCATGTGAGCCCATGTGGCTGTCACCCATGACACTGCTGTGTCTTTCCATGCACACATATGTTGCAAAGCCATGCCATGATTGCGATTCAACGCATCCCTGGCAATCCGGGGCTTTGGGTCCCTGCTCGCGCGAGGTCGGCTCGCCTTGCGGGAGCGCACGAGTGGTATGCAATTCACACGTGCACGTGGCAAATCTCTGCTTGGGCATCCCGGCTTCTCCTTGACAGGCTCCTCCGTCCCCGTCTCAGGGCCTTCTGCCAAGCTGGGCCATGCATTTGAGTGGCCGCAAGTCAGTGAACCTGGCCTCCCAGTGGAGTCTTCGCCTGTTCACCAAGATTGAACATCTAAGCGGCCCCCTCCGAGACATCATTTGCCCGTTGTGTGGCCAGCAACCCTCACACTGTGTGATGGGAGCTAGCAAAAAAAGACGAGTATCCTGGAATTCTGCAAGTAGAGGCCTTATCATGCGAGTGCTTTGCTTGAGCTGAGGGCATCTGTCTCAGCAAGAGCCCAATCACCGCATTGAACAGACTACCCATAGAAGCTCGTTCCCTGGGTCAAAGCGATCCCTGGGCCGTCTTTTGCCCGCCTCGGGCAGATCAGGAGGAATCAGATCTGCCAAATCCTCTGAGTTCCGGCACACCTGGTGAAACCTCGGCTGCAGCCGATCTCCGCCCTTCTTCGGCTAGTTGACCTTGTCACTCCCTGTACAAGTGGGTCAGGCTTGATGCTCCAAGGGGCTGCGGCCAAAACTCCTCCAACCTGAACACGGGCGTGGTAACAATATGGCAAGGACCAGTCATCACCGGCCTCTGAATCTTTTTCTCCGGGCTCTCCTCGGAAAGACAAACCGGCGATATACTGGCCAGCGATATGTTACCTTTCCGTCAACGTTCGCCGCAACACAAGATCGGCCATAAGAAGGACCCTCTTGTCCGGCGCCAAGGCTCCCTGTTCTCCAGGATGCGATGCGCTTTCAAAGTCTCTATGTAGAAGCGCCGCCGATAGCACGACTCGCTCTCATCCTGGCGGCATGCGCGCTTGAGACAGCCCACTCCCAGCCCAATTCTGCGGCAGCGGGGGCCGCCTTCTATGACCTGAAACAGTGCCCTTGGCTGAGATACGTTAAAACCTCACACCAAAACCACCTTCCGATGCGCGCAATGCCTACAACGCAACTCTGCGGCTTTGGGGAAGTGCCCAGTCGGGCCTACCATTTGTTCAAATCTTGCATTCCGTAAGCACATCAGGTTTGACGTCGGGTCCGAAACGGTCCTGGTTGGCTTTACGTTCAACCCATCGCACTTGTGGCTGAAGCCAGGAGGATCTCACCAAAAAAAGGCTGCAGCAAGAGCGTGGGTGCTTCTCAAATGATTTGTCCCGCACTCTTCCTACGGCTCCCTCCCATGCAACGCAAGGCACGCTTCACTTCGCTGGAATTGCAGTGCTGAGCGGGTGCACTTGAGCAGGTGGGGGGGTGGGACGTACTGTTCCATTCGTCCAAGGGGAAACCGACGCTTCCAAGGCCCACCCCGGAGCCGCACCGCTTCACGGTGCGTGAAGCACATGGAATGTTTTAGCTGGGCTATGATCTGGAAGCCACTCGTTGCCCATGCAGTTCGAGTTTCTAAAGCTGCTTCCAAAACCGGGATTCCGTCAAGGAACCTGCACCAGTTTCCTCCCCGCCTTCAGGTCGCTGGCCTGCCGCTTCAGCAGCAGAATACGCCAGGCCTGGCGCTGGAAAGCGCCCGGCTCGGTACCTTGGCCCGGAGGGGCTGCTTTGCTCTCTCCCCACAGTGCAAGACTCTGGGATGTGGACGCGGGTCTGAACAAGAAACTCGTGAGGTCAATCATTCCGAATGGCCATCAGTTGAACTGTGGGTGGGTGGGCGGGCGGGCGGGTGGGTGGGTGGGGTGGGTGGGGTGGGTAGGGCAGGCGGGCGGGCGGGGCGGGCGGGCGGGCGGGTGGGTGGGTGCTGTCAATCAAGTTGACAATGTCGCTGGAACAGGGAGCTGAGCTGAGTTGCAAAATACCAGTCACATAACGGCAAAGGGTCATCAAAGAACCCGCACATGCCCCTTACCATCTGACTGCAAGTCACGCCAGTTATTCGCATCCGCTTGCTTCCAGAATCGCACTGCGACCTGCACCAAAAAAAATGATCTTCATGAAGCTTTGGGCGCAAAACAGCGAAGCAACCCCCGCCTCAGTGAGTAAGGTCTGCAAATTCTCTGAGTTGATGGCCTGTGGGTCTCTGAAAAAGCCGTCCAATCCGAAAAAGAGCACAAGTGCCAATTGTGGCAAACACTGGCACACACAGGATTCCCAACACCAGCCTCCACAACAAATGCGTAGTCGAAGTTGGCCTTCATCACCATGCGCAGCAAACGCCTGACATGGCAGTTGATTGCCCATCCCTAGAGCTTGAACCAGCCTCTGCTGCCACGGTGTCAGCAGCTGCAAGATGGGGTCGCCCGCTTGCAACTGGCGGCGCACAGGGTATTGGCTGGCACCAGCCGAGAAAAAAATCCATGGAAGGACCAAACCAAAAGGCTCCCCGGACACGAGGAACTTCCCGCCGTCCAAGTCACAAGCTACGAGTGCAGGGTGCCTTCTGCGAGCCGGCTCTGGCCACCAGGTCGTTGATCCAGCCCGTGCCCGGCCTCGGGCCACTAACCGAGCCGGCTGGCAGGCGACTTTTCTGAGGCCCAGGCGTGGGAGGAGGCAGCTTCCGTCTTTGGGCCTCGGCCTGGAAACGGAGCTTTGTTCACAGCTTTCATGGACAAAACACAGGTACGCCTTTCTGGGCGCATGGAAAGAAAGCAAAAGGCTGTGGCCCAAAACGGGCTGATTGCTTGACCAAGCGTGCTTTTCCAAACAGCTGTGGCCAAGCTTCGTGTGAGCTTGCAAATAGAGTCAACAGAGCGAAGAGTTTCGGTACTCTGCCTCCTCATGGTCCACCTCTCCCAGGTCCACCTCCCCCAACAGGCCGGTGAAACCTGAAAAGGCAAGTCAATTGGGCTGTTGGACACTTGGACCCTTGCACCCTTGCACACAAATTCGGCAACACATGCGATTCTGAACCGAACAAAGTCGCCCTGAGAATCAACATTCCCGGCAATGGGGCAAAGTCCAAACTAGGATCCGTTCAGCCCAAAGCCGATCAAAGCTGAATGTCCCTCTTCCAGACATCTACAGTACAGAGTTTTAGGAGTTTCAACACGAGAAGTCAAGAAAACTCGATCAACCTTCACCTAGCCACAAAACAACTCCGCATGGTTAAATTAAATCACGAACGTCTGACTTCTCTGTGCACCCTCTACCCAACCATCGCGGAATTTGCCTAGGCCCTCCCAAGAGGAGGGTAGTCTTGCACTTCCACAAATTGTTGGAACAGGGGTAGCCGGCTGGAAGGCTCATGGTTCCAGAGTTGTACCCATCCGAAAACACAGGTTCTTGGCGGAGTTCGTCTTACAGACGGGCCAAAGGAGTGGTGGGGCCCGAATTGAAGGGCACAACTCGGAACCTTTGATTTTCATTCCAAGCTCCCCGCTGAGAGATCCTCCTCCCGGCGGCCTCCTGATCAGGTTGCCCCTTCGGAACAGGAGACAATGCCAAAAGCAATGCTCTTGTGGGCGTGGCTCAAAATTAAAGAGCTAGGCTTATGCAATGATTAGTTTTTTGTTTACCATCTTGGTACGTCTTTTTGAGCCACAGCCAGATGAAACATCCAGCTTGACAGCCCTCATGAATTCGCTTGGTAAGCTGTCCAGCCCATGCACTCAACCTCTTCGACCCTGCCTGCAAAAGAAGTGCGCCATATCTCAACCATCCAAGCGCGGGTGAGCATCATGCGATGTTCCACTTGGATTTCAGTGGCACGCTCATTCGTTGCGTCATGTTTGTTTGGTGTTGCAGCATGTTCAAGCAGTTTGGCGTTTGGGCACAAGCAGTCTGGCTGTTGGTTTTGCTGTCTGCACAAATTCACACCAACACATTAGCATAGTGACCGCATACTTGAGGAAAGCGTGGCGAGAAGCACCCTCTCATGCTCAACTGATGGCTCCGAGGGCTGACTCAGTGAAATGGCCTGGCTGCTTCCAGGCCAACGGTCTCAGGCGGCCTGTTTTCCTCGGCCCTAGCTCCTCCTGTGCGCGACGATTTCGCCTCCAATGCCCAGAGTGGAGACAGCCACGCCCAGCCAGCCCCAGAGCGGCAAGCCATCGCCTCGGGTGTCAGCGACCCGAATGCAAGAATCGCCCAAGGCAACTTCTTCAAGACCAGAACAACCTGGGGCACTTGGGCACTTGCCACTTGAGTCCCTTCAGAAGCTGCTGCTTTGGCCGGCGCTTGCAACAATCAAACAAATGTGTGTTGGCAAAAATTGCATAGCGGGCTCGCTTTGCAGAATCAGGCACGATCACGTCCAACAGTCGCCCGCTTTACACAGGGTACTTTTGACCGGCCCTCTTGTTTCCATGCCGAACACGCAAACAGGCGCTGAATGAAATGTGCCTATCAAATAAAGTGATGATAACATTTGTCCCAATTCAGCACTGTTTTAGGCCCGCAAACACGCCAAATCCCCAGCCAGACCTTGCCCTTCATGACGTCCCGCAAACTGCCCCCACCCCACACTGCCTTCCGCCACAGAGATCAGCACCGACAGGAGCTTCCGCGTGGTAGTGATGGCTGAGCAAACCACCCCTGGGTCAAATCACTTGGCAGCAGATCGATCTACACAGACCCCCTTCGTCTAGCCTGCAGCGGGTTCGAACAAGACTGCCTTTTCCCAGTCTCATCTCTGCTTGGAACTGTGTGCGGCCAAGTTCTGGAACGAAGCAGCATGGTGCTGGGAAGAAACAGCAGGTATGATGTTGGGGACGTGGAGAGGGAGCAAGACGCGGCAGGTTGACGGCGGATGGAACGATGTTGGCGGCGCTGGTAGGCGGAGCGAGCGGATGGGCAAAACGAGGCGGACAGAGCCAGGGCGGAGCAATGCTGGCCAGATTCAGCCGGCGAGTTGAAGAAGCGGAAGGAGGGAAGAACCGGCACCTCGGCTTCATTGTTTGCTTTTGGCCTTGCTTGTTTGGGGTATCACGAATGCTTGGGACGCGCAGGAGGTCTGCTAAGCAATATCAGGCAACATTTGACCTCCCTCGGTTCTCGTAGGGCGTTGTGGGCAGAATTGTGCATCTAGTTAGGGGGGGTCGCTTGGAAGAGAAGGTGGGAAGGGGCGTGATCGCATGTCCATCAGGCTGCCTACTGTGGCGCTGTTTCCTGGGGGGGGGGAGGACAAGAGCTATGCAGCGATGCTCTCGCTCCTGCCCTGGCAGCCTGTTGATCATGAGAAAGGGCCGGGTTTGTGCAGACCTCGTCCAAAATTGCATTTCAGTTTGGAGCAGTGTTCGTGTTCTAGGGGCGCCGCGTTTTGTTTGAGCTTTTGAAAGGGCCTTTCTCCATGATGGCACTGCAGGCACTGCTGCACTGCAGGCCAAGAACAATCCTCCTGGATCAAATCTTTGACAAGGCTTACCAATTCGTATGCAGGCGCCACACATCCCAGAGAGATGGGGGAGCAGTGGCAAAAAGGAGTGCTGTGCAACCGTTTCTCCCCACCAACACAAATCTCTCGAGAATGTTCATGCGTTACCTTGTTTGGCCTTGCCATGCCTAATCAGGCATTTAGGCAGTTGACGTCCATGCAGCCGGGTCTCCATCAATGTGCGCGATGGTGTGGAAAATGCAGGCCTTCGCAGCATGGCCAGGATGCACAGCAAACCTAGAATATGGCCAGTCGATTTTGTGGCAAGGTCACGGACCCCTTCCGTTTCTCAAGTGAGTAACTTGCTCTTTCTGGCAAAAAGAGACTCGCTACCTCTCGATTCTCGGGCCTGCCCCAAAGCGCCACAAAGGCAGAGGTTGAAGATCTTCCTCGCCAGCAAGGGGTTCTGCAGCAAGAAGCTGGAGCCCTGGCCCAGCAAAACGCAAGGGGAGTGATGCAACTCCACTTCCTTTCCACAGAATAATAAGCTCAGGTGATATCCCCAACAGCACGCGGTGCTCATTTTAGTGCTCGCACCACCCCGCAGCCCTCGCAGAACCTCGTGGAACCCAGCTAGAACCCTAGTGGAACCCTGGTGGAACCCTAGTGGAACCCTGGTGGAACCCTGGTGGAACCCTGGTGGCCAGACCACCCCGGAGCCTATCTGAACTAAAAAAAAACCCAAAGCTTTCAGCCGTTGGGGGAAAAATGAAGAAAACCAAAACTCGGCTTCTACCCCTTCTGTGCCCACCTCCCGCAGCTCCCGCCGGGCTGCGAAGGCCAGCGACGCCCCTGCCTGGCGAGAAAGCCCAGAGCTTTCCCGAAAGGTTGGCAAAGTTGGGCTAGGTGCCAAGTGGCTGTGGCTCAAAAATAGGGTAGCCCCAACATGGCTTGCCCTGGTGAAGGGAAACATGGACTAAACTATGCGGTCCCCTGGTTGAATTTTCACCCATACCCAAGTAGCTTGTTCAACAACTCGACCCAAGCCAATATAGTTGTGCACGCATAGTTTCACCAGGCAATGGGATCTAATAGGGTGTGCAAGCCGCAGGCCGGCAGGCAGGCAACCAGCAAGCTGGCAAACTGGCAAACTGGCGCACAGGCAAACTGGCAAACTGGCCAACTGGCCAACTAGCCAACTGGCCAACTGGCCATGGCAAATGAAACTGGCATGGGCATCGATTGAAAACTGCTATGGGGATTCCAGTAGAAATCAAACGCAGCGCAACTTTTGGCATCCAGTTGAAAGACCGTCGAGCCTGTTAGGGCAACTCCTGTGCGTATACAACGCAGTCGCTTCCCTCTGGTGTTTCAGACAAATACCGTCCCGTCTGCTCTGCCGCCTGCCCGCCCAACACACTAAATCCACCCCCTTCCCCATCCTTGAAGGCTGCTGAGTACAAATTCGGCACAGTTCCCGCAAAAGAGTGCCATGCATCATGTGTGCAACATTGCAACAATTCGCTCTGCTTGCATGTTCGGCCAAGGCACCATGTAGAGATTGCTCCAGAACATCAGGTCCTTTTTGCAGTGGCAGGCACACTATAAGCACTGCAGCACAACGCTCAAGACTCGTTTGTAGACTTTTGTCAGATCGTATCTGCAACCCAACTCACTTTCAGCACCTTCTATGTGTGCCACATGTGAAAGCTGGGGCTTTGGCGTATTGCCGGACCTGGACAATGCTGTGTGCAAAGCATCCATACCGCAAAGGGTCTCGCCAAATTGAACCACTAAACATGAGCTCCAAAGAAAGACCGGCCTTCTTGTTTTCACTCTTGCATTGGACCTTCCGGGGCGCAGTGCTAGGCCGCTGGGCCCAGTTGAGTCTGTGAGCGTAATTGACACCTGGCCTTCAGTCTTTCTTGAACGCCGGTAATGAGGCCTCACAGTCAGCAACGAGCAACCTTGCCAATATCAAAAAATCAGAAACATTGGAAAAATGTTCAGTCTGAGATACAGCTTGGCCCATGCAAATTCATGTATCACCTCAAAGAGACTGAAGATAGAGCTGTCCCAGGCGCCGTCAAAGAAAAGGGCACTCGCAATGAAGAGCAAGCCCAGCTTTGTGCTTTCACCACTCTTCTGCAGGGCAATGAGCTGAGGCAAACAAGGCTGAAAACTTCCGAAAGACTGCTGGACACCAAGTGCTCACAGCACCTGACTCAGAAGAACTCCATGCTCCCGCCTTGTTCCGTCCCTCTGCAAAAGAGACGAGTCCTCGCATGCCAGTCTGCTCATCCACTGCGGCAGCATGGATTGTCATTTGTGGACTCTTTCAGAACAGCTAGCAAGCCTGCCAATTCTATCTGTTCATTTCACCCCATTGCAATTGGAGTTCCTAAGCAAATGTAGAAAATATCATCCGGAAAACAATATCCCCAAGCCAAGGGGATGCGGCTTTGCATCAGCAACCAGTCCGAGCCCCGCCGGCACAAACTCGTCCTGTACCCATTACAATGGCCGCCGCTTGAAGGATCTGCCTTGGGCTAAAGGTCAGCTTCCCCAGCAGCAGCGAGCCCAACCTGAGCAGCGATCCAATCCAACCTCCAGCGCTTGGTCCGGAGAGCTGTGAGCCGCGGCATCACCGGCACCATCTTGGCAGACTTGGCCATTGTGGCCACGGAGAAGGACAGCCCGGCAGCCAGCGATGCGCTCATGCAGTATTTCCTGGATGCGAGGCGTGCTCAGAATTGGTTGTTTATATTTCATTATGAATATTGCAGAAATTATGATAATCATCATCATAATATAATAACAGTAATAACAATAACATTGTGGTCATCAACCTTGCCTTGTCCAAATCTGTGAATTCAACAGCAAGGTTCAACAGCAGCTCTGACTGCATGTCTGAGTTCCAGTTCCCGCCGAGGCTCGACAGCACTTGGCTTATGCCAGAACAAGCTAGAAGCGCCTGCGCGGAACAGCCGCGGTGGCAATCTGGGTGTGGCTCAAAATTAAACAGGAGGGGTTACGCAGATTCCGGTCCATGTTTCCACTTACCAGGGTTCCGTTTTAGTCTCATGAAACGGACAAACCTGAAACGAACAGGCCAAAGCGTTTTTCGCTCACTCCAAGATCTTGGACTGCCGAATGCATTCCCGGTGCCGGGCTCTGCCTGGGGCAGGCCCGGCGTGGTGCCTTCCAGGCAACGGCCCAAAGCACCTGAGGCACGGATCCCGAGCTGGGGTGTGCACATAGGTGGCCTTTTGGACAAAATAGAGGCTTTTTTGTTTTTCTGGTAACTGGGGCATAGACCCCATCTAAACCAGGGCCCTCTATGTTTTAAGCAAACCAAAAAGGATACCGATGCGTGTGCATCACGATCTGTCTGAAAGCTCGCAACCGATCAGCATATGGCTGTGGGTCAAAAATGGGGTAACCCCAAAATGGAAAAACGTAACGGGAAACATGGACTAAAATCTGCGGTCCCCTGGTGGTTGAAATTTGACCCACACCCATATCGGCGTGTCAGCGTAGAGCCACGAGCTTGAAGAGGTGTCACACACCGCGCAGGCCATGTGCTTTTTTTGCTCGCGTCTCGCCGCTCTCGGTGGGCCCTTCGGACACTCGTGTCGGGCACTCACAGGCACTTGGCCGCTCGAGCCTTCAGCTCAGGGAGCATGAAAAGGCGGTAGGCTGGCACAACCACCAGGCACAGGAACACCGCCAGGAAGATATCCACGTTGGGACCATCCATGGCATGGCTGATCGCGTGCATGCCCAGTGCGAAGCAGACCTAGGCTTCAAATGTCCAGCCAGCTGCAAGCAGAGTTTGAAGCTAATGCTGAACAAAAAGGCTGTGTACTAAAGACTAAGATGCCAAAAGAACCATCTGTTCCACATCTTTAAACAACCACCTGTCCCACATCCAAGTAATGACGAAGTCAATGGTTGTTTAAAGATGGACAGGTGGTCGGTCCAACCCTTCGTCGTGCCTCCCAGCTGATGCCGATCAGCAGGCCATGGGCCAGGATGATGTGGTTGATGATATGCACGGTGGACTCCGAATCCCCGTGAGCCTTCAGCATGTCTGCAACCTTCAAGGGATTCAAATCTTATGCACTCTCACTGTGCTTGCTTGTGGCTTTGTGTCGCACTTGCCTGTTGTCTGCCACTCACTTTCACAAGGATCTTGCAGTGCGCCCGAAGAACAGCCGAACTTCACACATCTCCAGACCCCCCCCTAGCTGCCGGCAGTTGGGGCAGAAAAAACCTGAGCCTTGTCCAGGGACACCAGCATGAGGCAAGAGAGGGCAGAGACGACCAGCGCCACCACCAGGTGCCCGATAAGGTGGTGCTCCAGCTGCGGCTTGAAGGCGTTCAGCATCGCAATGGCGCAAGAGAGCATACCCCAGGAGAAGCTCCTAGCTTTGCACTGAAAACCTGACCCACTCGAGAATGCCTCGATGCATTTCAAGCCGAAACTTCAAGCAAACTAGAACGGCAAAACTGCGCGTCTTTGAGTATGCTCCGCAACAGCCAGAGCATCTCACAGATTTGTCAAACCCATGAATTGACGTTCCGCTGGTTCCGCTGGGGCGCATGATGAAGGTCTCCGAGAGGATCAGCAGCGCGCGCAGGCGGATGTCGTCCTCGTCGTGGAGCTCCTGGGCCTCGATGGCGTGCTCGTCGTGGCCGTGACCGTGGCCGCCGTGGCCGCCGAACATCTTCTCCTCCAGGGGCTGCCTGTTCCGCTTGGGGTTGGGCGGGTGGGGTTTTTTGAGGTTCAAGGCCAAAGACAAGTCTTCTTATTCCGGGTCGCATATCAGGGCTCGGAATCACAATGCCGCTCTGTGCTGGTTTTCAATGTACCAAGAACTTTCTCCTTGAGCTTCAGAGTGGCAACGCCCAACATCATGCTGCACAGGGAGACCGCACAGAGCACCATCCAGCCACGGTGCCAATCAGCCCCCGCCACATCTGAGTAGATGTGGAAGTGGGTATCCGGCATGGCGCCAATCGCAAAGAAGCTGATGCTCCGGATGGCCGCGAAGGACCTGGCATGGAAGGTGCGCGGGAAACAAACGCTTCACCTGAAATTCACGATGTGGAATCTTGGTCCTAGTTTCTGCAGTGACAAGACCTCTCCGAGAGTTCAGGAGGTTGCCTGAGAAGCGTGGTCAATCATCCGTTGAAGAAAGCTGTCTGTTCATCGCTCGAAGGTAACAAACTGCCCGTGGGGAAGTGTGCCCAAGTGTACGCCTCCTCTAGAACCCTTGTGCACATAACATGGGGTGGTGTAAACTTACACATAAGCCATATTGGAGCACACCGGGTGTGTCTTTACAAAGGGAGAACCCCTCAAACCAGTAGTTTCCCTTTGGTGTCCCTTTAAAACCAACCCAAAAATATCGATCTCAGACGTGCCCATATCCATATATATATATATATATATATATATATATATATATATCCACATATATATACATATATATATATATATACATATCAAGCTACATATCAAAACCCCAGGTATATATGTCAAGCTATATATCAAAACCCCAGGGATCTCCGATGAGACAAATCTGGGTTCCACCGATTGTTCTTTGCCGCGGCACAGGCCCAGGCAGAGGGACTCGTTCTCCGCCTCCTCCGAGATCTCGTCCCAGAGCGCCTCCCCGCGGCTCACCACCCCGTCGTCCATCTCGCTGATCTTCTTCCGGGTGAAGGCGGCGGCGCGGTACAGCAGCGTCACCAAGACCAAGGCACCTGATGCCGAAAGACTACCTGGAATGGCCCCAAAAAGAAGAGGGCCATTCCTGAACCCGGCGAAGACAAAGCAGATGCACAGCTTCGACGAGAAAGCTTGTCACTTAGACTTGGACGGAACCTTGCACAAATGCATCTCAACACAGCAAGAAAGAAGCGTGCTGTGAAAAAAAGGTCTCAAATACAGCCGGAAATGATCTGTGATCGTGAGTCGAATTGCATCTTCGGACCAATCTGGGGCCTAGAAAAGCTTCATGCTCCCCCACCATTTTGGCCTGTGAAAGAGCTTGGTCGCCCTGTCTCACCCACCCTTCGGCCCACCTCCCTAGTTCAAATATGAGGACTCGCAAACTTCCCCCACGTTCGAACGATGGCCGGCGGTCGCTCGGTTCGGTGCGCCTGGCACCACCAGCAGCGACATGCCCGGGGAGGCGGCGAAGGGCTCGGAGTCCTGGAGCGACGCCAGGGTCGCCACGATGGCGAAGCCCGCGCAGTGGGCCACCAGCCCGCCCCAGCACTTCCTCGGAGAGGCGATCCATGGCTTTGACCCCGAGCACCGGGGGAAAAGCCAGAAACAAGGAGGAAACAAAAATCAACAGCAAGACAAGTGGCGCTTGTCTCAAAACATCAAGATGAAGAATTGATGATCGCCCCAAAACCCGGGGCCAACAGAAATGTCACATCGCAAGTCGGAATTCGCACTTCACACTTTCTAGCTGCTGACTAGAAAGAACTTGAGTCACAATCAAAGCCCGGTACAAAAATGGTCTACCCAGAACCATGTAAAGAATTAAGAAGGCGGATAGCGGATATCCCCTTACTAACCTTCATCTACCCGGGTTTTGATTGTGGGCTCACTTGGCTCACCAAGAAATTCCCCTTGGCAAATCCTTCAGCCAGAGGCGCATGGCAGTCTCGCGCTGGTTCCAGAGCTCCTCCAGTTCCACGCGCTCCTGCTCCGTGTCGGCATCCTGGGGCTCCTGCGATCCGGATCATGGGAAATCCGCTGTGCGAGCAGAAGCAATCCCAAGCCTTTCAACTGGCTATGGGTAATTAACCGCCAGGAATTGGACCGCAGGCTTTGGTCCATGGCAAGCCATTTACCAGGGCAAGCCATTTTGGGGTACCTATTTTTAGGCACGAACAGCGCAGAGGGCCATCTGAACTGGCAAAGTGTCCAATGAAGGAAGGGGTCCAGTTCTTTGGTGGACAAAGGATGGTAACAGCTTTTTAGGTTCTTTTGTTTGTCTCGCACATACCCGGCTGGATACCCAGGAAATTTAGGCGACGGTGTCACTGGCTCATTGACGCCTCGTAACATCCGGGTGAACGAAGTGTAGGTATCTCTCCTTTGCCTCCTCCCCAAAGGCACCGCTCAAGGCTGCCGTCACCAGCTGTGAGGCAAGGAACCACATGACCGCCAGGCAAAGGTCCAAAGCAACCTTGCAGAAAGCCGGAAGCATGTATGCGCTCGGCCAATGGGTGTCCCGTGCATAGGGCCCAAGCAATCACGCCCAAAATGCGCCAATTGGGTTACTTGAGTCAAATCGCAGGCCTCGAATAGCTCGAAGTGGTGATTTGGAAGAGCAGTGATAAAGAGTAGTGTTCCTGCTACAACCCTCATGCCATTGCACCACCACCGCCACCACCACCACCACTACTACCACCACCACTTCCTGCTCCTGTTTCTCAGTTTGCGCTCATGTTTCTGCACCAAAAGGTGGATCGGAATTTGTGTACGTTGATGCATGCAACGCTGACGACTGTTCTATCATGCCCCATATGTTGTGACCATGTTTGGGGAAGGCCTACTTATATTGCTGCATCTCGAAAACTCCTCTGTCCCCTTAAAAAACCGCGATGCGGTTCAAAGCCAGAGAAATCAAGGCGGTGCAATGAAGCCAGCGCGGGGGCGCCAGGAAAAAATCGCCGAGCAGCGGTTCCCCAAGCGCCAACAGCAATTCCGGAGAAGATGAAGCGCTTGGCACATTGGTTGACAACGTCTGATGCCAGGACTGCAATGAAAATGCAGGCGGACAGCGTAAGGATGTTCCAGCTGTAGTACCGGATATCTGTGTCAGGGTGCTGCACCAGGTAGAACATTGCCATTACCAAAGTCACGCCACCAATCAGCATGTACGAGGCTGTGAGGGTCTTCTCATCAGGGGCATGGTGTACATGGGCATGGCCCTCATGCCCGTGCTCTCCATGTGCATCTCCATGTCCCTGCTCTGCGTGCTCATCATGTCCATGATCGCCATGTGCATCTCCATGTCCATCGCCATGTGCATCGGCCGCCTCCCCGTGTGCATCTGCATGCTCTCCGTGACCGTCCGCATGCTCAGCATGCTCTCCATGTCCATCAGAATGTTCTGCAGCATGCTCGTCAGCATGCTCGTCAGCATGCTCGTCAGCATGCTCGTCAGCATGCTCCGCATCGTGGCCGTGACTTGCCAAATCATCCAGGCTGTCAGCATGAGCAGCCTGCGAAGCGAGAGCAAAGACATAGAGATAAACGCTTTGTCTGCTTTGCCTCGCCAAATTTGCCTTTGAGCTGTGCCAGCTGGAAACCCACACCAGTCAAGGCACAGGCGAACAATTTCAATCAAGCCCAGAACATATGTACATGCATACGTGCAGACGCATTCATGCCGATATTTGTCCTTCTCAACTCACAAAACTGGTCTCTAACAAATGTGGCACGAGAGGCTTGTATGTAGTCAAGCCTCTCATGCCACCAAGAAATGCATGACCAAATAAGCCTGGAAGGCCGGGATCGCCTCGTTGGTTTTGCGCTCTGCCTCCTGAGGGTCTATGATGCGCACGATGACGCCATCGCTGGGGTGCTCCACGTTCTGGATGTCCAGCTCCTCCTTCACCGTTTTCACGGTGATGTGGGTCTTCGCCGCGAAGGCCAGGAGCGGCAAACACCAGAGGAGCAGCGCCCTCATGGATCAGACTTGATGGCTGATCCGCTTCGTTCAAAGTTTGCACCACTTGGGTGGACTGCGAGCCAAATGGAGCCACAGTTGCGGGTGCAGTGGTATGCCTGACATGGTTCAAGCGTGGCCATCGGCTTCAATGCACACATCGCCTGCCAATGTGTGCAAATTTTGGCAAGGGGCCAACAGCCACGCTCGCCAAGGCGTCCAAGAGTTGGAGAAACCAAATAGAGGAAAACCTGATGCAGTTGGAGATGGCATGAATTGACTATGGCGCACTGATAGGACCTGATCATGTCATTGGCAAGAACTCTCAACTCACGTCGCTCTTCCAACTTGTCGTGCTAATTTGACCAAAAAAACGTGCTTGAATGTCACACTGAAAACATGAGTGTGAAAAGATAAATTCTTGTTGTGTGCGCCTCCAAAAAAAAAAAAAACATGCCTTGCTATTGCTCCGCTCCGCTGGCCAAGCAGCTTCTTCCCTGACGCAGATTTGTACTTAAAGATTTGTTCCTGCAACCTTGGTCACCGCTGAGCTCGACGCAGGCAATCTGGGAGCTAAGAACATGCATGGCATCTCATCAGTCAAGATGCCGTCCATACCAAATGAAGAAGAAATAAATGCCCGCCTGAGCAGGGGAAGTGGTTAGCTTCGATTTGAACCAAGATAAACTGGATTGTGCGATCCTGGAACTGTTTGTTCTAAGCCTTGATTATTTCTGACATGGTTCAAATCTACAGCTTGACTCATCTGAAGAACCGCTGAACTGCACTGCACCCGGCATACTGTTGCGCAAACAAATTCCGAAGAAAAGTGGTGTGAAGATCAGGCTCACCTTGGGCGGAGAAAGCTGGAGTGCGCCACAAGTCGCAGCTGAAAATGTTGCTGTTGCTACTGTCACGGGCTTAAAGTTGGTGGCAATGCGTCCTAATATTGTTTGAACATGTGGCATGAATGTATCTTTGCTCTCAACCATATCACAGCCCCACTCGAAACGCGCGAGCCACCGCTCCCTTCAGCAGCTGCAACTGGCGGCCGTGTCCTTCCCAGAGATTGTTGCTGCCCAATAATTGCGCGTGCTTGCCACATGCTCAGAAACGCAGCACGGGTATCACCCAAATTACAGTTCTTGATGATCAAGACCACTGACACTGACAGTAGCCCACTGGTCAATCTGGAAGGCGGCACAAGGCAACGGTGCCTTTGAGTACGGGCCACGACAACACACTCTATAACGACAAAAAATCAACAGCCGGTAGTCTCATAAAAATCAGGCCGAGCAAATGATGGCTCCACCACAATGAACAACCATGAACACCATATGCATGCTCGGAGCACAGCGCTATAGCACACCCGAACAGTTCCTGTCCTTCTTTCTCCACCTCTTGCTCCATGAGGACAGTGGCTCTCGCAAAGCAAACACGTACTGTCGTGTCAAGCTTCAAATGGCATCTTGTGCTGGCAACAACTGCTGATAGCAATCAAAATCCCGTGATATAAGCGTGCACTGCTCAGTATATGATTCCGAAGCTTGAAGCTTGCTGGAAGTCCGAGTCTTCATCTGCAACTGCCAAGTCACTCATCGACCCATGCTACTTGTTTGTCCGTTCAGCCATCCGCAGATCGCCGCGAGCGCTGCAAATCTCGACGCAAGGCTGAATCCAGCCTGGCAACGCTAGAAAGGGGTCCTTCCGACAACCTCCGCATGACTCTGTCAGAAACCCTGCAGCCATGCAATCATCAACTGTTCCTACGCTCGTACTGGCTCACAAGTCTGCCAAGCCTGTTCAGGTCTTCCAGGCTGTAGCGACGGCTCGCCAGAAAGTCGCTCCGGCCTTGCAACCGCGGCCGTCCTGCCCTTCCTTCTCGAAGGGGCAAGCACTAGACACACACTGCGACCGAGCTGACAATTCCTGGCCATGGGTAGCTTGTTGCTTCGGCTAGGGATTGTCCAGTCCGCCTCCACTTGTTGTGGCCATGCCGGGAAAAAGCTTCCCAAAACGACAACAGCTTCACCTCATGCTCCCCGTCCAAATGCTGGAGTGTCAAGCCGCTGAGTGCATGCGTCTAATTTCTCCGCCCCCTGGATACTCAAAGCCAGTCTGCTGTTCCTGTTCTTCGTTTGGAGGCGCAATCCTGCACTTCAAGCAGGCACTAGAAGTGCATCTAAGGAGCTGAACGATGATGCATCCCAGTAACCTGCCACAATACGAAGAGCAACCGCGCTGACGAATTGTCCAAGGGTGTAGCAGCAACAGGGCCAAGCTGGTGGGGAGAAGTAATTCAAAAAACAAGTCCTGCGCTGACCATGTGGCATGTGCGTGTGCACTGTCTCAAGTTGCAAATCCACATGATCACGTGGGGGTTGATCAACATTCCTGGCCCCCACATGACTATGGGTAACTTTCCCCACTTAATGGGAAATCGGAAGTATCATGTTTGTACTGGCTTATCCTACGTAAAGGACTTTTTCATCCCCCAAGTGTCAGGCGGTAAGCGCTGTCACTCGCCTGGCAGCGCCGCTCCGGGAGCGAAGAGCCGCGCGGTCCAAAGGTCGCAGCCGGCCTGGAGGGGCATGCAACGGGCTCCCGAAGCCAAAGAACCCAAGCGCGCCAATGGAGCCTTTGTCAGGATGCCCCGCAGAATGCAACATTGAAATGATCCGGATCCCCATCTCTGGCAGGAACTGGCTTAGGAGCTACGGGTTCATGCTAAGAAGCAGCCGTTGATGTCACAATGCTAGTTCAGAAATTATATGATGCTTCGTTTGCATCCATGGCAGTTTGGCAACTGATGATGTCAGCGATCACTACTGGAGAAAAGAAGCGACTTCACATAATGTGATGAATCAACGCGCAGGCCATCGCGAACTGAGTGAGGACTAAAACGAATGCCACAGCACTTGATCAAATGATGCGTCGACTTCAACGGCGAGAAGCTGCCTGCCTCGCTAGCATCCCATAGATCTGATGGCTGCAACTCCCGCTCTGCAAGCCAGCTCTGAAGTTGAGCTCCACAAAACACAACCTACGATACAGCCAGGCATGAAGAGTTCTGGCAAGCATCTTCGAGAAAGCTGCACGAACTCAACCGAAAGACCTAACCTTGAACGGAGCAAGGCCTCTTCCGGAGTCGATGTTCTCTTGAAGGTGTCCGAAGCTGAATACCTGCCCAACAATGAACAAGATATTGGATGGGCTTCATTGCATGACCAATCGTTCTATCACGCTTTGCTGTGGCATTTTGCTTGCCCAGCAACCAGAATCATCCGCTTTTTTCTAGGGGCTCGAGCTAAAGAAGTGTTTTCCTTCCAGGGCACACGGCCACTACGTAGGTTCGCTCGGAGCTGTCCTGCCAAGACAAAAGTGTAGATGCAAGATTCGTTGCAGCATTCAAGGTGCTCACGTGGAACAAGTTGAAAGTCACAGCTGAACTTGGCTATCGTGACATCTGATACTTTGATGTCAGTCTGTGGAACTTGAGAGAATTGACTGAACGCTTCCTGTTTGGAACTCGAAGCCAATAACTCGTGCAGTAACAAGATCAGCCACTCCAGCAGGAGTGATTCGCTAGTCTCATCCATTGTCCACACATTGCACTTGCACAGCATTTGGATCAAATGGGGCAATGACAAAACCTGCCAACGTCATTGCCAAAAATACCACAGCATCTGTCACAAGCACCTCACCCATCGCAATCTTCCGTATCACTTAAGTCACCGAAGCCTCGGAAAGGCCTGCCTCTAGCTGCCTGCCGTCCAGACAAAGGCCAGCAGGCAAAGGCTTGTCGACGTGCACACCCTGGCAATGCAAATACCAGGCAACTTCCAGAGTACCCGTTTGACAAGCACGAGCAACACTCACTTGCACATGCAACTGGCTCTAGAACAAACCTAGCAAGATTGCCAACAAATACGGAACGGAATGTCAGCGCCACGTCGGTCAAACGTATGCCAAGATCCAACGCATCCGTTCATGCATGTATGTTCCCTTCCACGGAAGAACTGCTGCGCAAACAACAAACTGATCACGGGCTTGCTTGGTTGTCGTTGCAAACTGCGACATGGCCTGGAGCCCTACCAGCAAGTGAAAGCCAGAAGAAACCACCAAATCCACGTCGGAGCCTTGAAAGACTGCAGTCTCGGCACAAAATGGACAGCTTTGAAACGAGGCACTGGCACATCTCAACCCAAAGCACATCAGGGCTTGGATCGTCGGTCGCCCTCCTGATCTTCACCGAACTGGCCTGTGCCGCTTGCAATCCAAAAGTGAGGCAAGGAACTCTCGCACAACTTGGGGGATTGAAGCACGAATGCTGCAGGATCATCCTGGAACCAAGATTGGGACAACTTGCCGAATCGTGTAGCCTAGCATCGTTCCCTTTTGCAGAGCTTTTCCCACTACACGCCCGCTTTGGCTCCGGCCTGGCAATTCACCATCACCAGGCCCTCAGCCAAGTTTGAATCGCTCAGGACGTGGCAGATGCCGCTGCAGACGAGCCACTGGCCCGGCGCCTGCGGAAAGCCATCGGACCCAAAGGGACCTCCAATTTGGTTGGGTTCCTTGCGGAACTGGTCAATAGGACAGGAAGTCGCAAATATTTATAGACCATTGAAGAGGCCAATGTTGTGTGTACGGGATATGGCTGAGCACATTGTGTGATTGAGTTTCTGACGCGCATCAGCGACAGTCCGCCCATAGAACCTTATCCAGCAGTCCGCGGCTTGGCGTATCTGTGAATATGTGATTGTGTCGCTGTGTCTGAGTCTTTCTCTCGCGCTCTCTCTCTTTCTCTCTCAATGCTCTGCCGCCCGAGCTGCGGCTGCAAGCCACATCTCTTGGCATCCAGTGAAGCAGCAGGGAACTCCTGCAGCGTTCCTCACAAAAAAGCAGGTAAAGCACATGCTCGCAGCGCACACATACACACATACAGAAACACAGACATACGTTACACACTATGCGATGCTCTGATCCAGGCGGCCAAAGTGGAGAAATGCCTAAGCTCCACGGAGATTCCCCTGGTCCACTCCAAAAACTTCGCCCTCCATTCACTTCGAAGCCGCGGTGCACAATCCGAGAGTAGAGCTCCTCGAAGCTCAAGGCCTGAAATCGCTCGCTGCTCTTCCAACGAGCGGTCGTTCGGCAGTCCGGCAGAAGGGCACGCAAACATGTTGCAACTCATCGCCCTCGAACGTGAGCCAGCTGAAGCCGAGTCTCTGCCAAGGCAGTCCTCAGGATACGGCGGAAACCAATATGGAGCTGCGGATCCAGAACCTTGTGAACCGTGTTCTATGTGGGCCGTGCTCAAAACCAATCGAGATTTGGTTACCCTCACAGTGCTCCTTCGCAGAGATTTCGCCAAGCTTTGTGGTTTCCTTTCGCGGCGGCTTGTTTTGCATCAACCCCTTCGCGGAGCTATCGCGGACCGAGTTTTCGGAAAACGCTTTCGCGAGCTTTCGCGATGCAGGGTTTTCCTTTCGCGGAAGCTATTTAGGAAACCGGTTAGATAAAGACCATCATGGGGATTTGGGGCGCCTACAGTTCTAAAAGGCCCGTAGCAAATGTTTCTGGGATCGATGCTGCCCTGTGTGCTCTGTTAAACACAGGCAGTGCTGAATTCGCATCCAAGTCTCGTGCATGAGCTCCAAAACTCTCGGAGGCAGCTTGCTTTGGCCAGCCACATACTTGCAGAACGCCTCCTCCAACAAGCTTGCAAGGTGGGAGCGGAAGCTTTGTGAAAGGAATGTCCTTTGTCTGCCCTGGCAAGCTTGCCATAACAACTTCAACGTAGAAGTCAAAGTAGAGTTTCGACGCCTGGCACAAACTACTGATTCGCGGCGCCCGGATACATCATGCAGCCTGAAAAAGGACTGTACAGGAAGTGTGAGAGATAAATATTCGCACATATTGCATCGCATGTGTGATCCTGCCAGTGTGCAAATGGAGAGTATAGGCCACCTACTGAAGAAAAGAAATCGGGTGCTATTGAGTGATGCGCAAGTGTGAGAGCATTCGAAGGGTGAAGGGTAGTGGAAAGTGCCTTGTCACAGTGTATCATTGAACATGAGGGTTGGCTCGATTTACGAAAGAAACACTCTCAAGACTGACTGCACGAAAGTCGAAAGTATGCAGATTGTCAGAAACATGCATGAGGAGACTTGTGCACCATCGGCATTGAAGTTTCTACAAGCACTATGCATGCTGATTGACACCAGCATTGTACGCGAGCACAAAGAAAGTTGGTAATACTTGCTGTGGTACAATGGCTATGAATTTTAATGGGGAACGTCCAACTGTTGGTGAACATAAATCCCCCACCAAAACAATGTCCAAAGGATGCCCAATTGAAACTCATACCCATACCTGATTTGTCTGTGATCTATAGGCTGCGTGGCATGAATCGCCTTGCTGAACCTGTGCCAGGCGATTTCGTCCAATTCTACAGCAGAAAGAGCCCGGACAAACATCAGCCATATCTGGCATGTGGCCTGCCATGGACACAGCGTGGTTGGTGGATTATTGAAGTCGAAAACACAACTTGTGCTGCGAATCTACGCGCCGCAAGCTTGTAAGCTGAAAGAAGTATTGCTAGTACATTATGAAATACATGAAATCATGAAACACCATTTGTTTGAACACCTGAGTAGTGTCCATGTCAAGTGGACATTCCCCTCCGGTTCCAGGCTGGACAATTTTTGTCCATCAATTGCAACATCAAGCCATCCGCACCCTCCTTTGTCTTATTCGAGATTTGTTGCTGCCGTGCATGTTGCCGTGGGACAATTGGTATGTCAGTTTCTGCATGTGGACAAGTGCTGTGATTTTCATGCAGAACATGAGCTTGCTGAAACTCTCAGAAAGATCTATGCATGTTGCTTGTCATGTCTATGTACGTGTTATATGGTTGATGTCATGTATCTCAAAGTCCATTGCCCTCTGTGGACTTAGGCGAGAGCCCTGTTCTGCATCAAAATCATCATCATCATCATCATCATCATCATCATCATCATCATCATCACCACCACCACCACCACCACCATCATCATCATCATCATCATCATCATCATCATCATCATCATCATCATCATCATCATCATCATCATCATCATCATCATCATCATCATCATCATATCATCGTCATTGTGGCTGTGCATCAAAAATAGGAAGCGCGCCAAAAGTCTTGTATCGTGCCGGGCTCCATTCAACTGAACACTAAAAGGATTCTGAATTTTGTCATACCCACGTGCATACGCTCTCTTGTCTCTTCGTCTCTGTCTTTCTTCACCCGAAACTTTATCAACATAGTATTTAATGAACGTCCAAAACGCGATCAATGTACAGCCCAAAAGCCCAGTCGAGCTGAATCTGGCCAAACTGCGGAGAAAGCTTCGTGTCTTTCCATGGGCCGTTCTGTCCGGCCTCGACGGCTTCGAGGACAGTCGAACCGTTGAAGCTTGAGGCAGCGAGTCTAAAGAATGCAATGCACCAGTCCAAAGACATCGCCTCAGAGCCAGAACACTGTCACGTGCATTGGGTTTTATAAAAACCCGATGCAAAAACAAACAAAAAACGGCCCGCGGATTTTCTCTTTACAAATGGCATGGCAGAATCTGGCACCAAAAACTTGGAGCATGGCAAACACGCCGGTGTCCAGGGCGCAGGAGTCAGCAGCCACAAGGCACTCTTTCCGGAGAACCTCTACCTGAGCTTAAATGCAACAGCCCCACGCCAGAAACTGCTGCTAGGCCAAGTCACGCTCGCTTTTTGGTAGAAGGCTTTCACACTGCGAGTGGCTCCCGTCGAGCTTTCAAAGGCGAAGACACCGTGCCGAGAGCCTGGCATTCTCCGACAAGCCAAGCATCAAAAGAAGTCTGCCCTTGCCTTGCTCCAGAGGAGCAACTTTGCCAAATCCGCAAATCGCCCCGCGCTCGGCCAACGCGTCTTCCTCCGTCAGCTGGCCTTCGTGCCAATCCAAGTGCTTGACGCTAGCATCACAAAGCAAGCCTCGAGCATCGAAGTCCACAATCACGTCACCTGAGGTGCCCGCTGCACCACGAACTGGACTCTTCAGTGTGTTCGTGCGGACGTCTCAAATGTACTGGACGGGTTTGACTCACTTGCGGCACAAGAAGCATTTTCTGCTGGCTTCAAGCTTGACTATCTATTTTGGAGCACTGTCCATGCGGGCAGGACAGGTGCGAAAGATGCTGGGCTAGACTACGGTGCCATTGGGGCACTTGCTGATCCTGTGCATTTTGCAGCACTTCCGCATTTCCTTCCATTTCACAATCGGGAAGCCTTGCCCTCTCGACTCACAAACAGCCAAAGTTGCCAAGCAGCCCGAGGCAAGAATGATCTCGCCGTCCCTCCATGGATACCTTCATCTCATCTCAAGCTCTGAAGCACTGCAACAACAAGCTTCATACCAAAACCGAACTTCAAGCATCCCCCTCAAAAAGCGACCCAAGGCTTGTTGGTGGATGCTTCATGTATCCTCACTGGGGGGACAGCTCTCGCGCCTGAAGTAGAGACTCAAGAGGAGGTCCAGCACCACAGCAGGGCATCCGGAATTCTCACTGCAGAGTGGGCCAAAGAGCTTGCCTGGGCATGGGTGCGCCTTTGTTTGATGCTACCCCTCTTGTTGGGGGCTTTAAAGGAAAACAAAAAAGGAAAGCCACCAGTTTGGAGGGACACCCACATTCGAGCGGAACCTGCACAATGGACGCAGGCCTTCAGGTACATAGCACGGCAGCCTGCGGCTCTCCCCACCTGTCGCGTCGCTGTCCCTCTTCAGAATTCATAAGTCGCAGCCACTGCACACTCACTGAAAGACTTGAAGAGTGTCTCACCTTCTCACTCTCACTTTCTCGCTTGCATGAGTTTTTGAGCATGACTTATGTGTTGAGCGAAAGGATATCGAGGGAATCTGCAGCACTCTTCAACATATTTGCTCAAACCTCATGCAAGCGAGCAAGTGAGAGTGAGAAGGTGAGACACTCTTCAAATCCTTCCTCTCAGCACATGAGTCATGATTGTCATGATCAAAACCTGGTGTCAAAATGATCTACCCCAAACCCGCACCCATTTGTGGTTGGGATTCTCCCTTACTGGCCTTCGTCTACCCGGGTTTTGATTGCGGCTCACATCCTTCCTGCCTGCATGTAGTAGCAGCACTCGCCTCGTTCCGAAGAAGGCACGCAGACCGTCCTGCGCGGTGCTCCCATCTTGCTCTCTCAATGCGTGTGCTGTCTATTCGCTCCTCCTGCAGAATTCCGCCCTCAATCGCAAGCCCTTGCCTGACCAGCAGAAAGCATGGCCATCACAGGAAGTGCCAGACAGTGGTTTGGATAGTTTTCTTCGTGTATTCCGACTTTCATGTTTAAATTGATGTGGCAATGTTATAAAAAAAGCTCCAAAGCTTACGCTGTGCTGCTCCTCTCTGTAAAGCGCATTCAGTGCCACCATAGTGCCGCCACCACTGCCTGCACAGCATCAATGCATCGCTGCAATCCTAAGCCTAAGCTTGGCTTGCAACATGTGTTTGGCCTACCCGTCCATGAGGAGGATCAGGATATACTCGAAACTTCAAGCTGCCTCAGCGCCCATGCTGAAGCTTGCTGTATTCAAGCCTCATATCCAACCTCTGCTCTCTCGCTCTCTCACTCTCTCTCTCTCACTCTCTCTCTCTCTCTCTCTGTCTCTCTCTCTCTCTCTCTCGTTCTCTCTCTTGCTGCAAACAAATGCCTGGGGTGGGCTTGGATCGCAGTGCATTTTCCCCACCCTTCTCTTGCTGCAAGCATGGGTGACAGTCTCATGGAGGCATGCCACAACTCATCACGTATCGTGCCATGTCTTGCAACGAGGAAAGAACTGGAACGTTCGACTCATCCTCGGCGGCAGTTCTATCCTGCCGGAGCTCATCGAGTATGAGTCTCTCGGTGTCCAGATACAGTATGGCATCTGAAGAGGTGTCAAAAACCATCATGTGAGGGTAGGAGCAAATCAAAGCAATGAAGCCGCTGGTTACACACCAGCGGCTGGTGTAAGGAACGTAGCCAAAGTGTTCTGGTTCGCTATATTCCGGAATCTGTGTCACTGCAACGTAGCTGACAGTGAAGCCCAGCCACCAGGTGAGAGCTAAGCAAATGGTCTGAAACAAAAAGGTGGTGCCATTCAGGGAGTTGGCCACCAGCTGGCACCTCACGGAGTTCTTCTGGGACTGCTCCATGGCTTGCCTCAGAGAGGAGGAGTGCAGCACCAGGTCCACGAAGGCATTGGCCGAGAAGCGGTCCAGGCAGCCGTAGGCGGTGCCCAGGCACGGGCAGCAGCTCTGCTCCATCCAGCCGAAGGGGTTGCGCTCCATGCGCTGCACCGCCGTGAGAGTGCCCAGGCAGAACCGCAGCGGCCGCACGAAGCCGATGCACACGGCGCCCATGGCGCAGCTGCCCAGGTGGTACCTCAGCAGCAGCCAGAGCGTGTGGAGGCTCAGCGCCATGCCAGGCACCTCCCCCGTCTCCCTGAGGTGGACAAACCACAGCACCGTGAGCGCCGAAATCGCCAGCTCCCAGAAGGTGTTGATCAAGTTCCAGGTCCACAGCGCGAAAATGCTGTAGAGCACGGCGCAGGACACGTCCGCCACTTCGTGAGCTGGACCGCCGTAAAACAAAAACTTGGGCTGACCTGTGCGGATGTCAAAATGCAGCGTGGTCGGAAGAAACCTCAAGCAAAATAGCATCAGGAGAAACCAAGCAATCTTGGAGATCATGACAAGCGCCGGTCCCACTTCCAGCATCGGCATATCTGTGACCTGTGCCAAAAGCCCAGCCAGGTGATTGACACCTCGAAATGGTTGCTGCCCGAAAGGGGTGCCCTAGCATATTCAATGAGATTTCGCATCCCCCGCGTTGTACACTTGAATATGTTGCATCGAGCGCACATGTTTGCAGCTGACAATTGAAATTGAAACACCTCATCGTCAGCTTGTAACTTGTCTCGCACAATGACATGCTTGCTCGTTGCAGAGTGTCTGCTACAGTAGCAATTCTACTCTAGTTCCACCTGGTTATCTGCAAATCCATTTTACATTCTGGCAACTCTACATGGGTGTGTCTTTTTTGGGGGTACCCTGTTTCAAAAGGGAACCAGAGCAAAACCGCCCATTTTTGAGGGTTCCCTTAAAACGGACACCTCCGACACTGGAACAAAGGCCTCAGAACTGAGAGAACTCAGGACCGAGCACACTGGCAGGCCGCATGGAGACAAATCGCCGCTTTGTCCAGCTGAGGCGTGCTGCGACAGGCCAGGCAAGCAAACATACACGCCAGGGAGACCAGGAAAATGGCGGTGATTCCTAAGCCATGCGAACAAATGGCTTCCCGCAGAAAGCTGAAAAACACCACACCAGTGTATGTTTTGTTGTATTGGTTGGTTTTGTTTTTGATTTAAAAAAAAAAAAAGGTTTGGTGAGAATGATTCATCAGCAGGCAGCGCATTGCCCTTCGGAGAATGGATGCGACATATATGGGCACTTTAAGCGCAACAGCTACTGCGAGGCCAAGAATCGCTGTACTTCGCCGTAGGCAAGCCACATATAGGCCAGGCAAACCAGGGGCAGAATGACCAGCAGGTACACGCCAAGCCAGGCCAGTGTGCTCGCATGATCGCGCAGAACTCGAACCCACGTGTGGGATACGAGGATCGACAAGAAGCCAGCCACCGCCAGTGGAGGCCATGCAAAGTGCAATGTGATGTACATGTCGATGCTATCATAGCCATTTGCTTGCAGCTGAGCCCTTAGGTTGGCCGCCAGTGTCGCATTGGTGGGCCAGCAAAGAGGTCCCACCTGGTCGGAGTCGTAGTCAGAAGCAGTCAGGCCGGGCCATGCGAGTTCACAGTAGGCCTCGCGCCGGGAGGTTTTAATTTCGCAGCGCGGGACGCAGGTCGCAAGAAAGCTGCCATTGCCCAATTCTGCGCCGCAGAGGTACCAGAAATTATTGCCCACCTCGGTGTAAACACCGCACTGTGTGCCAGCTTCGTTGGTCAGCCGAATGAAATCGTGGCGCTCTGGCTTGTAAGAGCCTAGCATGACCGCCGCAAGAACTACCCCTCCGAATAACAGCCAAGCTATGCAGCACCCGAAATCGGTGCAGCGACGCACTACTTTTGTGGGTGCTATGATCAAAGCCTGTTCCTCATCCACAGATACATCCAAGTCTGACTGGTTTGTTGTACTACTCGAAGTCACAATATCATTGCTGTCCTCGTCATCGTCGTTGTCGACCAAAGGATCTATGCAAAACAAATAGGACACGGTCTTCATCATCATAGCCACAGTCTGCACAGTGCAAATCGACCAACTCCAGCAGATGAACGGCTAGCCCGCTCATTTGACTCAGACCTATGTGGCATGGCAGAGCCGCTTGACAAAAACCTTCAGCCTCAAGGAAGCACCTGGTGGAGAGAAAAGGGCATAACTTGTGAGAAAAATACTGATGTGGAAGAAACAAGTGCAAAGGTCACTCGGACATTGGGCATCGCACTTCCCTGTTCAGCTTGATGTTTTGGCTATCTTCCGCTTGGTCCAGCTTGAGCCACCAGAGCAAGTCAGGATCGTGAATCTGCAGCACGATACGAGCACTTGCAAAGAGTCACAGTGCTGGAAATAAAAGCAGCCAAGATGCTGGGATACAAGCCATGCTCCACTCTACCTGGGCAGGCCCCAACAAAGCCGGCAATAGCTTGGTTGTCTGAGCTCCCCGCGATCTATGAGTGCACGGTACAGCTCAGCCTGCGCCACGGAGGAGGCAGTGATGACGCAGAAATGGAAGGGCGCCTGGCTTCGCTCCGAGAAACATCCGCTGAAAAGGCTGAAGTCACCCAAGTCTCGCCTCCCTTGCCATGGCTCTCGACAGCTCCAGACTTAGCCTCTCTGGTATGCTCCACGTTCTCTCTGTGCGTGCTTTAGAACCAGCAGTCCATGTCTATTGGACTTGGCCCCAACCTCTGTGTGCCACTATGGCATGGCAGAGAATTCAACAGGGAAAGCCCTGCAGCCTCTGCCTCACAGTGTGTCCAAACAATCCAGTCACCTCTTGGACGCTGGCGAGCCAAAAGCCACGCTCACACATGTGTAGGATCCGGATGGGCGGGTGGGTTTAGCTCTTGGATGTTTCAGATGCTCTGCATCTGCACCCAACTAATGTTTCCGCGCGCAGAGACGGTATGCATGTATTGAACTCCGCAGCTACGATGCCAAGCAGCAGCAACAAGAGCGCATCAGTTCAACACTAAGTTGCAACCTACAGGATCGCTCCACAGACCGTCCAGAAACTAGGATCATGGAGATGCTTTCCACAGCATCTTAGACTCTTAGAGTGTGTGTGTGTGTTGAAAAGTGTCAAGCCCGAGGTAGCCATCATGGGTCATGCTCAAATGTGTCACCCATGTGACTGAGAGCTTGTCAGCTTTCTTGGACGAGCCTAGATCTTTCCAAACACAAATGGTCAACGCAGACGTTGCAGCGATACTCCCGGTTGTATTGGGCACTCAGATTCCCAGAAGGACATTGTTCCAGACCAAGCGTCTCCAAACATCACCCCGAGGACGGGAAATCCGCCGTATCCAAGAAGATGGCTTTAGGATCAATTTCAACTATGTGATCCGCATAGGCTGTGGCTGTGCCCGGATTCCTGGTCTCAGCTGCAGGGGATAAGTGTCTTACAAAGCTAAGATTGGGCGAATTGATGTTGGGGACCTCAAAAATGACGATGGTGCTTTGCTTCTCAGCAGCAGTTGCTGCAAGAAGTGAGTCACAGGCTTTGCCAGCAACACACGCAATCCTTCTCAGATCGTGCATCAGCTGTCCTTCCGAGAGGGCAGGCATCTGGATTTTCATCACTGCCATCGTTGCGATTCTTGTGCCATCTCTTCCAAAGTCCCGCGCAGGGGTCACAAGTGAGAACTCTTCATTTTAGATGCCGTTGCGTGCCCGCGGAAAATGTGCGCGTTGCTGAGTCTCAAAGTCCCAGAGATAGATCACCGGCTGTATGCTCGCAGTTAGTGGAGTGCCATTAGGCTCCACCACGTCCCTCAACTTCATCTTCTCCTCCCATTCGTAGCCAACGTCGTCACCATTGAGCATGTACGTCTTTCCTTCCACTTCTGGATTCAGGCCAGCATACGTTGCAAGAGTGCAGGCTTGGTCTTTAACCAGGTCAATAGGAATCTTTGACCAGTGATCGTGGACGACGCATTGCAAGATATTCAGGCTCCCGGCTCCCGGCAGCACTGTACGACTGAGCAGAAGCAAGGTCCATTGTACTGACCAGGAATTGTCGTCCCAGCAACACCATTGCATCGTAAGACAAGGGCAAATGCACTCCATTTTGAATCAGCTAGCTGTCCGTGTCGGAGTCGAAGATCACTGTGTGCTTTTCGACTTTTGCCACATTGCTGTCACATTGCTCCAGTCGGAGCTTTCGAATATCATACTGCCTGCTGGGTCAGTAAGGCCGTTCTTCTAGATTAGATGGCTTCACCTTAACTTGCAATCGCCAGCTTGGTGCAGTCGCTATTGGGCAAAATCATCTGGCAAAGGACTAGCTTCCAAATTCTCAATGCTGGCAGGAGCTGCGGGGGGAGGAATGCTGCACGGACCATGGCAAAGGTGGATGGAGTAGCCCAATTGGCGCGGCCGAGAGGCAACCAGAGTTGACAACAGCAGCAACGGTATATTAGCTTCTAGTTTCCGATTCAGTTTCAATTCCCCCCGGTAGGCTCTTGCATGCTGCTAGGGTCTCTCGCTACGCTGCGCCAAGCCGTTTTTTTTCACTTCAGACCGCTCTGAAGACATGGACAGCGTCTGTGAGCCACAGAACCTGCAGACAGGATCAATGTGCGTTCCTCTGAAGAAAAGACTAGCTATGTCAGGCAGGATGCGATCGAATACATCTAAGCCTGGCCTGCGTCCGCATGAGCTGAGTAGCATCTGCATCCAGCTCAAAGCCAGCAGCCTCAGGCCAAAGCTATTAAGAATGCCCCCAGTCGGCCACTCGCCCACCTCGACAGCTGCACGCACCTGGACCCAGGGCCTCAGGAACGCGCAAGCCATGAGGCACCACTAGCAATTCCTGCGGAATAGCCGTTGCAGTCTCATTGAGACATGTCTGTGTTTGGATTAACAAATGACATCCATACTGATCTCTCACAGGCCACTCATAAAAGAGATAAGTGTCTCGCATTGAAGCGCGTCATTTCAATCCCATTGGCCACTCAGGCGGCAGCTTGGCATTTGGATGCCCCGGGCCGCTATGCTCCGACCTCGGGGCAGCCGGCCGTGTTTCTTACGACACCACCAGTTTCCCTTGGCCCGACACCACGACACCACCAGGCCCTTTCCGGCATGCCGCCGCAAGTTGGCCAAGGCCACCGCCTGGCGAGGCGGAAAAAGAAGAAAGAAAAAAAAACACGCGCGGCTCGATCGACCTTCGATTCGAAAAACCCCCCACCTCCCGGTCGCCAGGGATGTGCTCCAGGACCTCCGTGTGCGGTTTGGCAGTTCTTCGAGATGGGGAGGCCTTGAGGGGCTGCTTTTTTTCCTTCCGTGCCATTCAGGCTTGCCAAGTTCGCGGAGAATACGTGCTACGCATCAAGTCGAAGGGCCATCTTATACTAGTTCTCCACTCACACTCTGCTTCGACTGGCGATTCTGGACAGGTTGAATCACAAAAGCACGCTCGGGCAATGCTGACTGACCTCATATTTCAAACCACGGATTGACCAGTAAGCTGCAGCAATGCTGAGTAAGCCACACTAAATCAAGCTGTCAATGCAACGCTTTCCAAAGTGCGGAGTGCATGGACTCAATTTGACATCTGTTCAGCACGCGGCTCCGATACGAGCCAAGTAAACAATTCACTTGAATACTGGGCAAAACAACATTGTTCAGCTAGACCGGACAGCAGAATGCAGTATCAAATGCATAGTCCGGCAAAAGGAAGCAACACCTTGTAAATCAACTTGAGATGATGTTTTGAAGTGAAGCTCATCAACATACTGCAAAACATAGCTTCATGCTAAAGCACATTAGAAGGGTCTGGCAATAACTATCAAATTCATGTGACAATACAGCTGGAAATTACTCTCTAAGCATCCTCCACTTGGTACTTCGCAAATAGCAACTCGCGATAGTGCGGAAGAGTGCATCTCAAAGCCAATATGAATGTTCATCGAATGGCCCAGCATGCACTTGCGGTCCTCACCATCAAGTATTTTCTTTGCAACCACAAGACCAAGGATGTATGACGAGCTTGCAAGTTCATGGTGCAGATACACGGTGCAAACTGCACAGCAGCAATGACAAGAGCCCTGGTTCAAGGTTGTGCTTCAGCCTTTGACGCGGATTCCTAAATTGGGATCTCCGGGCAACCTTCGAGCTGTTGACCTGCAATGATTTCTTGTTCGTTACATATTTTATATCGAAGGGTCCACCTCGCACAACCTGGACAAGCCCAAACTCGTTTTTGAAATAAAGCCTCAGCAGACTTCTGGGTTGCCATTCCGTTGAGCTGAAACAATTGCTGCTTGGAAGCTTGTTGTATCGCATTTTTATTCGGCTTAGGTACAGACAGAATTGTAAAGAACAGCTTGGTCAGGCTTAGTTCAGGGTGGGTTGAGGGTGCATCTGCGAAGCTTTGCATGGAGTGCACAGTCCACAAAACCAACCCTACAAAAAAGAACTCGAGAAACCTCAAGCTCTACCCATCATTGAAGTATTCAGATTGGCTCAGAATGAGTTCCAATGACAATTGCCCAGTGCACCGCCTCGATGCATAGGAGCCAGTCAAAGCGCCTGCCCGCAAAACATGTAGCGATTGAAGCCGCTTCCTTTCACTGGCGGCAAAAACGAGATCCAAGCTGTCATTTAGCAAGTGGACTGGGGATTAGTTGGTGCAGCAAGACCGGGAGTAAAATGGAGTAAAGACAGGCGAGTGGAAGCAGTAGCAACTCAGAGCTTTCGCATCCATCCCCAAGGGAAAACTACCATGGACCATGCAAATCCCCGCCTGCCGAGGTCAAAGCGCTCATCCAAGCGCTGGGTCTGAACCTATGCAAGGCTCTTTCTGCAAGGTTCCTGTTGGAGTGGCTCGTTGTGGTTTTAAAGGGAAACCAAAAAGAACAATCAGCTTTTTGGGGGTACCCCTATTTTGAGACAAGCCCAAATCTAAGTTTCCTGAGGCATGAAGGGCACTGGTCCATCACAGCCACCAAGCATTTCACAAACAGTGGTTGGCTGTCAATTCTTGGTTCAGCTTGAAATGTTGGACCCCGGCCGCACCACCAGTGTAGAAGGCTGCCTTTGGCGACCCGTCGTAGGCAAAACAACAGTACCTGCTTGGCACGCGCATGGCACTGCAAAAAGACAAAAAGGACGCAACAGTAAGTCTCCCACTCCCCAGTCTTGTTGAAGAACCTGCAGTAGTGCCCACCTCGCAGCAACTTTGAGAAGCCCTTGATGGTTTACATCTCGTGTTGGCAGTCTTTGAGCATGCCCAAGTCGCCAAATCTGAGCCACTTCAGGGGAAGCGCAAGAGATGAGAACAGAAAAGGCCCTGAGTTCTCAAGTCGATGTCGTGGCCCAAAGTCTGAAGTCCCGCACCGCCCGCGCCGAAGTCAGCGATGGAGGTGTGGCAGCCAGGGGCAACTGTGGCTGGGGCCGCCCAAAGCCTCAGCCTGGGCCGTCCGCGGCGTCCAAAAACGCGGCTTCTCATTGCCAGGTCACTGGCAGGGAGGCGACCAATGCGTAGTCCAGGTGCCAGCCAGAGGTCAGGTTCCGGACCTGGAACAAAAAAAATATGGAAGCGGTGCCAAAATTGGAGTGCCATCCGTACGCCAGGCCAATACCCACTGGGCGAACCACGATGAAGCTCATGTCGGAAAAGGCGCCCCCTCCATCCTGCGCAGGGCCTTTGGGCCCTTGATCACGCTGGGCGCCCGAAGATCAAATGGCGGTGGCTCAAAAACAAAATGGTTTATCCAAAATGGCCCCCAGGGAAATTGGAGGCAAATGGACACAAAGACCGACACTAGCGGAACCCTAGCTCTGAAATTTTGGGCCACGCCCAAATGTTGCAAGAAAGACTATCCGCAAGTCCTGATAGGGCGAGCCTTCTGCTTGCGGAAGCCTCAGCCATGAAGCCAAAATCCGACAAGCCATCGCAACGTCCATCGGTCCAACCGTTTCTCTGGTGAGAGTTGGCAAGTTTGGAGCTCACTCATGCTGAAAGACACAATGCTATGCAGCAAACGTAATGCTGACACCGTCGTGGCTATGCGATGCCAGCTTGTCAAGGATTAGTCTCACCTGCGCCAGCTGCTGCCGACTCAAGTAATCTCAGTTCAACAGCATCTCTTTTGCTCTCAGCAGCACCTAGCCCAATTCCGGAGCAAAAAAGGAACCGACCCACGCTACACACAGCCCCCTCCTCAGAGAAGGAGTCGGCAAACTGCGCCGCAGCGTGCAGTACATCTATCCTCAGGTCAGGGCAGCATGCGACTTGAGCAACACCGAAAACCCAGGGTTGGACTAAAATGGTTACAAAAGATGATACAGGCTTTATGATAGCCCAAATTCAACCAAATGATAGAACCATCTACCAACATGCCCAATGGGGATTTTGGGCGCGGCTCCCTCAGAGACTCTCTGATCCCTCGATGTCGAGCAGCAGACGTTGGGAGCAAATGCCGCAGCACATCCGTAGAGACCTATCAGTGCCAATGAGAATGAAGCCACGCTCTCGATGCCAACAAGGTTGAACCTCCCACAACGACAGTCGCGAGTGGTAGACCGCCGACAGCTGCATCTTGTGAATCTGGCGAGGGGCTTTGGGGGTTTGGGGGGGTGTTGAGGGGGGAGTGGAACACAATGTAGAAGTGTCAAGACTCACAGTGAAAATGACTTGACTGCGACTGCCCGATTCCGATTTCCCGTGAGTTTTGTAGCCGCGGACCTCCTCTGAAAGCTTGGAGAGCCAAGTTACAGAATAACCTCAGCAAACCAGCAAACTACGCGTGTTCGAAAGTCTCACGTTTCGGACCTAGAGCATCTCGAAGTTCAGGATAGAAGCACCTGGGGACATGTCTGATCAAAATGGACAACATACTGTTGGAGTTAATTTGGCGCTATGGACAAATGGTTTGCTTATACTTCGAAGCACCATGTCACACAATATATAAAAAGTATGAACACCACAGCAGAGGTAGGAATTGGTCACGAGCCACTCTGCAGAAAGCGGTCGACACGCCCAGGCCTTTCACCATGAACCATGGAGAGCACATGCAGAAACTCCATCACCTGCTGACTGGTCCTGCGCATCGAAGCCCGATGTGTGGGACAGTAGCACTTTCGGGCCTCTGCATCTCAATCACTGGCTGCAGAAGGGCATAGTAACTCGTGGAAGTAAACCACTCCTGTGGTGTTTGGCCTTGCAAAGTCAACTTGGTCCGCCATGACCCACACCTCTCACCCGCACATGAGTCAGCAAGCAATTCTGTGTAATTCCAATCCAATCTGCTACTCTCACGATAAGTTCTTTTGGCAAACAAATAAAAGACAAAATTGCTCACTCTGTGGTCTGACGCCAACAAGCATAGACTTCTGTAACCATGCCTTGCCTTGCCAGCCATTGCTGACCAGCATGTCCTGAAAAAAGCAGCACTGACTAAAATGCACAAAGCTGATGATGGTGGTATCAAGAAGCAGCAGCTGGGATACTGAGTGAGCCAGCCGCAACATGGCTGTTAAGTCAGAACCGTCCTTCCACAGATTCAAGTCAGATTTGATCCGCTCGAAGGAGGTGTGATACTTTTGCATGATCTGAAGACGCACAAGTCACTAGACCGCATTAAGTGTTTGTCTTGCGGCACGTTGCTTCCAAGTGACTATGATGTCTGACTTGAAAAGCATGCACAGCCTATGAGCTTCCCACCCAGTCGAGCAAGAGCATCACCTTCCTCCGTCACAACGGCGTTCAACAGCGGAGCGAGAAAAGCAAAACGCAGCAATGCCGCTCCAAAAGGGTTGCAAGCGTGTAAGCAGCACACACGCAGGGAAAGGTTGTGTCAGCCAGCTGACCAAACGCATCTTGGGACCTCAGGCTAGGCCCAGCTCTAAACAAATGAACACTGGGAACACTGATTCCCTCACAGCCATCCCCGCAACCTGTATAAGACCGAAAGAATCGAAATCAGCACGAGACTTGACTCTGCTAAGCTTGCGTCAACCACTGTGACACCAGTGGGGATGCCGCATGACGAAAGACGCCCTGGCAAGGGAAAGCAGAAACGGCACAAATACAGCGCGCAGCTGTCACCTCCAGGTCAGGCGGGGGCCGAAGCTCAGCTGACGCCAGAAATGCGGAGGCAAGCAGTGCTCCTGCATCTGTCAGTCTGTCAGCCGATGCTCTGCACAAACCGATTTCCATCTTCAGCTCCTGGGAGCCTCATTGTGCACTGCCATGTGGTCTCCCCACATCAAGAGATTTTGAGTGTTTGGGAACCATTGGGACAGAATCAGATCAGCGTGCAAGTGTGTTCAACCTCGCATGTCAAGAGAATGAGCGATAAACAAATGCTTTTGAGCAAAATGCTGCCAAATCAGCCCACAACTGCAACTCGATCCCAGAACTACACCTCTCTGGACTTTCGCGAATCCGACATCTGCGCGGTCGCACATTTTCAACACACGGGATCAGACTGGCCGTGTGCTGTCGCGCATCACGTCAGCCACAACTGGGGACAATCAAGCTACAGCGGATTGACTGCCTCCGCTTGCATCCTCCTCCAGCTCTGGTGGCTGCTCCTCATCAGACATGTCAGACAAGCCTGGACAATCATAGTTTGGAGGAGTGGTGCCCCTCTTCTTATGCTCTTCCTCGCGGCGGGCCATCTCCACCATTCGACGTGTATCGCGCCAATCGTCGAAGTCCACGCAAAGCTTCACTTTGGGGAAGAGGCGCTGAAACTGACAGAAGCAGGCCATGCATGAAATGCAGGGAGTGTGTGAAGCATAGAGTCGAACGGTACCAGTCACCTGTGCGCACTCGGCCTCAAACTCCGCATCTGTTTTGGCTGCAGACGCCTCCTGCACCCGCGCAATGACTTTGATTAGCGCCTGGCGTTCTGCATGGTTGGAGCGGTCATGCTGCGCAAAGACCGGCAGGACGTAGGAGCCCGGGGCACGCAGCTTTGGCTTCTTTGGATCCCGCCGCGGCCGGTTTTGAGGCTCCCTTTGCTCCCTGGGCTGGCGGGGCTCGGGCTCCGTGCTCTCAACTTTCTTGGCTTCTCTGGGCGCATCTCTCATCCTCTCAGGCGCGCGGCTCCTCTCCTCCGGCTGAGCCTTTTCCGCCGGCTTCGCGGCCTTTGGAGCTGGCTTCTCGGCTCGCTTCTCGGCCGGCTTCTCAGCCGGTTTCTGGGCCGGCTTCTCGGCCGGTTTCTCGGCCGATTTCTCGGCCGGCTTTTCTGCCGGTATTCCATGGGCCTCGCGGAGACGCTTTTGGCGCTCCTCCTCCAACCGCCGCTCCTCCTGACAGGCACGCCGCCTACCGACAGCAACACAAGCCCACCGCGCATCCAATTTGCTCCTGACCCATGGCTGGCGTTTGTTGCCTGAGATGACATCCCCAACATGCAATCTACTCGATTTGAAGGCTCTAGTTCCTGGCCCAGGAAGCTCAAAAGACTTCACTGGTGAGTCCTTCACAAATTGCGACATCCCTTCTCCGATTGAACTTTGCGTCTTGCTGCTTTTCTATTTGCACCTGGAGCTCATGAGCCCCATCCCCATCTGCCCCCCATCTCCCCCCAACGGGGCCACTCCTGGCGGCGCTTGTCTTGCTCCCGGAGCTCCCGCAGCTGCTGCTTCCGCTGCCAGACGTTGTCCGGGCTCGGCATGGAGCGGCTGCTGGGCTCCGGGGGCGGCGCCTTCTCCAGGCCCCGGCTCTGCGCATCCAGGTCCATCTTCAGCCGGAAGTCCGGCTCGAAAGTCTTCTCCTAAAAAGAAATCAAGAAGAAAACACTCAAAGAAACGGACTGGGAAAAAACCAAGTCCCATGCTCAAAAAGAATGAGTGCATTTGAACATGCGCATCCTCTCTCCCTTCCCACTTGAGCGATGAGCCATACAATGCTCTCTACCAGACGGGCTGCAGCACTTTGTTGGGAATTGTTGGGAGCCCTTGAAAGCTGTTGGGAGCTGTTGCTGGTCATTGGATTCTGGCGGATTGCGACCTTTGTTCCTAAACTTGCCAGAAGCGCTCAGAAGCGGTCCTTCATCATATCCATGATTTCAAAACCATGCTGCCAGCGCTTGCCTTGACGGCACGCCGATAAGGCATAGTTGTGCCCAACCGAGCTTGCAGAAAGTCCCCGCTCGGCGATCTCCAGGAAAAGTGCCAACGACTTCTGCCACTCGTGCGCTTCTTCGCACGCGGCCGCCGCGTGCTCGAAGCTCTGCGCATCCGCCTCAATGCCCGCCTCTGGCATCAGAACCCGCAGAATGTGAAGCGACTGCTCCCATTCCTTTGGCTTGCACGCTCCTCACGGGCAATTGGGACTGCAGGTCACTCAGGATGTTCCTTTCACCTGCCCTGTGCTGCCAGTAAATTGACCGGAAAGACAATGACCATACAATACAGTTCTCATTACTCATCCAAGTTCGATTTGCCAATCAATGTTGAGGGGAGATGCTCCTGAAACATAAAGTTGCGGACAAAGAAGTCTAAGGTCGACTCATGTAAAGACTCATGTTGCTTTCTTGACATATGCTGCCTGTTGTCAAAATGTTGCTTGGTGCTCGCTGTGCGAAGTAGTTTGGATCTGTCGTATCTTCTATGAAAGTGCTCGCACCTCCCAAAAAGAAACGCGCCTGCGCAGTGGTTGTAGCCTCAGTTCAGGCCGTTAAAAACACGCGTATGGCTGCATAACATCCACAAGCGCGACTTGCCCAAAACTCAGAGGTGCGGTCCAGCAGCTTTCCAAGTCCGGAGCCAGGCCCTTCTGTTTAATCTCCGCCAACATGGCCAAGGCACGATCCACCTGCTGTTCACAGCCCAAGAACCATCCTGCTCAAAGCGGCCGGTTACGGCCTGCTTGTCCTTGGCCATGGCAGCAAGTACCAAGTTGTACTTAGCAATGTCCAGCCTCAATCAAGACAACGCTTTGCGTGTGTGCACGCACGTGTTCAAAGCAGATTATTATTATTGTTCGCAACCTTCATCCCGCCATAGATTCTGCCACGCTAGGCGCACGCCATGTCCTCTAAGCCTCTAAGCCGAATGCTCAATGCCAACGTCCTTCATCTCCCTGCACAGCACTCCACAGCGCCACAAGACGCATGTTGAACAGCGCCTCAACAGGCGCAAGGCCCGGCGGAACTGGCCATCCAGGGCCAGCGCCTGCACTCAGCGGTAAAAACAAGTAAACGAGGCAAGGGGGGCCATAAGGATCAAATTTTGAAGACAACTTGAAAAGCACATTCTTTCAAATATGCCTAGTCGCAAAGTATGCGCTGGTAGTGAACTCATGCACAAACAACTTCTAAACCATACAGGCACCAGTGCTTGGAGTGTTTCACTCAAACTCAAATCCGCGCTTCTCATCGGTGCTGTATCGCCTTGAGAACGATGAGGAACTCTTGCTCATTCCTGTTGCAAGCTCAGCAGCACTGTGGAGTCAAGACAAGTGCTTGAGCGAAGTGGCTGGAGGTTTGGTACTGCAGTATCGACAATGCGTAGCAGTTCTCGGCCGCGGGTGTTCCGCAAAGTCTGCGAAAGCGACGGATAGTACCTCGAAATGAACTGCAGCAACATGAGTCTTTACCGCCAGAAAGAGCACCGTGGTCCCGTGACTTTTCCGGAGTCTCGAATGTCGGAGAAGCCTGTACGCGGCAGGCAGTCCGCATTTGGCTGATTCGGGCATCAGCAATGCAACTTGCTCAAAAGTGGGACAACGTGCCTCTGACGGTTTGCCAGCACCTGGAAGGCGATGGAAGATCTGCAAGACTTTCAGAATGTGTCTGTTTAAGGCCAGGACCGAGGCAAAAATCTGATGTCAGCGGCGCTGACTCTCCTGAGGAAAAGGTGGTGACCTCCCAATCCCTCCAGAAGCTGTTTCTCCTCAAATGCCAAAGGCACGCCATTGCTTTTGGCATCATGTACTCTCATTCCTGTGAATAAAAGTCATGGAGAGGTTGTCGTTGTTTGTGTACAAGTGAGACATTAAATGCTTCTAACAAGGCAAGACTGAATGTACAAAGGTTTATTTTCACATGTGAGAAAGCACTGGATGCAGCACGGTTGCTGGGTGGGGATTGTCAACTGTTCGATCCATTAACATCACATGTATGTATGACGACAGCTCAATGGTGAGCCGCTGAGCCGCGGTTAGTACAGTCTGCAAACAGAATGTTAGGGCCTCAGGCCACGTTCCTCTGACTGCATGATACTTGTCTCACTGAAGGACACATGTTATCAGTTGATTTGTGGCGTCAAAGGATCCTGATAAACACCTCAGCGGTTTTTGTTTGTACAGACTTTTGGCATTGTGTGGTTTGCTTGCCAGGCACTCATTGCATGGATGGCGTGTGGGAAAGCGCGACCTATGGTCGTGACCTGTACCTGGCCTACATCTGCTGTTCGGGTCTTCCGGATGGCTTTAATTCTGGAACTTGTTTGTTCGCATCATCGAGGTGGACTTGAGCTGGAGGCTTCCCACGCTGTGGAAGTCATGTGAGCAGGCTGACACGGTTCTAGGCAAAGTGGGATCTTCCTGGGCTGAAGGTCGCACGGCGCGCATGCATCAAATGCCATATCATTGTGGGTTGATGCAGGGCTTCATTCTGAGGGTTTTTGTATTACACCCTGGGATTACACCCTTGGGAAATGACCTAGAATGGTTCAAAATAACACGGTTTTATCCGGAAATGTGCCTAAATGGGGTCAATACCCAGTGGGTGTATTCCCGAGGTGTAATACAAAAACCCTTAGATTCATGCAGCATAAACGCTTGTTGTCGTCTAAGAACACGCGGATGGACTTACCTTAAGAATGCCGACGGATGGTGCAATGGTGCAAGGCAAGCGCCAAGGCGACATCTGGCATGGCTGCAGTTGGCCAACATATAAGCCTTACGCTGATGCAGCTTAGTACTGCGCATGGTTTCCCGGTTTTTGCGGGTGCGCCTGTCTTATGTTTCAAGTTAGGCTTCGTGTCGAGCCCTGTGATCGATCCCTCCAGATCCCGGCGCTTCGTAGCGGGCCCTGCGTGGGCCCGCGAACCTTGCTGTTCTCGTGGGCAAGCGGCTGCTACCTTTCTGCTTCAGACAGAACACAGCGCAATTTAGAGCGCACAATTCGGTTTGCCGCAGAAAGGTAACTTTAATACCAGGAGTCCGCCGGGTTGCACAGCACCGCATCACGCTCAGCCTTCAAAGACTCGCTCCAAGCTTTTACTCCCTCTAGCGCAATACTTTCGTTGCATTCATCGAAATTGCGCTTTCGCTTTCTCTAGCTTTTAGCTTCCAGACCTCAGGTTGGAGCATATGGCTAACTCCATGCACTCTTGCAAATGTTCCAGACCGCAAAAGTGTGCGCATTTTCCCTAGGCTCATTGCTTAAGCCTTGTCGTGGTTCAACGAAACTGGACAAATAGACTCCTTATCAATTCTTCTGGCTACCATCATCACGGGTGATCAGTTGGTTAGCAGTGTAAAATTGATCTTCTCCGCCGGACTTCGCCTTGCGTGACAAACGTGCTGGACAGCCAGCATCCCACGATTCATGGCGGCATACACGTTGGTCCTTCACTGCGCAATTAGCACGTAGTCTGAAGGTCGCATTGCTTAGCGCAGTAGACATCATCGCTTAAAATCACTTAATTGTACGGACGTGACGATATTGAAAGCTTGTGAGGTTTAGACCAAGCTGCCTTAGGTAGGGGGAGCATCGGTCGTCGAACCAGCTTTCGCAGTGCCTGAAGACCTTCAGAAGTTGTCTATGTTAGGGAAAAGCAAGCTCGAGAATCGCATGAAGACTTGGAGGCGCAAGCCGTCGCAGCGGTCTTCTCCTTCAAAGATTCCGGCGCATCTGCATCTAAGGGGGCAAGTCACGCATGAAACGCCATCCACATCGTCAAGCTCCGCTTGTGCCTTGCGCAACTCGCAGCAGGGGGCTGCCGCGCTTAAATATTTCACTGCCTGTAAAATGCATTTTGGGCCAGAACAGTCTTTGTAAGCATAAAGCCTGCGCACGCTTGGTGCATAGCTTTCGTGTTTGTGTGAAAACCCGCAAGAGAAAGTAATTCTTTTCCTTGGCACGCGCTGGCCAAGCCAGCCCCTTAGCCTTCGCCTCCAGTGTGTCGCCGCCCTGCGTTGCCCCTGCAACGCATGCTCTAGGTTTAAACGAGTTACTCAGTTGAGGCGCAGTTCTGTTTACTGTACAAGGTGCGCCTTTTGAAGCCAGATATTTTCCAAATAGGCATTTCCAAGAAGGTGGTTTTGGAAGAGCAGAAAATTCAATGGTGTTCCCGCTGCAAATTACCACTTTAACCAGCACCTAGTGCGAAGAAGCAGACTTACGCTGGCAGATTGTGTTCATTTGTTGGCGGTAAGACACAGCATGCATTGGTTCGCTTTTTCCCGTCGGAAGTTTAGCGTATGGAAATCAAATGTCCAAAGTGGACTCTGTTCGTGCGGAACTTAAAGATGTGGCCTTCCCTCTTATCCAGCGCAAACAAGTAACCATTTAAGCACACGGGGGCTAACTCATCACGTAGACCTGTCAGAACTGCTCTGGTGTTCTGTGGGTAAACTTAACAGCCGCCGTAGGGCAAAAACAGCTTTACTTCTGGAGCCTGAACGCTGCTGAGTTGCACGCTGTTCGCTGCGTTTGCAAATAGAAGGAGAAGTTGTTTAGCAGCGGTAGCCTTCATCTAAATTGCGCGTGCTGTAGTTCCCGGCCGTACAACTGACTGACAAGAAGCGTCTTGGAAGAGCTGTTCAAAAGGTTTATAGTGGGAGTGTGGGCCACCATGGAGCCGCTGCAAGTCCATTTGCACGCTTACTTGCATCTCGCACGGTCTTTTTATCGCGTGGCCAAGACGCTTAAGTGCTTTCGTCTTTAACCTTCAACATTGTGTTTGGAAAAGCATTTATGGCGGCTGTTCGCTTTGACCACTTCTTCGTTGTGGCGGAGCTCAGCAACCTGGCTGTAGCTTGGAAAAGCCCCGGAACAAAATTATGTTTGGCGGCAATGTTGTAACATTGAAGGTTCCTCAAAATAGATTGTAAGATTTCAATGCCCGTAGGCCTCGAATTTTGTGCACTTAGGGTGGCTTGGAGAAAAAATAAGGCCTCGAGCCGGCCTCGAGAGACCTTGCAAGGCCTCGAAACGCTGGAAACAAGGCCTCGACAAGCCCGGAAAGCTTGCGAAACGCTTGGGAACTTAAAAAAGTCTTTCAAGCTTGAAGCCTGACTCTGAACTTAAACTTTGAAAGAGCTTGTCCGCTTCAGGTTCAGCCACACCGAGCCTTCGGCGTGGTGGTTGGACAAGCTGCTAAAAGCAGGCCTCGAATGTGTTGTGCTACAATGTGATTTGCACCAAAGGCGAGGCCTCACACGGACCTCGAGAGGCCTTGGGAGGCCTTGAAATGAAAACAAGGCCTTGAGGGGCTGGTCTTGAAAGGTGTCGAAAGCTTCAAAATCACTGCGGACCCGCGTGATCGCAACCGCTCGGAGCTTCAGCATTTCAGGGGCGGGGGCGGGGGATTGCGCAGGCATGCGCAAGTGCCCTGGCAAGCGCAGCACTTTCGCAAGGTCGATAGATAGATGGATTGATAGTGAGGGAGAGAGAGCTATGTGGGTGAATAGAATGGTAGATATCAAGATCGATTGGACAGATAGATGGACAGATTGCTAGGTGGATAGATGAACAAGTGAGTAGATAGATCTGTCAGATAGATAGATAGATAGATAGATAGATTAGATTAGGTTGGATTAGATACATAGACAGACAGACAGACAGACAGACAGACAGACAGACAGACAGACAGACAGACAGACAGACAGACAGACAGACAGACAGACAGACAGACAGGCAGGCAGGCAGGCAGGCAGGCAGGCAGGCAGGCAGGCAGACAGACAGACAGACAGACAGACAGACAGACACACACACAGATAGATAGATTAGATTGGATTAGACTAGATTAGATTACATAAATTGAAAGATACATAGATAGATACATAGATAGAAAGTTAGATGGAGAATGAGATAGACATATTGAGAGATAAATACTTGGATAGAAGGCAGACAAATAGATATATAGATAGCTTTATTGATTGGTTGATAGATAGACAGCTAGAGAGAAAGAGAGAGATGGAGTGATTAGATAGATCACTAGATTGATCTATCTATCTAGGATGAATAGATCGATATATTCATAGATAAAAAGACAAAAAGCGAAAAAGAAAAGAAGATAGATAGGACAGACAGACAGACAGACAGACAGACAGACAGACAGACAGACAGATAGATAGATAGATAGATAGATAGATAGATAGATAGATAGATAGATAGATAGAGCGACAGAGAGTCGGAGAGGTCGATGCTTAGATTCTTAGATAGAAAGTACAAAGATAGATAAACTGATTGGTTGGTTGATTGATTAATTGGTTGGTTGATTGATGGATGGATTGGATTGGATTGGATTGGATTGGATTGGATTGGATTGGATTGGATTTAGTTTGGTTTCAATTGCGTTTGAGTGTTTGTTGATTGATTGACTCACTGATCGATCGATTGATCAATTTGTGGATAGGTAGATACAAAGACATAGGAAGGTACATAGATAGACAGACAGCTAGATAGAGGTTTATAGAAAATGAGAATTAGCGGATAAGAAGGAAAGAAGAAAGCAGAAAAGCAGGAAAGAAAGCAAGGAAGAAAGAAGCGAGGAAGGAAAGAAAGAAAGAAAGAAAGAAAGAAGGACAAAAGAAAGAAAGGAAAAAGGACAGAAAGAAAGAAACAAAGAACCAAAGAAACAAAGAAGAGGAACGAAGCAAGAAAGAAAGCAAGAACAAACAAAAAAGAAGCGATGGAAATAAGGAAAGAATGAAAGGAATGGAACAGGAAAAGAAAGCAATAAAGAATGAAAAAGGAAAAAATGAATCAAAGGGAAAAAGGAACGAGGCAAAGAGTAGAAAAGACAGAAAAAGAAAGATAAAGCTCTTGTATTCTTGAAACTTCCGCTCACCGGCTTCGCCGGCTCTATTAGTACCCTTCTCAAAGAACGACAATATTGAGAACCGACAGGGGCCTGCCCAAAACAGATTTTAAAAAAAACACCATTACAAAAGAAAGCTGTCACAAAAACTTTGTTCAAAACTAATAGATTGCCTTTGAGAAGACAAAGAGAGTCCATTGAGCTTTCCTCTTCAGTCATAGCCAGTCAAGTAAAAATGCATGTTCTCGTCTGTTCTACATGTTCAGGCTATTACATCATGAATCATCATGTGTAGTATATACGTATACATATACACATATCCTAATACAAATGTAACATATTTCTATATACATATAGATATATGAATTATATGTCGCGTGTTCATATTGTGCTGGAAAACATAATCATACTATGTAGTATGTATATTGCACTTCCACTAATCATAAATCAATGTACGCCAAGATTATTCTGCTACTCGGTCTTCGTTCGCTTTTTTCGTCGTGCGGAATTTGCAGCTCTTTGGCTCACCAGCAAGGAGTAGGGGTATATACAGGCTCAAGAAAGGATACAGGTCCCACCAAACGTGTCGCACATCGCTCTGGGCCACGTAAATAGCTTTCAAGTTCCGCTTGGCAATCTGCAGCGCACTATATTTTCAAGCAAGACAGGTTTGCGTCTATGCCACCCACCACGTCTGGTCAAACGCGGTGTCTGCAGGGCGCCAGGGCTGAGCACTTTGCAACACTGGGGGGCGTCAGTCACAGGCCAAAAGTAGGAAGCTGCTGCGAAAATCTGTCTTGCTTGCATTTCTGACACAACAAGCGGGCGCACGTGTGCGGGTGTGTGCAATGAGCCACAATGTTGCTGGTATTCATTCGGCATGTGCGTGAGAGGCAAGCCTGAGCAGGACAGCCACCCCACACCAGCAGGGCCCCTGTAGAAACTGTTGCACTCTCGATCTTAAACTTCCAGTTTGCAATTTCAGAGCGGGAGATTCTCATCGGACTCCCGAATTTGAGGACATGTCTGAATATGGAACTGGGCAAAACATGTGAAAAGCCCACATCATGAACCTAATTGATCAAGTAGCACACACGAGCAACCGCAAAGGGCTCACCTGAACACCCGGGCAAGCAGGCATCATTGCGATTTGCTGTGTTTTCACGGTGCTTCCTATGGCATGCGGCACGTGCTGATTATCCCTTTCACTGACATCCATATGGCTCCAACGCGATGCTTGCAAAAAAGGCCCCGAACGGCCAACATCGTTAAATGAACTCACGGTAACATTCAGTGTTCGGACGAAATTGGGGCAAGCAAGGGCAATCAGTTGCGCCTCAAGCGAAAGCTGGCTGCACGAGAGAGCGATTCCCTGGCACTTGAACTGCTGCAAAGGGAGTCACATTGTCGAGCTCATAGGCAGTATTCGATGCCAGAAACCACCGAGAGCTCACTGAACGGCGTGTGATCCGTGCAGCGCCAACTGCCACGCTTGCAAACGCAGCCCGAAAGGCCAGCAACACAAAATGAGCAGCAGGTTTCCGGCAAAGCTGGAACAGTAAGGTGGCAGGCTGGCCGCACCAGCGCGCACTCGACGCAAGCAACCACCAGGGGCTCACCCGAACGGACAGGGACTATTGGCAATAGCGTGGGCGTCAGGCCCGTGCCGATGGTACACACGGCGCTCACTGCTTGCCTCGTGCTGCGGCATCCTTGCGGCCCGAACCAGCATGCTGGCAAATGCAGCCCGAACGACCACAAACACTGAGTAAATTCAGGGCACCAAGACGCCGTGTGCACTGCAAACACCCGTACCCGTGTGCCGCAAATCGCCATGCTGGCAAACGCAGGGTTCAGCTGAAGCTTGGGCAAGCCAGGGCAGCGGCTGGCTGCACAAAACACACACTGCCCTGGCATCCAACCTGCTGACAACGAAACATGTGCAGGCCGACAGTATGAAGCTCATTGGTCAGGTCTTGGGTATTGGACAGCAGCAACCGAGGCACCTCTGAGCGCATTGGCACTGCAGACATCCTTGCGGAGCCAACTGCCACGCTTGCAATGAATCTTATGGCCACCATAACTGTTTAAACTCAGGGGCAAGCAGGGGCAATCATGCTACGGCGGCAGGAAACAAGTCCTGCACTGCAGACGCCTGTGCGGTGCAAGTTGCCATGCTCACCAACCCCTACGGCCACCAACACTGAATAAACTCAGGGAGGTAGGGTTCGGCCAAAGCTTGCCAAGAGAGACAGCCTAAGGCGGCAGAACAATTGCGCACGCACCGCAGACATGCATCGGTCCATGTCATGTGTGCGCGAAAGCACACAGCCCTGAGATGCAGCCTGCCGCAGAGAGCGCAATGCGCAACGTGCTACAGGCACCGATCACAAAGCTCTTTGGCCAGGTATTGGGTATTGGACGCCAGCAGCAGCCGAGGGCTCACCTAGCCACACTGGCATTGTGGGATACTGCTGTCCTGCACTGCAGACACCTGTGCGGCGCAAGTTGCCATGCTTGCTGACGCAGCCCAAACAACTGCCATGACTCAACAAGCTTAAAGCAAGGAAGCGTAGCTGGGACAGTCAGGGGCAGAACAGTGGCGGGACCCGCTAAAATGGGCACGATCCTTCCAAAGTGGATGTGATTCTGCCCCCTCTGCTGATTGGTCCACAGAACCTTAGGAAGTGCGACGTAAAGAGTTTCCTCCCGGCCAACTGTTTTCGTCCTCAACAACGCCTCATTTCAAGAGCGATACGCTGCGCAAGATGAACTTCATTTGCAGAAATTCATATGGGCTTGCCTCAGCACCTTTGGGGTTTGGCGGCTCGGACGTGTTTTAGAGGCCTGTGAGCCTCAGAGGGTCTCCACTTCCCTCGTATTTTGAATTAGTGGGATTCACGAATGTGTTCACTGATGCACTTTGCACAGTTCCAATGCTTGGAGGGTTTCGAAGCAGCAAAAAGCCTGCCGCTGCGCAAGTTGCCATGCTTGCCGACGCAGCCCAAACAACTGCCATGACTCAACAAGCTCAAAGCAAGGAAGCGTAGCTGGGACAGTCAGGGGCAGAACAGTGGCGGGGCCCGCTAAAATGGGCACGATCCTTCCAAAGTGGATGTGATTCTGCCCCCTCTGCTGATTGGTCCACAGAACCTTAGCCTCCCAAAGTGCGACGTAAAGAGTTTCCTCCCGGCCAACTGTTTTCGTCCTCAACAACGCCTCATTTCAAGAGCGATACGCTGCGCAAGATGAACTTCATTTGCAGAAATTCATATGGGCTTGCCTCAGCACCTTTGGGGTTTGGCGGCTCGGACGTGTTTTAGAGGCCTGTGAGCCTCAGAGGGTCTCCACTTCCCTCGTATTTTGAATTAGTGGGATTCACGAATGTGTTCACTGATGCACTTTGCACAGTTCCAATGCTTGGAGGGTTTCGAAGCAGCAAAAAGCCTGCCGCTGCGCAAGTTGCCATGCTTGCCGACGCAGCCCAAACAACTGCCATGACTCAACAAGCTCAAAGCAAGGAAGCGTAGCTGGGACAGTCAGGGGCAGAACAGTGGCGGGGCCCGCTAAAATGGGCACGATCCTTCCAAAGTGGATGTGATTCTGCCCCCTCTGCTGATTGGTCCACAGAACCTTAGCCTCCCAAAGTGCGACGTAAAGAGTTTCCTCCCAACAATGCCTCATTTCAAGGGCGATACACTGCGCAAGATGAACTTCATTTGCAGAAATTCATCTGGGCTTGCCTCAGCACCCTTTGCGGTTTGGCGCCTCGGACGTGTTTTAGAGGCCTGTGAGGCTCAGAGGGTGTCCACTTCTCCACTTCCCTCGTATTTTGAATTAGTGGGATTCATGAATGTGTTCACTGATGCACTTTGCACAGTTCCAATGCTTGGAGGGTTTCGAAGCAGCAAAAAGCCTGCCCCCACTGCAAGTATGCTAGTCCAAGAAAGCGCTCGGGCTCACGCAAATTGGAGGCAAAACAGCAAGCTTCCTGGCTTGGGCACCGTTTGGGGTTCCACAAGTCACTTGCACCGACTTGGTCGGTTGCCGAGGCAGCCTTGGTCGGTCAACTAGCCACAAGTGGGCAGCCTTGGTTAGGCAACTAGCCACCCACGCAGACCTTGGGCAGGCATCGATGCAAACCCACTTTGCGCCCGCTCTGAGCTTTGAGAGCAACATAGAGCAACGTTTCCTGGCTGATGGTCGCCATCATCAGCACAAAAGAGGGACAGAGATCTCGCAAGCATGTGACCCACCAAAATTAGACACGGGGCGAAATGTTGTCTTCCTGACGCGGTCGGGCCGCAACTTCTTGGGCATCTTGACCAGCAACCATCTCCCAAAGCACAGAAAGGCAGCTTTGGAAACTTACTTCTAAGCCAATGGCGGCAAGCATGCGAACATATCGGGCCCTTTCTGCATGGTTCAGAAGGCAACCAAATGGAAAACATCTGCCTTGTTTTGAGGCTGCAAAGTATGCTAATGCCACAACTAATTCATACCTGTTCCCTAGGTTTGTGAAGAGCAGTACGGGTTTGAGCCAACAGTGCTGTATATCCGCAGCCCTTTTTAAGTGTGCACTAAGTGTGCGCAGGAAAAAATAGGAGCCCAATACGCGAGCTGCCTGCCTTTTTGCGCATGGTAGCGGAGCTGTACCCGCTCAGCTTGAACTTTGGGGTGGGGAGGCGGACCTTCCCCCTCAAGGTCTACGCTTGGCAGCGGGTAGCCCGGCGCCAAGGCAGCAGGCGCCACGACTTGGTGGTGGTCTGCTTACAACTGGGGGTCTGGGCAAGGCTGGTCCGAACAAAGCTGGCAGGACTGCACGCCAGCTCCACTGCTGGCTCGCGACCGAGGAACCGGCGCGGGGCTCGCAGTGACGCCGCCCGAGACCAAGAGGGCAGCAGCGTTGACTTAGGCTGGTCGCCCAGCCCCGGGCCGCCAAGTACACCAGCAGTAGCGACTGCTGCCACACACAGGGAGAAGGAGCAGCAAGAGTTCCACACCGCTGCCTCTTCCTCTACACGACCCCGCTGCAGGCCGAGCCCCTGCCGGCCGACATTGTCGAGAAGCAGGAGCCTCTTTCCCCAGCGTCCCCAACTCACGATACGGTTAGCCCCGCTCGTGCGGCTGGGTTGCAGAGCCAACGACCCAGACAGAGAGCAAGAAGAGAGCCAGCCTGAGCTGAATCCCCAAGCCAGCGAAGTCACGCAGCAGATGAGGCAGTTGGACCTCATGCGGCAGGTGTTGGAAGCTGGCCAGACTCACCAACGTGAGATGCAGCAGGCAATTGCTGCAAGCTTAGAAGCCCGCCAAGCCCGGCAGAACGGCAACAGGCTTTGCTGCAGGTACAGGGTGGGTTGCGCGATGCGCAGAACTGGTCAAGCAGCCACAGTGCTTTCAGAGGCGCGGACGTTTTCCGAACGGAAACCTTCCTGGTTTTCGTTGACCCTGATTACCCCGATAGAATGGATGCGGCCCGAAAAGCCACAGAATCCCTAGACCCTGATAGCATGACCGATGAAGCGCGGCGAATGTCTGTCCGCCTTTTCGGCATGCTCACTTCTTGGGTGCAAGAGTCTGTAAAGCTTGCCAGAAGGCCAAAGCATTGATCTAAAAACACACTTCGCTCTCTCCCAAATTTCCAACTCGTGAGTTAGAATCCTGTTCACTGCTTCAAGCCAAGAACAGCCATGAAACGGGAAGCCCGACCAACCCAAAGACGCTCCGCTCCCTTTTCAACAGGTGTTGCTCAAAAGTTCAGGCTCAGAGGTGCAGGAGGAGTGACAACGTGTCCGGAGCCTGCACAGATGCCCCCATGCTGACACAACAAGAAGCAATGCGTGCAACCTGTGTGTTGGCACTGGGGAAAGCGTCCTCTGTGCCCAGCCAGAGATAATCTGCTGGTGGGACCCTGATGGGTCATGTCGGATGCAATGCGTGCATCGTACGGCATCAGACTAGCGCAGATGCGAGTATCTGAGTAGCTGGCCAGGTGGCAGCAGAGTGCACTGACCTGTCAAAGATGCACGCGCCGGCTATTGACGGTGCGGGATCAGGGCTATGCAAAGTTGCGGGCCTGGGCGTCTGAGGTTCACCTCGGAAAGGGTGGGTGGGCGAAAGAAAAAGCAACGAGGGGTCAAACCCTCGAGGCATGTCCCTCAGAAACGGCAACGCGGCTGAAGATTCGAACCGGAACAAAACACGGGGGAGAGGAAAAACCCCAAGCGTTAGAATCCTGTTCACTGCTTCAAGCCAAGAACAGCCATGAAAAGGGAAGCCCATGAAAAGGGAAGCCCGACCGACCAAGACGCTCCGCTCCCTTTTCTACAGGTGTTGCTCAGAAGTGAGGTGCAGGAGGTGTGACAACGCGTGTCCACTCCCTATCCCTGCACTAAGGTGGGCTAGACTACTACCAGGTCGCCAAACCGTTTCTAGGGGTTCGCTTCGTTGGGCAGGTGTTCCATGAAATCTAGAACATTCGGGGCTGCGCAGCAAAGTGACCATTCCGAAACCAGGCAATGTTTTCGCGTCGGGCGGTTTTCCCCTTGATTTCTCAAGCCTGGGGTTTTGCATTGCAACAGCGGATTTTCCAGTGAGGCGTCATGCGAGGGCCCGCATGATATTTTACAGCGATCCCCCAACGCAGAATTATATTTGTAAGACCAGAAAGCTTTAACAGTTTGAATTTGTTTTTTGTCATTGACTCCTTGTGTGGTGTTTGCTTTGTGAGATATTCACGCAACTCTGGCAGCGCATGCTTTTCATTGGGCGCGTCAGTTTTGCTGCCAGTTGGCTCGCAGCATTAGTCAAGCGGGCGTGACCTGCAAGGGACTGGCTTTGGCAGGAATGATGCCCGGCCGGGCTGCTACGTGCGTGCGTGCACGCCAAAGAGCGCTAAAGCAACAGATGGGTGGCTCGCGCATGGTGTCGTGAAAGCAACCTCTTGCCAGATGTTGGCAGAGGGACAGTGCCTGCAGCAAAGAGACGCGTGGTGCGCTGCAGACCCAAGGAAAAAGAGACGGAAGGGCCCAGCACGTCAGGCAGTGGCATTTTGAAAGCGCGTTTGCACTCAAAGCGCGGGTGCTAGTGGACCAGGACAGCATGCCGGGCAAACAAATGCAGATGTTGCAGGGTTTTCCAAAAGATTGGGGGAGATTGATCGTTGGGAAGGATGGGTGTTAAACGCCGAATCAGGCCAAGCCCCTGTGGCCGGCACTTTGCCACGCTTGTGGGCGCAAGGTTATGTCTTCAAGACGCCCACGAAAGACTTTACTGCTCTGGTTATCCCGCTCGCTTATGCGGGGAAACTACGGGTCCTCAGCAGCTACTTTTCAGGAGATTCTTTTTGGGCGGCTTGCGTATGTGCTGCAGAATGCTGCTGAAGCAGGGGAGGTGCTGGACCTTTGTTCTCGCATTGCCAGCAACGGTCGACGCTTTCTGATCAAAGACTGGTCGACGCTTTTTTGCGAGTCTATGGCTGGACGCGAAGCCTGGGTTGGAGCCAGGCCGATCTTGTCCAGCTCATCGCCGAGCGCTGTAGCTTGGCCAGGACCAGGCGTTAGTCAAGTTGTCGCGTTGATGGCTAGGGCCCCTTTCCTTGCAGCCGACCGTGCTACCCGTGACAAGGCGCACGCCGCGGCGGCTGCTGAAACGCTCAGCAGCCCAACCGCGCAACCTGCCGACCTTGTCATGGGCGCTGGCCACGGCGGCTGCAAGTCTGCAAGCTTGCCAGCCTTCGGCCACGGTTTGTCGGGCTAGGGCTCCCAATTGTAAAGTTTTGCTTTGTTTGATTTTTGCCCGCCCTGCTAAGGACGGGTCACGCACGGGCGCCCAAGCTCCTGGCGGGAACGGCCAGCGCCGTCTGTGCCAACGCACTGAAATGCAAGTGCTGGCAGGCACTCCTCTGAGGTGAGGCGCCTTCCGCCGCCAGCAGTGCCGCAGGAACCTTTTGCGCTGCGCCCGGATGTCGTGAGTCCTTTGTCTCCTTGTGTTGCTGGCAAGGACAAGCAGCCGTCAACGGTGCGAGCCGGCGATGGCGCCGGTTGCACCGACGGGACCGTCGGGACCGACGGGACCGTCGGGGCCGGGACCGGGACCGGGGCCGGCGACACAGCGGCAAACGTCGTGAACGCAGCAGCCGCCGTGAACGCAGCAGGCGCCGGGACCGCCGGGGCAGCGAGGCCTCCAAGGGAAACGTCAGCCTGGTGTCGGCTGGCCAGGCCAGCGCGCCGTGCTTCTTCGCCTGCCACGGAGCCGGAGGAGGGATGGCAGGAGCGCCCGCGCCAAGCGCGCCTGCCGGGTTCGAGTGGAAAAGCAGGGCCAGCGGACAGATCGCCTTCAGTTTCGTGCTCCGCCAGCCGGAGCTGGTGGCAAGCTGTACTGCGATCTGTGCTGGCGATGTGTGAAGGGAGCAACATTGTGGTCCTACGCTCAACATCTTTGGGCCAAGCACTCGCAGACAGCAGCCAGCAAGTGGTACAGCGAGCAGATAGCCCTGCAGAAGGGGCAAGAAATGCCGAACCCGAGCCCGGCGCCACACCAGCTGCCTGATCTTTACCGATCACGGCCAGTGAAGCACCACTAACCCGGCACCTTCTTAAGCAAAGCTCGATGGGATGGGAAAAAAAGGGTTGCTGTCCGCCTGGTTTTTTCCATGACACGTATGGCGTTTATGGGTGTGGGTGGGCATGGATTTTTGATATGATCTTGCTTTTTTCGAAAGCCGCCAAATGTTGGAGGCGCAGTCTGTGCGCAATGGTTCGGGCTCATCTTGAGCGAAAAGGGCCGAGAGCAGACAGATTTCGTTGAGACAACTCCTTGCTTAGGGTTTCGGGTGCCCTTTGTGTTGTCGGCAGTGTGCTTGGGGAAACAGCAAGTCTTCGAAGAGAAAGGCGTGACAAGCAATGATTTCACAAGATGTTTTATTTTTTATGACGCATTCAACCCATCTTCCAATTTCAACGTCCGACAATTGTCTTGCGTTTGTCTCGCCTTGTCTCGCATTGTCTCGCCCTTGTCTCGCATTGTCTCGCGGTTGTCTCGCGTGTGTCTCGCAGTTTCTCGCGTTGTCTCGCGTTTGTCTCGCATTGTCTCGCGTTGTCTCGCGTCTGTCTCGCCTTTATCTCGCCTTTGTCTCGCATTGTCTCTTGCAAATGTTCCAGACCGCAAAAGTGTGCGCATTTTCCCTAGGCTCATTGCTTAAGCCTTGTCGTGGTTCAACGAAACTGGACAAATAGACGCCTTATCAATTCTTCTGGCTACCATCATCACGGGTGATCAGTTCGTTAGCGGTGTAAAATTGATCTTCTCCGCCGGACTTCGCCTTGCGTGACAAACGTGCTGGACAGCCAGCATCCCACGATTCATGGCGGCATAC